TTAGTTATGTTTGCCTTTCAAGCGTCGATATATTTATTATTTAAAAAATCTTTAAAGTTAGTTACTGCCTTATTTTCATCTTTACAGTTTGCTCCTTTACTACGCGGTGAGCTTAATTTAGTTAAAATGTTGGATTTTAATGTGGCTGTAAAATTGTGGCAATTGGGATTTCGGTTAGTAAGGTTGTCTTATAAAAAGTTTCTCTAAACAATCCTAATTCAATTGACGAAGGTTTAAGTATTTGAAACTTTTTTTGTACACCAGATATCCTATAGGGTATTCAACGATATTATATATTCATTTATATGTCGGAGTGACGAGCGGCGGAGGTATGAGCTCCGAAGGCGGATTATTTACGTGATTATTATTGTCTTACATATTGTAGTCTATACTACACAATTTGGGAGATCTTGACATTATAACCGTAAACAATCTTGACATTATAACGTAAGTGAACCTTGCATTTTATGCATTTGATACGGGTTCTACCCAAGCATCCCATTATTTTACACCGTGTCCCAAGCCCCTCATCGTGTGCAGGAAAATGCCCAAAACCGTCTCGAGTTATTTCAGCTTCTGGGCGTGTCTCTCCTGTTCTAGGTACAATTTGAAGAGTTGGGCTACTGCCACTTGGACGACCTCTTTTACCGGAATTTTTATTTTACAACACCAGACTTTCAGCCAACCGACACCGAAAGTAAAGCAATGACAGTTGTTTGTTTTAAGGTATGTTAAGCTCCTCATTGTCGACTTAGTATTATCGGTATGCTTTAACTACTGCTAAATCTGATGCATGGAATATCATGCGTAAGGTCCATTTTTTTGATTTTATAAACGTCCTTTAGTAACTCAGAGTTGATCTAGCAAATCTACTCCTCCCAACGAATGATTGTACTTCCTTACAACTTCGGGACGTTCCACTTCAATAAAGTGCTTATCTTTTTTACACCACCTCTTCACTAAATCTTTTTACCAATTGCAACAAAATTAGATGCTAAATGGGTAATCTTATTATCCAACCATTTGATAGTTACATCTTCATCATAGCTAGTCATTTTTGAGCATAGCCTCGCATTTTTTGTTCATTTCTTTGTTTCTTAGCAATGATGGCTTTACAAATCTGTTGATACGGATAGTGCCAGCAGCCATAAATATGTGAACTAATGAACACAACCGTTTTTAATTGCAAATAATGTGAAATTAAGACTTACATATATTTTTATATAATATTATATGTGTACAATTGTGTACACATATAATATTATATATTGGTCTCCTGGTCTCAAAGTGTTAATTACTAGATCTGACATACATTGATATATTTATGATCACAACAACAAAAATCAAAGTAAAATTATTTTTTAGTTTTATTTTCAATTGCCCCATCTTCGATATTTTCACACTCATTTTTATTTTTAAAATCATACATATTTTTTTTGAAAATTTTTTCATGTGCCTTTCTGTGGCTTCAAATGAATAACAATCGGTTATTTCGGATTTAGTGTGTATTCCTTTAATAGCTTTAGTTGATATTCTATTGCGTAATTTGGTTTTCATAATATTTATAGCAGAAAATAACCTTTCTACGGCGGCGCTGCTATGTGGTAGACACAAAAGCTTTTTTATCAATTCACAAAATATGGGAAATGTTTGAGATTCGTCTCCATTTCTTAATTCTTGTACATGTTTCCAAAAGTCGATAATATCGGGAGTTTTGTTTTGGTTGAAAGAAAAATCGACGTTTCTCAACATTCGCCATTCTCTATCCAGTTCCATTATGTTATTTGGAGAAATCTTTGGGAAATGATTTACAAACACATATAGTGTGGTCGGAGATTCCCCCGAATTCTGACTAGGCACTGCCATCTAGTGTCAATGCGTTTTACAACGTAGTGGTTTTTTAAAAAATGTTTGTAATGTGATGGGGCAATAGGTGGCTCTGATGGCTAGTTTAAAAACATCAGAAAATAGGAATGAAACTGAAAACATTGCAATCAATGTGAAAACAGTAGGGTTGGTAACACTGTTTAACAATATTGCTATTTTGTTCCATTATAGCCCAAAGACCGTCATTTTGGGTTTAAAAGACGGTGTACTAGACTGTATTTTAAAGGAAAAAATTCTCGTTTCGAGATACTGACTTTATTGCTCCTGTAAAAGTGGATAACAAATACTTTTTTTGACGGAATGGCCAGTGTTTGTCTTGACGCATTGTCTGTACTCTCGTCTTCACTCGACGAATGAAACATAGGAAGGTCGTTTTGTAAACATGACTTTCTGTTGAAACCCGATGTCCCTGTTTCTTTTTTTTGTATTGGGGGGGATCTTCGAAAGATGTGAGATTTCTACTCACTAATAAGCCCCCTCAGGTGCAATTTGAGGGTTCCGATATCTCCACATGTCCTTCATGTCCCTATTCCTAGTTGTTCCATATCATTTTCCTTGCAATCAGACACTTATTCTTTTAGCTCTTTAGGTATTGGTATTACGAAATTCAAAAACGTCATTCCCAATATTTATCATCATTAAAATGTCATCTTTAAACTTTTCTTCAGTCATTGGTACAAAAAATTTGCACTCATAGCTAGGATCTAAGTATTTAAGACAACTTATTTAATTGATACTGTCGCTTTAAACTCAGAGCAACACTTCTCGTCAGGACTCGGATGCGCGCCAATATCCATCCTTCTAGTGACATTGACAGCTGTCAGCTAGGGACGTGACGTTTATGCCGATAATCTAGTGTTGCGCTAATTCTACAGCACGGTACTAATTGTCTTCTTAACAATAGGTGGCGATGATAAATAGTTTTCTCCCAAGAGATAGGTTGTGGGCGAAGGTTAGCCTTTTTAAAAAGGAAAGCAAGTTCACGCTGTGATGCGTGGTTTAAGACTGACTATTTATTCTAATAAAACACAAAGTTGATTATACAAAAGGTTCCTATTGTTATGTTATCTCTACCCATTAAGAAAGTTGTACTTAATGGGTCTTTAATGTGACATGCTTGTGAATGTCTCTTTGTCTATTTTTAGGTTATGCCTACATGACTTCTCCCCCCTTGAGAGAGGCTAACCGATGAACGTAAGGGCTGCTGCTGGATGTCTTCCAATTGATGCGCATTTTCCATATCTTCTATGATTATTTCTACTTGGTGATAACCCGAAGCTAAATCAAGAGTGGTAAAATATTGTGCTCTGCCTAACTTATCTAGTATGTCGTCTATATTGGGCAGTGGATACTTGTCCTCCGCTGTTTTGTCATTTAGTTTCCGATAGTCTATTACCCGTCTCCATTTTTGTTTTCCCGAAGCGTCTATTTTCTTCGGTACCAAGTGTACCGGACTAGCCCACGGAGAGTTACTTTCTCTAATGTTTGTGGTAATAGTTAATCTACTTGTTTTTTAATGTCATCCTTTTGTTTTGGTGCACGACTATAATTTCTTACAAATATCGGCTTGTTATCTGTCAATCTTAATTTATGTTTTATTTCGCATGTAAATGTCAATGGTAACTGTTCGCAGTAGAAAACGTCCCGATAGTTATAACTATAGGTGTTGGTGTTCAAAACTGTATCTACTAGTGGACTGTATTTAAATAAAAGCTGGTTCCGGCACAATGTATTAAAAACTGATAATAACAAATTATGTAAAAGATCAAAATAAAAAACTTTAGCGGTAAACCACTATGCAGTTTATTTGTGCACTTACACAAGATATACGATATAACGTAAGCGTACACAAATTATAGACAAACATAAAACGATACTAAACAATGTAAACAAAGAAAACACGTAAACAAAATGGCGGGCGAGAGAGCGAACGAACGAGGTGTCAGCACAGTGTAGCAACGCGTGGCGACTGGTCGGTCTGCCGGCGCAGCGCTTCGCATGATTTGCAGTTCGGACGATTTGAGTCCGCGTCGCGCGTGGCGCTGTGCCTCAGTAGCGCGCTCACGTCATCCGTATAAAAATGTTTATCTGTTTGTCGGGTGTATGTATTAAATGTGAGAATTTTATGTTATGATTTTGAATGTCAGATGACACAAAAGCACGATTTGACATTTGGTTATCAATACGTAATATATACGTAATATAGTTAATAATAAAAATATTGAAAGACCTACAAACAAGAAAGTAAGGAAAAAATGTATATCATTGGATACAAGTCAATTGCCAACAAATGATAAACACATACTACAAAGGTCTTTTGGGATGACTTATTTGCAATTTCTGGAACTCTGTCAATGTCTCAATCTTGTGCCTCGTGCCATCAGCAGTTTTAATATAGATATAGCCATCACGGGTCCAACATGAAGAAACACCGAAGTACTCTCTGGCCGCCAGGAGTGTGCTGTGACGAGGTTTAGTGAGGAACTCGGAGAATAAATGTAGTGTAATAAATGTAATGATAAATAAATACGTAAATAAGTACACTACAAAACTATGAAAACTTGAATAACGTCGCGTGAGAGTCGGGTCAGTCGATCTGTGGTGGTAGGTTGGTACGTCGCCCCGCAGTGCACTATTCATTTCATATGCGAGCTTGGAGGGGTTTAGCTTTTACGGGGGCTTACCGCGCTCCGTCTCCATGGGCGGGGTCCTATGACAATCACACGACGTTTTTTTTCTTTACATGATATTGCACCCCTCTCGACACTTCATGCCCCGAAGGGGCGCGAGGGCTTACCCGTGTGTGGGTCTAATGCTGTCCGCAACAATAGCATAATTCATTTATTTCACGCTTTTCTTCCTCATTCATGTGATCAATTCGTAACTTTTTTTATTTTGTTTTTTCTTATTGTATTTTGTGAATTTGGCTTAGTCGAATTTTTTGAATTTATTTTCTGCAATGGTACTTTGTTGCTGTTTTTAAAAATTAGTTCTCTGTCCGTTGGGTTTATTACCGTTGTTACCATTCTTCCTTCTTTCACTGACACTAATGCTGAAGGAAAAATAAGTAATTGGTCTTGGTAATTATTTCTTTAAGTAAGTAATCACCTTCTTTATATATTAAATTGATTACTAGTTCATTTTTCGGTTTTATTTTTGAATAAGATTTTATATCGTCTTTTATTGGTATTTTAGTATTTTTTCTGCATAGTACCATGTTTTTTTATATCTTTGGAGTTTAACGGCACTAAGAGATCTAACCCAAAAAGACCTAAAACCTGGATCAAAACCAAAAATTAAAAATCTGTGCATTATTTCTTGTTTGTATATCTTTTCTAGTAATTTAATTATTGCTACTTTTTTGAGCTTAGTTGGCACATCCTTTTATTATGTGGTTGGTTTCGTTTTTAATTCACAGTTATTTATTTTTTGACTAAATGCTCTCGGTGATATACTCGTAAGTGATTGTGATGCGCCTGTGTCTATTAGAAATCGGCCACTTAACTCTTTTATATAAATGTCCGGTAACTTATTGTAATTACGAATGTTGTTCATGAAGACTAAGTTATATTAGTTCCATTTCCTCTAACTGTGTACGAAAATTTTCCTCAGAATTTTCTACGGAAGAATTTTCCACGTCCGATGAATTTTCCACATCGTCGGTTCTACTTTGGAAGTGAATTTTCTTTTTTTGGAATTATTTAAGATTTTGATTATCTTTAGGGATAGATTTGCCGTCAATTTGAATCGGAGTTCTATTTTTATAATATGTATTGGTTGATGGTCTAAATGACATCATTTTGCTTTGTTGTGTACGTTATTATTTATTGAAAATTTTACAGATAACACAAATTAAATAGATGCATAAATATGGCCGCGCAAAAACCATATAATTGGTTTGTCCGCGGGTGCGGTGTTACAATATTATAATACATATGTAGAGTGTCGTAGTGGAGTTTAGCATACTTGTATGACTCTTTTTTATGTAAAAATATATAAAATAAATAATATACTGTATAAAAATAAAGTATTCTATTCATGGGCTATTTTCAAAAAGATGGCTTTCCAAACGCTTAACAAATAGTTTAAATTTTGAACTTAGATTTGCTATTTCAGGTGGTAAGTTATTGAGTATGTGTGGTAAACGTTTTCCAATTGGTTTGTCGCCGTAATAATTATTAATTCTGGGTACTATGTATTTACCACGAGAGGCTGCCCTAGTGCTGTGTTGGTGTTGTGCTTGTGTTATAAGTTATTCAATGTTTTGTGATTTACTGATAGGAAGATAAGTTTATGCTTTCGACTAGCCGGTAATATCTTGCATATCTTAAAAAATTTAAATGTAATTTGTGTTCTTCCTGCCTAACTACAGCGATTGCTTTGTCTGAGCATTATGGTTTTAATTGTTTAACTAGATTGATGTTATTGGGTCTATTTTATCTAGAAATATGTTCAGGTTTGTTCATAGTAACTTGGTTTGGAGTTGTCAGCTAAATTAAGTGAACACGTAATTTTTCTAATCTTTTCAGAGAATAGTTCTAACGATTGCTTATCCCTATTACTGAGCAAGAGCTCTTGAACTAATTGGGATTCATTTCTGAATTCGCCGAATCTATTCTTTAGGATTGATTTAATTTTTCTCCCAGGTAGATGCGCTACCACTATCTGAGATAGCTTCCGCAGCTCTACCCGTTATTCTGTTTCTTATTAGATTTACTAGACAAGGGGTGTCCTTACTAGCAATCGGTTTCAATAAATTTTCCACACCTTCGTTTGTTTTGTTTGTTAAATGTCAAGGTGCACTTGTTCCCATCATAAGAAGGGAACAAAATTGACAGAGTCGCATAATCGATCTCTTTTACGAATTGTTTTTAGTCAGTTACTTTTTCATTACTTGTAGTCATTTTAACCTAACAAAATAAGAAATAGCACCAACGAATCAACTAAACCTCACACAAGAAATACACAAAAATTGTTAATAAATTCTGTAGGAGTGGTAGAAAGGAAACCCCACGAGCATTGGCGATTGAAGGCTAAAAATGTTATTCTTGAGTCGCACGCTGTCTGATATCAGGACCACCGTAGATTTTGCGCGCGACTTTGGCCGGAACGGCGTAAAATTTTTCAGCTGCTTCTGCTTTCTAATTCGCTTGAACCGACTTTAAAACGCAAGGTACCGACTGCGCCAGATAGGTTGTGGGCGAACGCAATAGCATTTTTAAAAAGCAAAGACTGATTATTTATACTAATAAAACATATAGAGTTGATTGTACAAAGGGTTGTTATTGTTAACTTATTTCTGGTTATACAGTACTTCCTCAATGGATCTTTAATGTGATATGCTTGTGAATGTCTTTTTGTCTATTTGTAGGTTATGCCTACATGACTCTTTATATTTAGCATGTCCAGTGACAGTATGCTCCGTTTCATTATGTTTTTACACAGTTTTGTGCTATAGTTGTCCATATTACTATAGATTTCTTTTCGTTTATTTTGTATCAAATTTTATTGACCAACGTTTGATATTTTCATTTAATTAAACCATTGGAAAAAGGGTAGTCCGCTCACACGAAGACTCCGCAAACTCCCACGATCTTTTCTTACTTCCTTCGACTTGCTTTTTATTTTTTCGTATATTACCAATTTCTCCTTTAATACACTGTAAGATGTAACACCATGCAACATACTCTTATTACATTCGTAATGTGTAATGCAGTCCTCAGTGTACTGAATCGCCACGTAATCAGGAAAAACATCTCTACATGTATGAGCTCCTGTAGTTTCTTGTGAATAGACGCTGCATTTGGTGCAATTTGGAGGTTGCGTGTTTGTTTCGCGTTGATTTCAAACGTCGTTAGAAACTTGGCTTATCTCTGCCTCCGTATTCATCTTAGTTCACATGCAGAGACACTGGTATCTTCCTTTTTGGTAAGATCCTGTATGATTTTCTCCAAATCTTCTTCAGTTTCAACATTTTGCGTGAAATCATTGGGTAAATGTAAACCAACTTTCATTTTACACCCAAAAAGAACCTTATACGGAGATTGCTTAATACAAGCATAAAAAGCTCTGTTTGACATCAGTTGGACAAATCTCAAACCCTCACTCAAATGTGAATAATCATTATCTTGTATTCACGTGGTTAGCATATTTTCAATGTCCTGATTAGATCTTTCCACACTCCCCTGACTGCGAATGCCTGGATTTACCATGAATAATTTTTAAAGTAGACTAATATAATAATAATAAGATTCTTTATTGTAAATCATTGATTACAGGATCAATATCCCTTTGGCTCCTTAACTAGGAAATCCTGTATTTAAGGAGCCAATGCCTTCTGTGCCCTAAGAATGGGTTCGGGTCCCGCGGCACAATCTACCCTTGAACAACGATTGCACCGGAGGGCATAATACTGTAAACGTAAGGGGAAAATGGTACTCACCAGCTCGATGAATTGCCTCACCTCCTGCAGGTGCCTTGACTCAGTCAGTGTCAATCGAGTCAAAGTCTGGTTCAGTCAAGTCTATAGGCCCAGCGATGCTGCCTGAAGATGTACCAGTAATTTCGAACGCGAAACCGAATTTAGCGACCCCGTTCGCTACCGAAATCGACACGGCTGTTGTATCTTTGCGTTATACAAAGAGCAACTCTAATCGGCACAAGTGTTCGCGACCGTCTCGCTTGGCTGCTCGATTCCGACCGTTTCTCGCACCCCCCCTCTCCGCAGGTACCGCGCCCGTCCGTAGTGGAGAGGGTTTATCCATCTACCCTCCCGTGCGAGGAAAATAAAATAGGCGGGCATACCCGCACTAAACGCGAGGCGCGATATTTAAATTATACTAGTACAATCTGTGCCGAACACCTTCCCTTTCAGGTACATTTAACAACAAAGAGAAAAAAAACTAAAGTATCGAAACCATATAAATTACAGAAAAATAAACCTACATATGTTTTTAAATTTTCAATAATTTGGTTTGAAAATTCTCTGCCGTTGTTAGACTTAAGTATTGCAGGAGCACCAAGTAGAGAAAATATGACCAATTAAGTGTGAGCCACTTCCTCTGCTCGTTTTTTTAAGTGGCCGTAAAACAACAAATCTTGTTAAATAATATACCTGATAAATTTTTTATCACCTTGAATTAAACTCTGAGGATATTATAGGCTTTACAACAATGACTTTTTTAATGTTTTTTTGCTATTGTTGACATGGTTCACAAAGTTCAAGATACGTTTCAATATCCTTACGTATTGTTTTTATAGAGACTCCATATCTCTTTTATCATGCGATCTCTTGCGAAGTCTTTCTAGCAGTTATTTTTGCCGTAGAAACTTCTTCAATCAACTCATTATAACGTTCATCTGCTTGGCCGATTTTTATTGTTCGGGAATACTGACACCGGCAGCTTATTCCATTCTTTTGCTGTGCACACGAGAAGAGATGTTTTAAATCGTTTCGTACGAATCCGTGGCACGTCAACTGAGTAAGGATGGAAACCAACTGTGCGTCTAGATGTCAGATGGTGAATGGGGCACGGGGAAATAAGATCGTGTAATTCCCGCGCACACTCGCCAAAGTGCCACCTTTCGTCTGTGCTCTAGACTTCTTATTTTGTAGCGGGGGGAGGCGCGGCGATGGCGATAAGTCGACTTGTGTTAAGTTTGTACTGTTTATTAGCCAGACTACATAGAATGCTAGACGCGCTCACCGTTGACATATATGACCCAGCTGAGGTAAAGCGCATATTTGTATGGCAAGTTTATTTATTTAACACTTTGCACAAATAATACGACAGAAAACTTTAACTAGGTTTGCGCAAGAGCGGCCTTATAGCTAAGAGCGATCTCTTCCAGGCAACTCTATGGGATAGGAGAAGCTAGACAAACACACAAGCTACCCTGAGGATCCTTGTATGTTCAAGCAATGGTTGAAGCACAAAGAGTGTCTAGCGTAGTCCCTACTGTGAAGCAGTTGCAAAGCACCGCGATTCATACTAAGCACAAATAAGGTTGGGAGGTCAAGAAACCATCAATGTACATCGATATCGCCATGTATCTGTACTACAGCGCCATCTAGTGACAAGCTGTGCAATTATTGAGTTGCATTAATGTATTAAGGCGCTGCCAGCGCGATTAACTACTCGGCACGATGACGCTGTTATGAGCCTCGGGTTGAAATGGTTTTTAAAAAAAAAAGGAATATAAGATTAAATTAGACAACCGTCTGGGTTGTTTGGGTGTTGGGATGAGACTAACTGGTCGGGTAGCGGAAAGCGGTATATATGGAGTATGAATATGCTAGGTAAGCAAGAAAAGGGTTTATGTCTGCACTATAGGATGCAATCCAAGGATGTAACAGCGCGAATAGTTCTCGTTTATCAAGAAAATGTTATTTTAGTTTAGATTTTATATTTTTTTCATTTATTGCGTATTTTATATTATTTGAAATTTCGTTAATCAGTGTTAATGTCAGGTACTGTGCTGTCCGTTTACCGTAAAAGTTTTTAATGTAATAAAATTTGAAAAAAATGTGTTTATTGTTTTATTTTAATTTAACAAAGATTTCCAGGGAGTTGCGACTGCATCAGGCATTGAACGGGATACTCTCTGTAATAAAAAAATAAAAAACTTAGCATTACATGTATTAACTAAAGATGCCGCCAGTCAATTATACATATCCGCCTATCTGCCTTCAAAAACTACCTTTAATCTGAGTTAGGTTGGGAGCTCGAAGTAGTATTTGAAAAAAAATAAGACTTTATGGGATTATTCTCAATAAAAGTCTGTCAATGGTTACATCTATTTACTTTATATGTTACACAGTTAAACTTACGTTCTATCTACGCCTTATTGTCTCTAAAATGTCATGCGCCCGCGCTCCCTCATTGGCCCCTGCGTTTTTACGCGTCACACGAGAGGGCGCGCTTGTCGCATTATCGATAACCTATCGATTAACTAGCGTATTCGCTACTTTATTATTTAACAGAACTACTCACAAGGAGCACTGCGGACGAACTGATTATGTACACACGGACGAAATGTTACACACGAAGATATCTAAGTACAATGAAATTGTTATAGGCTCTTATCTTACAATGAATGGCTTACTGTGAACTTATGATAACTTATTCCTAGTTATGGCTACGTAACTTTTGTTATCAATTCTTAATTATGACGGTGGAGACAGCTGCCTTGGCGACGCCTATAGACCTAACCATTAAGTACGTAAGCTGTACTTATTAACTTATTAGTGAATAACTTAATTTTGATATCGATTTGATATTTAGAATTAATTCTAAAATATCTGAATAATAATAATTTATCTTTAAAGATAACGTCAACTTTATTAATGATTAAAAACAAATTATTTGAAAAGAAAATTTTTCAATGTCAGCTCTGTAACTTATTTGAACATCTGTGGTCAACTTACGTAGTCTTCGGGTACTTCACAGCAACAATCCGGGGCAAATGACTCGCACTGTCCATGACGGACGCATACTTCAGGGTCACAGACGGTTACGGTGTCTGAAAGGTTAGCATTGCTGAGTAAGATGTGCACATCAAAGATGTATACAAAATATATAGACTAGGTACAGTGAACGAATTTTTTTTTACCGGTAATTTCAGTAATAGGTATTACATCAGTTACGTATAATGCCGATTTCAAAAATTCTCACACCATCAAAAAGCTACGTTATAAGTGAGTAAGTCTGTATTTTTTTATAATTTTTAATTTCACACGGGTATAGTCACGAGCAATAGCTAGTCATCTATACATGTAATAAAGTTGGAGTGTCTGTAATATCAAAAGAAAAATTCTAGATTACGGGAAGACGATGTATTTGCATTGCTGATAACGAAAGTAGCATTTTACTTTTTTTTTGTTCCGGGCAATCTCCGAAATGGCTGGGCCCATTTCGACCGGACTTTCACTGAAGGGTAGCTGACATAGACGAGCATGTTATAGGCTACTTTTTATCTTAATATTGCGCGGATGAAGTCGCGGCCAACAACTAATATATCAGAATAAAATATTGATACAAACCTCTTTTGTGTCTCGCTCCCAGCGCCATAGTTGCTAAGGAAGATAATAATTAACCAGGAAAATAATATAAGCATGAGTAAATCACTTTATAATAGATTTGATTACGTTAGTATAAACTGGTTTAATTCTAGGAAAACTTATTTCTACGTAAGGAGTTTTATAAAATTTAAATTCAATTGATCATGCAATTAATAAAATAAATCATGGAATCTATACTTCTATACTATTATAATAAAGCGTAAAGACACATTTCTTTGTTGCCTAAGATGTCAGCAATTACAGTATATTTTTGAATAATCCTTCTTTTTTTTTTTATAAAAAAGCCCTACACTTACGTCTCTAGGCTATATATTTTCACAACATTATTTTTAGGGGGGTAAATATTTTGGATAAAAACCCTAATGTGAGAAAGAGACCATAAGTTGCTGCCAACAACAAGGAAGCAAGACTGTCAAGGTTTATCATGTCATGTCTTTTACTACTGAGAATTTGACAAATGTAAACAATAAAATAAAATTTTCACAATTTCATGCGGATGAAGCCGCACGGGAACAGCTAGTTTAATTCCAAGTAATCAATTGATAACTTACGCGCACACAGCATTGCTACAAAAATGGTGATTTTCAACATGTTCCCCGTTATCGCGCCAAATTTCAAAGATGGCCGACGGCAACCATTTATATAGAAAAACGGAAATTGCAAATTTAAAAATAATTATTTGATTTTTTATTAATTTTAAATAAATCAAAGAAATGTATACAATTTTACAGTAATTTCACGCTTTGTTGGAATTTTTTTGACTTGCATTATTCACGATTCAAATAAACGAAAGTATTGTTTGCATCTAAAAAAACAATAATAATCCGACTTTTTTAAATACTGCTTTAGTAATTTATAACTTATCAAATTAGAAAGTACATAGATTAATTATTCGTCAAAGTCGAAAACAGGTTAAAAATAAATTAAAAATACGATTTTACGCATTCCAACTTTTGATTTATCGTATATCTGAAATAATTTTTACAATATGATTTTAATATATAAAAATAAATTGTTTAGAAATAAAAATCAATTTTACCTTTCCTATAGTTTGTCTAAATAAGATACGATTAGTTTGATAAATGACGCATATGAAGTATCGAATTCAATTTGTATGAAGGTAAGGCAAGTTCCTAATTTGAAATCGTTTTCGCTTTGTTTTCCTGTTTAAATGAGAATAACGACAAAACAGGAGTTTATAATTTAATATGTGAGAACTATTTAATAATAAAACAGGATGACATGTGTCATATATAATTGTTTCTTCCTTATTTGAATATATTCTTTTTAATCATGAACACAACTGTTTTAGTAATTCTGATAAACTAATCCAAATATTAGATTTATAATTGAAAAATTCAAGTTTATACAGAGAGAGTAATAAAATGCATGAGAGTTTTACCACTTGCATGCATAAACAATACTTTTTATGGTTATTGCTAGTCACCTAACATATTTGCTAAACCTGTCAATATGTGATTTTCTAACTGAGGGACAGTATAAACCAGAAAATAAAACACTACCATATTAATAATTTATATTTTTTCTATTGCTAATAATATGTTAATAAAAGCTTTCTATTTATAAAAGAGTTGAAAGAATTTAACATATTTTTACCAATACTACAACTTTATTAAGATTTGTATGGGTTACTTCTGCTATGATAAAGTAGCAATTTCTGTCCCCGGTAACATACATCAGTATTTGGCTCTGATTGTAAATGATTTCAAGGTCTTCCTTTCTGAATGTAGTTTTTCATATTCACTTTATGAAGACATTTACAATAAAAATAATATCATCCCTTTTTTAATAACACATATGGCATTATCGTTAGATTATCTTGAGGTTCTGAAATATATAAAATATTAGGACTATTTACACACTTCTAATATTTTTCCCATGGCCAAGGTTTTTATTTCATTAATATAGATATGTGGTATTAAATATGACCAAGTATGTGAACTAAGTAATGCATTGACTTGTTGTAACATAGCTTATAGTGTGTCTAAATAAGATAGACTAATTTAACAATTCATTTGAAATTTAGTAGGGAATTGTTGTATAAAATCAATCATAAATCTTATCTTTTTTTTATTCTTATAGAAGTTGGAATTGATAGATTCATAGTTATAACTTGGTATTAAAAAAAACACTGTTTTCTCAAATTTATAATGACCTGCAGGACTAATACAAATCATCATCATCATCACCAGCTCACTATACGTCCCCACCGAGGGGCTCTGAGCCTTTTTTTTCCAAAGGGGAATGCTTTCTGCATACTCCATGCCTCGGGGCAGACACGTGAGTTATGTGGAACTCTACTCTCCACTCTCTTCTTTTTTTCTTTCTTCTCTCTCTAAAATTATTCTCTTCATTCTCTATTATATAGATTCTCATTTCTAAAATTACATTTTCTAAATTTGCTTCTATATGTTTACTTTTAACATTGTAATAATTTGCTATGGCTAAATTTCTGGTTCCTTGGCGTTCATCAAATTTTGATTTTCTTTTAAAATCCGGCAGTCTTAAAGTAAATAATATTTGTAATTATCGCTGAGACTTGACCTTCAGAATAAAGTATCTATATGCATTATTTCCTATCTTAATTTGGAAGTTTTAAAACTATAATAAAGTCTCTGCATACATTTTCTGTCCACAATAAACTCTAAAATCTTTCTATTTTTACCTGTGCCAAGCTTGTGATAAAGCCATGCCTTGGATAAACTACCCCACTTTGGCAACAATAATCTTATGCAAAGTGAAAATATAAATAACTTACTTACATCCTTACTGCGTTGGCGCAGCGACCCAAAGTGGGTCTTGGCCTCCGACACGAGAGAGCGCCAGCGTCGTCTGTCCTGTGTTGTCGCTTGCCAGTCGAACAACTCTAGCTCGCGCAGGTCCAGCTCTACGGCGTCTCGCCAGCGGTATCTGGGCCGGCCGACGGGTCGGCGGCCAATCGGTATTCCGAAATATGCTTTTTTGGCTCCACGATCATCCCCCATTCTCATTAAGTGGCCCAGCCAGCAAAGTCTCTGGGCTTAATATAAATAATATAATAAACTAATTTACCGCTGGCTCTGGGAGTGTTGAGCTTTGGGCTTTGGTGTGACCAAGGATGGCCCTGTGTTTTCCACCACACACTCTTCCAATACCTCGGCACCATTATCAATAACTTGATGAACTGGAACATCCTCCGGACCATTTTCATCACCGCATAGTTCCGCATCACCACCATATGCAACTGTCAATCCATCCACCGTACTTCCTAACAGTGCAGCCACCCTGTCCAACACATCGTCAGGAGGTATGTAAGAGGGACCACCACCACCAGTCTAAAAAGGAGAAAGATAAAATTTTAATTAAAGGATTAATTAAATATATTCTCTGTTATTTGATATATAATAAAGAGTTATCCTATTCTTTTCCATTAAATTGCTGCAATTGTTTATGAACCGATTAAAATGATTGTTTTTTATTAGAAAGTAGATATTTCCAAAGTGTTCCCATGAAAAGGAAATAAGGGCTTGATGACGGCAAACCAGATAATCATGTTAAGCTTGTTAAATGTTAAGATTACTATGTTTCCCTCATAGTTAAAATAAATAAATACACTAACCTTTATATTGTTCAAGCGTATTTGCGTGTTGCGTTCACGGGAATTCTTTTTCAAATTCTCCCATTTTAACCGCAACTGCTGTGGTGTCCGGTAGGCTGTGGTTATCACAGCATTGAATTTTTCACATATTTGTCTCCATTCTTCACGTTTCATTTTGTTCGTGGTGGCATTTGTCATTTTATTATTTATTATTTTACTGCTTTCAATTATTGAAACCAGTGTTTTTGTCTTCTCGAGGTCTGGAAATAATAAGAAATTACTACCTATGTAAAGGTTACAAATTAGGCGCGAATTTAAGCGTCTTCACGGGGGAAGTTTGTTGAATAAAAGTACAGAAAGTAAGAACATGTTAAATACTCAATAAAAGTATACATACCATTGCACTTACACTTTCCATAGTGAATATTTAGTTGTTTATCAAAAAACACGAATAGAAGCTATATAAATTTCAAATGAATAGCTGATGTAAATAACATTGACAACTGATGTCAAATGACATTGACAGACAATTTATTCCTCTGATTACGAACTCGCACCGCTACCAAAACTCCGAAAAGGGAGTATTGGTTGATGACAATTTGCTTGGAAAATGTTGAAACACCTTTATTCGTAAAATACGTAACAAATAAATAATTAATTAGTACGTTAAAACCCAAAATAGTCCAAATTTTCTTAAATTCATCAATAGGTTTACAACACAGTCATAATGATATCTGCTTGAAATGGAACGCCAGGAAGGAACTTCACAAAGTAGATCGCTCAGCGATCCAACGTGAAAATCGAAAGATGTTTGCTATCCGGTGTTATTGTGACGCAGATTAGTGATCAACCTGCAGGTCGTTTTATCTCTCCGGTTGAAGCAATCTCCCGAACCAAGATGCGTTATTAAGACCGGCCGTTAATAGACAGGGTTGTAGTGACGAAACAAACTCGCATATCGAACAATTGGAAACTATCGATATTCGGTTTAAATAAAATTTATCAACCTTCCTAAAATTATTATTTTCTTATTAACTAATTTAGCGGACAACTCTAGCATTGATTATATTGCAGAGAATTTAGTAATGACAGAAAACAGCAAATTCCAATTCGATTACGTTTTTTTATTATTTTTTTTATTGAAAATATTACATGAAACAAATTAAAAGAATATGCACAAATATGACCCCGCAAAAACTATATAATTGGTTTGTCCGCGGGTGCGCTGGTTACACTTTACAATACAACATATGTAGAGTGTCGTAGTGGTGTAGGTTTTATGACATGTTTTTTTGTGTAAAATTATATAAAATACATACATACTTAATATACTGTATATAAATAAAATATTCTATTCAAGGGCAACTGTAGTAGCGTACAACTGTAGTAGTAAATAAATATGTATTTACTCTTATTTGAAATGGTTCTGCAGGTCATTATTAATTTGCGCATAGTGTTTTTTTAATTCATAAGTTATAACTATGAATCTATCGATTCCAACATCCATAAGAATAAAATCGAAAAGATTCATCCTAGATTTTATTTCATAGTATTGAAATTATGTCGGATAACGAGTACGGGTCTAAAGGACGGTAAGGTTCGGAAAAGTTCCCCGAAGCGGATACTAGCGGGGCTTACCTGGTTGTTCTGCGCTGCGCGTATTAAATGGTCTTGCTGCACTGTTAGTTCACTACTTATCTCACACTTCCTTCTCCCTAAGCCCCGCATTCGTATGTGTCAACGCTCCACTCAAACTTCGAATTCCGAACTAAAGCGTTCCAAAAGACGAAGAAAGAGCGAAGGAGGATGGATTGTGACAAAGGGTCGAAGAACGTCGGTTGGGATAATAAAATAAAGAACGCGGTGACGATACACCATCCCTACTAAATTGTGACATGAATTGTCAAACTAATCTATCTTATTTAGACAAACTATAGTCAAAACAAGCGTTGGTTGTCGCTAAAAACAATTGCACAATATTGAAAATGGAGAAAATATTATGCAAGATTGAACGTTGCAACAAAACTTAACCGATAAACTCTATACCAGAGGTCGGTGGGAGATATTTCAATACAGACCTATGGAGATGTCGAAACTATTTATTAGCAATCTAGAATACTTAAAATGGTCATGTTTTAATCAGTCATATTTTAGGGAAACCCGTTTTCCCAGATAGTAGAGTATCTATTTTATAAAGACAGACCATATTACAATTATTATCAACTAGCTGTTCCCATGCGACTTCATCCGCATGAAATATAAATACTTAAATGTATTTTATTGTTTACGTCTGTCAAATGTCAAAATTCAAATGCACTAATGACAATTGCTCCTTCTCTTTTCAACATTAGGATTTTTATCCAAAATATTTACCCCCCTAAGTTTAATGGCGTGGAAATATATAGCCTAAATCGTGATGAAAATGTAGGGCTTTTATTAAAAAAAGAACTATTCAAAAATATGCTGTAATTGCTGACATCTTAGGCAACAAAGTAGTGTGTGTTTACGCTCTATATATAATAATATATATATTACAATTATTATTAATTTACAATAAAATTAAACCTTATTATAATATAAAAGCAAAAATGACAAATTTCGTCATGCGATTTTGAGCTAAACTATTTAACTATGTAGTAGTCTTTGACTCTAAAAATCAAACAAAAAAATGGGACCCACCTACAAGCAATTTTTTTTATTGGGCGGTGCTGTGCCGCACTCTCGTTCTCCCTAACATATTTGTGGGAAAGGGACGTTGGGTGCGGGTGGAACTTTTATTTCTTTATTTAAAAGTTTTTTCACGTAACGTTACAAATTCCTTAATACTATCTTACGATAACAATTACATTAATATCACAGTTTATTGCCTTTGTTTTTTAAAATTACTATTTGACTAATAATCTAAAATTGCTAAAAATGACTAGAATTAATGTAACTTAGGTTAAAACGATAAAAATAAAATTACAAGGTTAAAAACAACATTTAAAATTACAAGATAAAATGCATAAAACTAATAAATAATATGGCTAAAAACAGATTAAATGACTTGTATGTCTTTCTTATTTCTTTCTATTACAAATTTTGGCCAAGGACCTGCAATATTTGACAAATACATGTTTCGTATTTTTATTGCTGATTAGATTTTTTTAAATTTTGTACATTAATCTTTTCTTTTCATTTCAGTTGCACCTGCAAGTATTACCTTTCGGATAAAAAAAGAATTATCAAAATCGGTCCACTAGCGGCGGAGTTATGACGTAACACACATAAAAACATACAGACGAATTGAGTACCTCCTTCTTTTGGGAAGTCGGTCAAAGAATAACGATACGAAAGATCAATTATTTGGCTCGTTGAAGAACGTAAAGGCAAATCTTAGCCGGAAATTTAGTTTTTACGATTTTTATACAAAAAAAAACTTTAAAACTCTAGAAAATCTGTCAACATTAATATCTATTGAGGTCTTCTATACATAAAATCGTTGATCCGTTCCGTTAGAATCATCCTGTATATCTTATAATTTATTAGCTGTTGCCCGCGACTTCGTCCGCGTGATATTATAAAACATACGAACTATATAAGTAACAAAAAGCTACGTATCACTCGGGAACCGGACATTTCTCGGGGAAGAACCTCATCTCATGTGTACTCCAGACTTTGTTTTTATCATAGGTTATTTACTAGTAAAAGTAATATTTTGTTTATAGAAATAAGTTCATGTTTTATATATTAAAAATGTATTTAAAGTATTTAGTTTATAGGTGCAGTTGTCAATAAACTGCTTTGGCAGTTTGGCGAAATTTTATATTATTGTATTAAATTTAAGGTACTTATAAATGAATTTAAAAAATGTCTTTACAAAAATTACAACACTTTAACCTCTGTACGATGTTATTATTTATTAAACCTTGGACTGATAAGATGTGTTAAGATCGAACTATACATGTGCAAAGTATCAGTTGCGATGAAGCTCAGATTCTCTCAATTGTATTAGGATAATGTTACACAAAGCGGGTAGCCGTTCGACCGCTGCATTGTAACCAACACATCTTTTTTATATAAGGTGGCAAACGAGCAAGCGGCCATCTGAATCCACTGAAATGGAAAGCGACCACTGCCCATAAACATCTGCAATCGCAGATGTGTTGCCAACCCTTAACTGACGGAGGAGACGCACATGTCCCCTTCCTATGAGTCTCCTCTACCGTCAAATCGACTTTTCCTTCCCATCCTTACCTCTTAAGAAAAGGGTAGAAATGGAAAGGGACTAAAATTAGGCCTACGGCACCACACTCATCAAACGAAAGCGGAGTTGCTTCCACTTCACGCCTGTTTTCTGTGTGGTCGTGGTATTACACCGGGCGAGCCGAACCATTCGTGCGAAGATGTTAAAGCGGGCTCTACCACTGTTAATATCTACAGGGTGTCCTGAAAATACGTGTACGATGTTACGTTTGACCGCCAGAGGTCTCTTAAGTTTGCTAATTCATCACCATCCTCGTTATCCTACTTCCGTAAGGCGCAACAGGTTTTTGTCCTCCACATAACTATCATACGTCATCTCAGTCACTCCCTTTTTGATCATGTCACCTTTCACGCAATCCATCCACGTTTTTCTAGGTCTACCTCTACCGGGTACCCTTCCAAACCCATAACTAACGTTCTCCTTGTAACATGCGATTCGTTAAATCATCAGATGGCTAGCGAACATTAAAACAAATTGTAACCTAATTTAAAACAGTAATCTTTGTATGTCATCTCAAGAGGGTATGTTTACCCAATCCAGTAATTATAATGAAGTAATAGCTCGTGCAGAGCCTCCTGGGGGAGCCCTCGAGCTTAGTTACTCATAAACGAGGTTGCTAAGCGCCTTCTGCACCCGGCCACCTCAAGCCCGGTGAGTCTCTTCAAGGGAAACAGTGGCCATTCAGTCACAAAAAAAAGCGTTTGGTTAGCTTAATATACGTAATTTTGCATTAATTTTCACGCGATTTTTAAAGACAGCCGCATAGTTCGTTTGAGCCTTAAATTGTACAAATATGTAGCTTGATTCGTGTTTTTGCTCTCAAGAGCCAGTCGCCCTTGGAGAGTGAACGTGGATGCTTGTGTTATATCTCGAACGTATTTTAAAAGCAATTCAGTGATTACAAAGCAAAATGCGGTGAGTTAAGTTTATTTGTGTTAATTGTTGGGTGAATAAATGCCTTTTTAATTTGCTATTTATTGTGAGAAATTTAACTTTAGTTATTTGAATTATATGAACACTAGCTTTCGCCTTCGACACCGTCCGCGTGGAATTAAAAAAAAGAAAGTAAGTAGCCTATGTGGTCTTCCAGACTATCGACAACTGTGCCAAATTTGATAATTTTTTTTTAATTTGAACTAATAAAGTTTTTAAATAAACGAAAAATGTTCAAACCAAATTTAACCGTTATCTCAAACTTTCTTAGATGTGTTATATACTGTGTATATTTGAGGAACTTTAAAAGTAGCGCCAGTGGTGGAGTAATTGAGAAGCAAAAGGTTAGCGTGGTATGGACATATGCGACGAAACGATGAGGACATAAACCAGAAAGTGTTAAGATTGAATGTGGATGGCTACAAAGGTAGAAGACCGAAGAAAGTATGTATGGATTGTGTGAAAGAGGTTATGCTTAAGAAAGGAGTGGATTCAGATATGACGGCTGATAGAGATGTATGGAGCAGCACATACTGTGCCGACCCTCCGTAAGGGATAAGGGCAAGTTGATGATGATGATTGCTATTTACTGTGTTCAATTTGTATGTTCGCGAAATTTCCATAAAAAAAGCAGAGATACAAAACATTTTCAACGATATTTTCAATTATTACTTGTAAGAGATTATAACTTTTCATTCTAAACGGTATATTTATCTCACGTTTATTCTAAAGGTTATCAAAACTCATTGTTTTTAGAATTTTCGTAGCACTGAGTATATGTCCTTATCTGTACTAATACTATAAACAGGAGAGATTTGAATGTTTGTATGTATTGAAATAACTCAAAAACTAAATAACCGATTTCAAAAATTCTCTTACCATTAAAAACTACGTCATCAGTGAGGAACATAGTTAATAATAACTTCCACCGATGTTCGGTTTAATGTAAAAAAATATCGAACTTTTATTATTTACCTACTAGCTATCGTCCGCGTGGTAAAAAAAAAACAAAAGTGAATAGCCTATGTGTTCTTCCAGGCTATCCTCTACATCTATACCAAATTTGATCGAAATCCGTTTAGCCGTTTAAGCTACAAACTCTAACAAACATCCATCCATCCATCTAAACTTTCGCATTTATAATATTAATAAGACTAGCTTTCGCTCGTGACTCCCTCCACGCGTAATTAAAAAAGAAACTAAAATGGCTAGCCTATGTGGATCAAGAAGGGACTGATGACTGAGATGACGGATGAAAGAGTTATTTGGAGGACGAAAACCAGGTGCGCCACTACGGGAGTAGGATAAGGCAGGGGGGACGATGATGAGTACCCTATGTGTTCTTCTTGTCTATGCCAAATTTCTTCAACATCCGTTTAGTCTTTTATAATATTAGTATATATTATGCACTGGGTGTTCGCGTATGGCTTCATCCGCACGACATTAAAAATTTATTGTTTGCATTTGTCAAATTATTAATAACAAATGATATGACAAACCTTGGTAAACTTGCTTCCTTGATGTTGGCAGCAACTTATGGTCTCTTTCCCACATTAGGGTTTTTATCCAAAATATTTACTACCTAAGTTTAATGGCGTGAAAATATGTAGCCTAAAGCGTGACGTAGGTGTAGGGCTTTTAAAAAAAAGAGATTTATTCAAAAATATGCTGTAATTGCCGACATCTTAGGCAACAAAGAAGTGTGTGTTTACGCTTTATTATAATAGTATAGATAGATATCCGTTTGCTTTATAGGTTCGTGAGGACAATATTGATTTTATCTCTAGGTGTAACCTTAGCTGAAGAAACAATAAAGGAAGAATTCAATAATTTAGCAAAGGACATAGAGAATTATATGAATCAATACCTACCTCAACTCGAGTCGCGGATGTTTGACACAACAGGTTAGTAATCCACATCGTTTGTACATTACAACAAATAACTACATCGTAGTCTTTGACTCCAAAAATCAAACAAAACAATGGGCCCTTTCGGATAAAAAAAGAATTATCAAAATCGGTCCACTAGCGGCGAAGTTATGCCGTAACACACTTCCCAAAAGAAGGAGGTACTCAATTCGTCTGTATATTTTTTTCTTTTATCGATATTTATAGCTGGCCTTCAAAAGGAGAGTCAACTACTACTTATTAAGCTATAGTGTCTAAATAATTTAGATTAATTTGACAATTCACTTCAAATTTAGTAAGGATGGGTTGTGTAAAATCAGTCATGAATCTGATCGATTTTCGTTTTTCTTTCTTATAGAAGTTGTAATCGATAGATTTATAGTTATAACTTATGAATTTAAAAAAAAAAACACTGCCTTCTCAAATTAATAATGACCATAACAAATAACGTGAGTAAAATGTCAACATGACATGACAAACCTTAGCAATCTTTCTTTGATATTGACAACAACTTATGGTCTGTTTCCACATTAGGGTTTTTATCCAAAATATTTACCCCCTAAGTTTAATGGCGTGAAAATATATAGCCTAAAGCGTGACGTAAGTGTAGGACTTTTTGTTATAAAAAGAATTATTCAAAAATATGCTGTAATTGCTGACATCTCAGGCAACAAAAAAGTGTGTCTACGCTTTATTATAATAGTATAGATAGATTTTAAAGCAAATAGACATATTCTCATGTGTGTTTATTATTCTAGATGATGACGCAATGGTTTTATCTTACATCATCGCAAATGCAACGAAAGATATATTAATGAATTCAAAAACTAGTAAGTATCGCAGATAATAGAATACTATATGTGTATGTTAAGATGGATGTATGGTAAGAATGGATAAAATTAAGAATGTGCTTTTTATAACATAAGGTGGCAAACGACCAAGCGGCCACCTGAATCCACCGAAATGGAACACGACCGCTGCCCATAGACATCCACAATTGCAAATGCGTTGCCTACCCTTCATTGACGGTGGAGACGCACATAAACAGGACATTTCCCCTTCTTATGCGTTTCCTTCAACATCAAATCCACTTTTCCTACCCATCCTTACCTCATAAGAAAAGGGCGGAAAGGAAAAGGGACTAAAATTGGGCTTCCGGCACCACACTCATCAGTCGAAACGCAGAATTGCTCCCACTTCACGCCTTATTTCTGTGTGGTCGTGGTATTGCTGGGGGCGAGCCGGCCCATTCGTGCGAAGATTTTAAAGCGGGCTCTACCACTGTCAATCAAAACCAAAAGTCAAAGTATATTAGAGGAAGTTTCGCAAAAAAGAATCGCCAGTGGTGGAGAAATTGAGAAGCAAAAGGTTAGCGTAGTATGGACATAACGCGACGAGATGGGGACATAAACCAAAGGTGTTAAAAATGAATGTGGACAACAAAGGTAGAGGAAGACCGAAGTATGGATGAATTGTGTGAAACAGGATATGCGTAAGAAGGGAGTGGATTCAGATATGAAGGCTGATAGACGTATGGAAGAGCAGGACATACTGTGCTGACTCTCCGTAAGGGATAAGGGCAAGTGGTGATGAACACTAGTATAGACTTACAAGGATCGTATAGTATAGCAATAAGAAATTTTTTCGAGCAACTCTTTTTTATCACATTCAAATTAATAATTATATTTTAGATGATGACGATTATGTGAAGAATATTTTAAATAAAATGAAGACAACGGAAATCCCAGAAGTTGACTTTGTAACTAATGGTATGATTCTATTTGATATTTAACAACTGACATAACTTTGAACTTATAATTTAATTCAGTAACAAAATTAGATTTTTTTTAATTTTATAAGGTAGCAAACGAGCAAGCTGCCACCTGAATCTACCGAAATGAAATTACAGATGTTTATGGACAGTCGCTTCGCAATTTTGCCGGATTCAGGTCGCTTGCTCGTTTGCCGCCTTATCTTACTTCTTACTAATATTATAAATGCGAAAGTTTAGATGGATGGATGGATGGATGTTTGTTAGCGTTTGTAGCCTAAACGGCTAAACGGATCTCCATGAAATTTGGCACAGGTTTAGAGCATAGTCTGGAAGAACACATAGGCTACTTTTTATCCCGGGAATAGTTACGGTTCCCGTAGGATTCATTAATTTAGTTTTTTAATGTTTACATGATCATTCTGCAACGGTTCAACATATCTTAATGAAATTTGGCACAGATATAAAACAAAGTCTGGAGTACACATGGGATAAGCTTCATCCCCGAGACATGTCCGGTTCCCGAGGGATACATAGTTTTTTGTAATTTATATAGTTCGTATGTTTTCTAATACCACGCGGAAGTCGTGGGCAACAGCTCGTGATATACTCGTAATAAAAAAAAACCTAACCAAAGAATGATTTTAATTTTACAATCGTAAAATTCAAAATGGCGCCATGTAATACTTTTTTTTACATTCAGATCCCACCGTTGAAGAGAATAAAAAAATGTTGGCCCCAAAAGCGATAATCGCAGATAAATACACCGAAGTCATAAGAAAAAAAACAAAAAAAGGTATGTTCAACTACGTCACTAATTTATCTACATTATGAAAATATGTATGGATGTTTGTTACTAGGTTTCTTCCTCCTCCTCAAATGTACATCATCATCATCTCCTTATCCTACTTCCGTAAGGCGCAACAGGTTTTTGTCCTCCACATAACTCTATCATACGTCATCTCAGTCATCACTCCCTTCATCATGTCACCTTTCATGCAATCCATCTCTTTCTACCTCTACCGGTGTACACACTCATAACTAAGTTCTTCTTGTAACATGCCATTCATCCCTCCTCATAACATCCATGCTAACCTTTTACTCCTTACCTTCTACCACTGGGGCTACTCTCAATCTTCCAATATTCTCATTTTGTATTTTATCCATTTGCGTTACCTTACACATCCGCCTAAGTTTAATAGCGTGAAAATATGTAGCTTAAATCGTGACGTAAACGTAGAGCTTTTTATTAAAGAATAATTTAAAAAATATGCTGTGATTGCTGACATCCTACGCCACGAAGTAGTGTGTTTATGCTTTATTATATTAGTATAGATATACATTAAAATATCTGATTGTTTTTTACAGAAATTGACAGCGATACGGAAACGAGCTCCTTTTTGCAATCTACTGTCAAACAAATATCTTCAAATGAAAATACACAAAGAAAAGGTAATTATTTCATTACACTTTATCCCACCATCACCAGCTCACTATATGTCCCCACTGAGGGGTTCGGAGCCTACCCTAAGTTAGTGACTAGGTCATAGTCAACCACGCTGCTCTGCGGGTTGGTTGACTTCACACATATCTTTGAATTTCTTCGCCGAATTGTGCAGGCATCATGATGTTTTCTTTCACCGTAAGAACGTCGGGTACATTAAAAATCCGCAATATCGAAAATCACATTGGTCGCGGGATTTGAACGCATCTGCAATTGCGGATGTCTATGAGCAGCGGTCGCTTTCTATTTCGGTGGATTCAGGTGGCCGCTTGCTCGCTTGCCACCTTATTTTATAAAAAAAAATTCTGTATCGTAGATAAATTTTATTTAATTCAGTTAAGGCGTGGTATGCTGGTTACTTAGTATCAATTTTTCATTCAAATATATTTTTTTTATTCCACGCGGATGGATATGCTTAAGAAAGGAGAGGATTCAGATATGACGGCTGATAGAGATGTATGGAGCAGCATACTGTGCCGACCCTCCGTAAGGGATAAGGGCAAGTTGATGATGGAGGGTTGACCGAAAACTTAGTTGTATATACCCTTATATTTATTTATTCTCAGAAGAGGTTACCTCGTATATTATATTGCTAATATTATAAATGCGAATATTTACTGTGTGCTAGTTAAAACAGCTGAAGGGATTTCGATGATTGTCATAGATGTAGAGGATAACCTGTATCACATAGGCTACTTACGATTTTTATATCCCACGCGGAAAGAGTCGCGGGTTAAATATAGTTTAGTTAATAAATTAATTGTCTACGCAGATAACTACGACGTAAATACGGCGGTTTTCTTGAAGGATAGTGTAGAATATTTCGAACTTTATCATAAAGTATCGACTGGTAAGCACTTACAAATTACTCTTATTTTGCGTTACTTATTTTTGAAAGCGAACGCGACGCTCCTTGCACCATAGAAATTTTTTTTTATTATACGAGGTGGCAAACGAGCAAGCGGCCACCTGAATCCACCGAAATGGAAAGCGACTGCTGCCCATAAACATCCGCAATTGCAGAGGAGGAGACGCACATACAGAGGACATTTCCCCTTCCTATGCATCTCCTCCACCGTCAAATCCACTTTTCCCTCCCATCCTTTCCTCTTAAGAAAAGGGTGGAAAGGAAAAGGGACTAAAATTAAGCCTCCGACACCACACTCATCAGATGAAACGCGGAATTGTTTCCACTTCACGCCTCTTTTCTGTGTGGTCGTGGTATTACACCGGGCGAGCCGGCCCGTGCGTAGATGTTAAAGCGGGCTCTACCACTGTTAAGAATTAAGAATTGCCATAATCATCATCATGCTCCTTATCCTACTCCCGTAGGGTTTTTGTCATATCAGTCATCACTCCCTTTTGATCATGTCACCTTTCACGCAATCCATCCATCTCTTTCTATGTCTCCCTCTACCTATGTACACACTCTTAACTAACATTCTCCTTGTAACATGCGATTCATCCCTCCTCATAACATACCATACTAACCTTTTACTCCTTACCTTCTCTACCACTGGGGCTACTCTCAAACTTCCTCTAATATACTCATTTCGTATCTTATCCATTCGTGTTACCCCTGTGTGTTCGTGTTCGTGTGTTAGTTGAAAAATAATCAGTCGAAATTATTTTATGGCACGTTTTAGACAGCATCATACATCATGCTAATATTATAAATGCGAAAGTTTAAATGGATAGATGGATGTATGTTTGTTAGAGTTTGTAGCCTAAACGGCTGAACGGATTTCAATAAAATTTGGCATATATGTAGAGGATAGCCTGGAAGAACATATAGGCTACTTGCATTTGTTTTTTTAATTCCGTGCGGACGGAGTCGCTGGCGAAAGCTAGTTTCTTCATAATTAGCACTTCGATGCATTTTTTTACCATAATGTGGTAAACGAGCAAGCGGCCACCTAAATCCGCCAAAATGGCAAAACGACAGAAGCCCAGACATTCGCAATAGCGGATGTGTTGGCTATCCATAATCGACGGAGGAGACGCACATAAAGGGGATATTTCCTCTTAAAATGCGTCTCCTGCACCGTCAAATCCACATTCTCTCCCATCGTTTTCTTATAAGTAAAATGCTGGGAAGGAAATGGGACTAAAGTTGGGCCGGCACCACTCATCAGACGAAACGCGGAATTGCTTCCACTTTAGTGTGGTCGTGGTGCATAAAGGGTCGCCACCCCTGACGTAGCTATTTATTAGTGAAAGAATTTTTGTGTTCAAAACATGCAAAATACAAATACTTCCCCTATATAATAATAGCATAGACAATTAAAGAAGCACACAGATAAACCGCAGAGAAAATATATTAAGATTATTAAGTTTGACTTATAACCCTTTTTTTCCGACTTCCTAATAACTGATTATATCCGTTACGTAGCAAATTATGAATAACACTTACATTTTTTCCATTACAAGAATAATGCCTCAATTATCGGCGTTTTCGCATGACCTTTTGCCCTTTCGTTATCTTCTATGATAAACGTGAACTTTTTATTTAGCACGTTGTCGGACATTTTATTCACGTGCTACAAGCGTCGGTGGCTCAGTGGTTTAAGCACTTGACTTGTAATCTACAGGTCTCGGGTTCGAATCCCGCCGTACCAATGTGAATTTCGATTTTTTTGACATGACATGATAACAACCTTGCTTCCTTGATGTTGGCAGCAACTTATGGTCTCTTTCCCACATTAGGGTTTTTATCCAAAATATTTACCCCTTAAGTTTAATGGCATTAAAATGTATAGCCTAAAGCGTGTCGCAAGTGTAGGGCTTTTATTAAAAAAAATAATTATTCAAAAATATATTGTAATTGCTGACATCTTAGGCAACAAAGAAGGGTGTGTTTATGCTTTATTACAATAGTATAGATATAGATTATTTTTTTAATTTCAGATGCACCTTTTTCTGTACCCCTGTATGTGATGGGACGTGGTAGTGTTTAGTGAGATATTTACACCAATAACGTCAAATAAAGGTAAATATTTACACTTTATATTAAAGCTAGAAACAAACACGCAACTTCGTCCACGTGAGATTAAAAAAAATAATAAAAAACATGGCCTACGTTACTCACGGATAAGCTACATTGTTTAAGAATTTTTGAAATCGGTCGGTTTTTGAGTTATTTAGATACAAAAATACTTTATAGTTCTTTCTTTTTAATTTTTTCCTTTTTAGAATATCAGTATAGAAGTACGACGAAGAATAACGTAACAAAAGATGTTGTTTTTCTTTACTTTTTTTTCTATATTAATTTATTTCTTCTATTATCAGCTGTATCAGCAACCAGCATAATATAGTGAAAATCAAATAGACACAAAATACTATAGCCTGTCCATTTATAAAGGTCAGTGGTCACACGCCTTGTAGAAACAAGAGCGCTAAATTCAAAACCATAAACCATAACATTTTATTTTTCAGAAAGCATACGAACAAAGCGCAGACTTCCCGGATAACTAAAAATACGCGGACACGGCTATTATAATAAGTAATTTTAAGTGTATTAAGTTATAGTTCGTCTAAATAAGATAGATTAGTTTGACAATTCATGTGACAATTTAGTAGGGATGGGTTGTGTAAAATCGGGCATGAATTTTTCCATTTTCGGTTTAAATTAATTTAGCATGAATTAAAAAAAAAAACAATGTTTTCTCAAAATAATAATGACATGCAGAACCATTACAAATAATGAGATTAAATTAACATTACTACTACATCCGTACGTATTCGAATTGGATTTCACTATTATTATTGTCATCGCTAAATTCTCTACACTATAATCAATACTGGAATTGTCCTCTAAATTATTAAGAAAATAATAATTTTAGTAAATTTCGATGAATTTTATTTAAAACGAATATCGATAGTTCATAATTATTCGCTATGAGTGTCGTCACTACGATACCTGTCTATTAAGCATTTGTCTTTATATAAATTTAATTCGATTCTTCGTATACGTCATTTGAGAAGTTTGTGAGTACACCCAGTGGTAGAGAAAATAAGGAGTAAAAGGTTAGAGTGGTATGGGCATGTTATGGGAAGGGATGAATCGCATGTAACAAGACGGACGTTAGTTATGAATGTGGAGGTACACCGGTAGAGGTAGACATAGAAAGAGATCGATTGCGTGAAAGGTGACATGATCAAGAAGGGAGTGCTGACTGAGATGACGGATGATAGAGTGCTTTGGAGGACGAAAACCCGGTGCGCCGACCCTACGGGAGTAGGATAAGGGAGGGAAGATGATGATGATGACTTCGTATACGTCATTTGTCAAACTAATCTATCTCGTTTAGATAAAATATAATGTAAGTAATGTTACATAAGTTTTCTTAGCGTCAGGGTCAAAAATAATCTTACGTAGGATGGGAAAACCGTCTTACATAAACAATGTTTCGTTAACGGTTATTTTTGTTATTATAAGTAAACATCAATGAACCTGACACACCAGACAAACTCCCTTAGTAATAAGATTTAAGAATAGGGATGGGGTCAATTAAAAACGATGACTTGCAGATCAGCTCACGGCTCACTTTTGATTTCAAATTTATTGATAATTCTGATTATACGATAGTGCAACATTTACGGAATACACCTCCGTGAACAGTGAACATATTGTATTTATAGTTTTAATCTCTGTACTCTTTGAGTTATAAAAAATTTAGTAACCTATATATTCTTCCAGATTTCTACATCTATGAAAAATTACGTTCAGATCTATGCAGTCATTGTAGAGTAACGTAATTACAAACATCCATATATCTTAATTTTTGCATTTATAATAATACTATATGTGATAAGTAAATATGTAAGTTACTTTATACATAAGATATATATTTAATGTTATAATTATAATGTGATATGTTTAAATCGGTGGCTCAGTGGTTTAATCACTTGACTTGTAATGTAGGTCAGCCGTACCGATTTTAGATTTAACATAATTTACCTGAGTTTTTACGGTGAAGGTTAACATTGTAATGCACATAGATATGTGTGAAGTCAATCCGCAGTGCAGCGTGGTTGACTATGGCCTAGTCACCGTACTAAGGGTAGACGCCGAGCCGCTCAGTGGAGACATATAGTGAGCTGGTGTTGTGTAAATTACTAAAAGATTTTATCCTAAACTTATATTTTTTGTTAAAAATTTCGATACGAATGACTTTCTAAAAAATATGATAGTCGAATACACTAAGACAACTACGTAAAAGATATCGAACGGTCCGTGGTGACGACTAGAATGTATTGAATTACTGAGCTCCTTAGCTCCTGAGCGACTGAAGGAACTGAGGTACTGACGGCCAGAGAGCTTGATAGCAACTGCGCGACTGCGAGACTTAGGACTGTCTCACTCTTTGCAAAGATTTTTATAAAACTACCCACCCACTACTACTTCCGTTTCCAATATTTTGTAACATTATTGTATAATACAAAGTTTGATTAGGCATTATGTTATTTGAACATTGTATTGAAATAACATGCCTATGTTAGAAATATTATAGTCGTAAATATTATTAGACAACTTATTTAATTGATACTGTCGCTTTTAACTCAGAGCAATACTTCTCGTCAAGACTTAGGATGCGCGCTAAATCTATCCATACTTCTAGTGACATCGACAGCTGTCAGCTAGGGACGTGCCGTTTATGCCGATAATCTAGAGTTGCGCCAATTCTATAGCACGGTACTAATTTTATTCCTAACAATATAAATGTTAAATCACAAAAACAATAATTTTAAAAAAATCTTAATATAAAAAAGCGTACAAATTACAATAATTCATAGGATAAAGTTTCATTTTTACGTATATTACCTATACTAAAGAGGAAAGATTTGTATTCTTTGTATATATTGAAATAACTCAAAAACTACTCAGCCGATTTAAAAGAAAGCTACGTTATAAGAGAGTAACATAGGCATATACTTTTTCATTACTTTTTATTTTCCCGTGGACGAAGTCACGAGTAGCAGCTAGTATTATATAATTTTAAACAAATATATAATGTTGTTTTATAGATTAAATGACTAAACATGTCTTGGTGTTAGCTTTAAGAACATAAATTATACATAATAATACTATGTTACCTATTACATTTTTTATAAATATAATACCAAAATGGGGAGAAAAAAAATAATGAAATTTAATGCATTTTTATTTAAAGAACTTACCCTTTTTAAACATTTAATATATGACAATTTAAAATATGAATAGAAAATTAAGCAAAAAGAGAACTACTCGAAGGGTCTTTTGCTGTTTTCGACGTCCCACTTACTGCAATAGAGGAAGCGGTTAGTTTACATTACGCACAAAAAATTGTTATACAATATAACCATTATTATAACCCCAATGTCAGTGTTAAAATGGCGAAAATCAAATAGTCACAAAATACCCTAAACTCATATATCCTGTCCATGCATTGTGATCAATGGAAAAATCAAAGAAAGACGAAGGTCAGGAATGCTTATGGTGAACCAAGTGGAGATTGTTTTTATTGGCATCATTTTATTTCATTATATTATTGGCTGGTAACCGGTTGCTTAAACTTTTTAACCAATCATGTTGAAGTATTTTAGTATTTTTTCGAGAACATACTCATAGACTCAGAAAAATACGAGAACATTCCACTTTTTTCTAATTGGCAACACCATAAACTTTTCTTTGCATGCGCAATAGAGATGGGCAACATGTGTCACTTTGAAGAAAAGAGTGATCTTGTCATCATTTCACCTTGGTGATTTAAATCATTTATATCAGTAGACTAAAAATATATTTTTTTTGAGAATTTTTTCAACAATGTGACATTAAACATTTTTGTCATCATTCTCTATCTAAAAATGCCTCGATTATTATAAGCCATTTGTTATATCCCATATGCCCTTAGTGTTTCTTTTTGAGAAAATAGGCAATGAGCGACAACTTGGACGTTGCTCACTCGTAGTTTCATATCGCATGTAGCCAAATAAAGTTTTTCTTATGAAAAAAACTGAATCCTTGCAGATATAAAGATGTACTTTGAAATGAAGTGAGCTAAAGATATGTGAGCTCTTTTTAAATTGTTTATTTTTATCACTCACTCACTCACTCACTCACTATCAAGACATCTCTAGTGCGCAACGCTCTCGGTTCAGGAAAAATATCAAATCTTTCTTTCAATGTTGCGTCATCCACATGTTCTGTTTGAAGTGAAATAAGACGTTAAATAATTTGTTATTTAGGATATATAAAAATAACTTAAAAATGTTGACCGCTACGCGGGTGATGGGCCGAAAGGCCTTCCAGTGCTCCGGATTAACTTCAGACTTGACGAATAAGAATTTTTCCACAATTCTCAAAAATGTAAGTATCCATTTTAATTTTGAAAACGAATGAAAATCGTATGTCACATATTTGCCGTATTAAAATATATCTCTAATTACATGAGACGTTAACTTTACTATATATAAAGATTATAAAATTGTTAACCGGTGTCGTAATGTAGAATCGGCACATGTGTATAGCTTTTGTGATAAAAAAATTCAAGATATTTTCCATATTTCCAGGTTGCATCACCCACAGTTCCTATTTACCAACGCCATGCGGTCCAGTACAGGCACAAGTGAGTTTAAAGTTTATTTTTTTATTTCACATAATTTCATCATAACCTAAAACTGTCTGTTAAGGATTTCTCAATTATTCAGAGATGCTGGAAAACCTTTTTTATGTCGTGTCTTGAATGTATTCTATTGCATAAGATAGTGCTCATTAAGTTTTATCTCTGACGTTTTTAGGTTAGATTGTTGCGAAAGTCGACGTACGAATTTCAATATTGTACCGAATTTCTAAAAAATGTAATGAGTACGAAGTAAGCATTGGATTTTATTGTATTTTTTACTAAACTGACAATGAAAGAACTGAAGCTTATTTTTATGAAGTTGTATTTCTATGATATCTTATAAAAAAAACTCATCCCAATTTAATTTTGAGTCTGATTTATTATTCCATATACCTTTATTCGCTTATTTACTACATAATGTACTTTACATTGTTTATATAAATATAAAAGTGAATATAAAACATATGTAAAAAATAGAGCACCACCAGCCGTGGAATCCCATGTGTGAGTCTGAATATTGTTACAGTGTTAAAATATTAAAGTCCATAACTAAAATTTACTACTTATATACAGAATATTATCATATATCTTAAATGTATAACAATAATATACAGAAAATATGGAAGCAGTATACCTGCAATGTCTAAAAAAGTCGAACAGGCTTACAAATAAACTCGGTATATAGTTATACTTAGAAATAAACTGAGTATTAGCAAAATTTGTACTAATATTTGCTTATACTCTGTTTATTCCTAAGTTTGATATACCACATTTATTTAAGTAAGTCTTGTATAGTGTATAGAAAATTGTAACATCTTTCTATACTAATATTATAAAGAGGGAAACTTTGTATTTTTTTATGTATTAAAATAACTCAAAAACTACCAGGCCGATTTTAAAAATTCTTTCACCAACAGAAAGGGAATTTATCTGTAACATGTTGTATAAACATAAGCAAAATAATATAAATATGATATGCACCCACGAGTGGTAGCAGTGCTTGTGCGCTGTAAAATTAAGCAAAAAGAGAACTACTCGATGGGTCTTTTACTGTTTTCGAGGTCTCACTTACTGCAATAGAGAAAGCGGTTAGCTTACATTATGCACAAAAAATTGTTATACAATATGACCATTATTATAACCTCAATGTCAATGTTAAAATGGCGAAAATCAAATAATCACAAAATATCGTAAACTCATTTATCCTGTCCATGCATTGTGATCATCATGTTATATAAACTTAAGTAAAATAATGTAAATATGTTATGCACCTATGAGCGGTAGCAGTGCTTGTGCGCTGTAAACCTTTGCGGTCGGTGCTAAAGTAATGATTGGATAGTAACACATTCAGTGGTATGCCATTGAGTGTATTTAGACAATCTACAAATATACTAACAATTATGACATCTACTGTGGTCAAGGAAATATTGTGATGCAACCAGCACACTTCAATAGAGAAATTCAAAGATTTTGAAGTCAATCTGGATTTACAGTGCTGACTATGGCCTATTTCTTAACTCTGGGATGCCTTTTTTTATCATCTAAACTTCTGTATCTATATCAGTATCCATACTTTAAACTAATATAATAAAGCGTAAACACACACTAACTTAGTTATGATGTCAGTAACCACAGTATATTATTGAATAATTCTCTTTTTAATAAAAACCCCACACTTATACTTAAGGCTATATATTTTCATGCTATCAAACTTGGGAGTAGATCATTTGAACAAACCATCATGTGGGAAAGAGACAAAAACTTCAAGCTGACAACATCAAGGAAGCAAAGTTTCCATGGTAACACTAATTGTTATCCAACATCAGAGGCTTTTGTTGTCTGTGCCTTTAAGTTTTGACACTTCCAATAAAAAAAAAACATTATAATTTATAATAAACTAGCTGTTCCCGTGCAACTTCATCTGCAAAAACTTATGAAAATTTTATTAAATTGTTTACATGTGTCAAATTATCAATTGCAAATGTCTAAATGACATGACATGATGACAACCTTGCTTCCTTGATGTTGGCAGCAACTTGTGGTCTCTTTCCCACGTTAGGGCTTTTATCTAATACATTTACCCCCTTAGTTTAATGGTGTTAAAATACATAGCCTAAAGCGTGACGCAAGTGTAGGGCTTTTTATTAAAAAACAATTTAAAAATATGTTTGCTGCAAATGCAAGTTTGTAAATTTTTTGTTTGATTACACAGGTCAGAGGGTGTTCGAGGGGCAGTCATTGGTATTGATCTTGGCACTACGAACTCATGTGTTGCAGTTATGGAGGGGAAGACACCCAAGGTAAGACCTAAAAGAACTTTGGCAGGCTGTACAGCATATTAATTATGGTTTATATGTTGGCACCGCCGATCAGCTGTCCTGTTCATACGTGATAGCTTTTGCAGCGGTGCGAGAGAGACGCGCGGAACCAGCTAGTCGCGGTTACTACCGCAGGCTTTCCTAGATACCGCGCTACATTATAATTTCTTATTGACATAAATTGTTTTATACAAAGATTCAAAATTGTAAAGAGGCAGCATAATTGACACTTCACATGAGACATTTTTCACATAACCCACTAAATCTAGCTATTGATAGTCTTCAAACCATGTAAAATTATATTAAAACCGACTTTCGCCAGCGACTCCGTCAAAAAAAGTATCAAAAGGTATCAAAAAAAGCAAAACAAAGTAGCCTATGTGTTCTTCCAGCTATCCTCTGCACATATGCCTAATTTTATTGAGATTCGTTCAGCAGTTTAGGCTACAAACATCCTTCCATCTTAACTTTCACATTTTATTTTTATAACATGTCAATCCTGACATGAGGTGGCACTAACTACAGCTAACATAGTACCTTTCAAAGAAGTTACCGCTGAAAAAAGTATACTATGTCTAGTCTATATTTTGTAAATGTCTTTGGTTTTATATATAAAAAAATATATATTTGCAGAGTACATTTGTAATTGAAATTATAATATGATATATAGGTCGTGGAGAACAGTGAAGGTTCCAGAACAACTCCATCGCATGTTGCGTTTTCCAAAGAGGGGGAACGATTGGTTGGTATGCCCGCTAAAAGACAAGCTGTAACCAACAGTGGTAACACATTCTATGCAACAAAAAGACTGATTGGAAGACGCTTTGATGACCCTGAAGTACAGAAGGATATGAAGAATCTCTCTTACAAAGTAGTTAGGGCTTCAAATGGTGATGCTTGGGTTCAAGGTAAGAGACACATTAATTGCTACCAAGTTTGACATATTCAAATAATTTATATCGTGGCATGGAAAGGGTTAACTCAACACAATGTATAGTTTGAACTAATTCAGGTAGCAATCAAGCCCTCCAAGTCATACATAAATTACTAATAGGATAAAGTTTCGATTTTAATTGAGAAATTAAATAAATTTCAGTACTTAAAAGTTTATTTAACCCTTAAATGCATGATTTTTCTAAAGTTAACAAAAAAAACATTTTTAATGCAAGATTGGTATAATATAGAAAAAAATAATAAAAAACATACAGACGAATTGAGTACCTCCTTCTTTTCGGGAAGTCGGTCAAAAATCTACCATCCAAATTTACATTTTTTGGTAAATGTATCCCCACAATATTCTGCATATAACTGTTAAAGCCTTCCAAGCCATATATAAACTACCAATGAGATAAAATTACATATTTAAATTATAGAAATAAATAAATGTTGGTATTCAAAAGGAAAATTTAAATGTTGGCACCGCCGATCAGCTGTCTTGTTCATACGTGATAGCTTTTGCAGCGGTGCGAGAGAGACGCGCGGAACCAGCTAGTCGCGGTCACTACCGCAGGCTTTCCTAGATACCGCGCTACATTTATTATTGTGATTTGATCAGATTTTCATATTTGTTTTAAGTAAATTATATAATTGCTAGCTATAGCCCGAGACTTCGTCCGCCTGGATTTAAAAAAACTAAAGTAAGTAGCCTATACGACACATAGACTATTTACTTTTGTTTTTTTCAGGCTACCCTTTACAATTATGCCAAATTTCATCAACATCCGTTCACTCATTTAAGCTACAAACTCTAACAAACATCCATCTAAACTTTCACATTTATATTAGTAAGATTTTATTGTAACTTTTCAGGTAGTGATGGTAAAGTGTATTCACCGAGTCAGATTGGTGCATTCGTGCTAATGAAGATGAAGGAAACAGCGGAGGCCTATCTGAACACATCGGTGAAGAATGCAGTGGTAACAGTTCCCGCATACTTCAATGATTCACAGCGACAAGCTACTAAAGATGCTGGTAAGTGTACACTATGTTGCAAATAATAGGGAATATGCATGTATTATTTTTCTTTTTTTAAACGATTTTTCTTGTTCTAAAATAACCACAAAAAAAATTAAGCGAAAATATTCAACCATTGAGCTAAAAATAGAAAAAATAAAATTACGACCATTTTCGAGCGACTAAAACGCGACCAGAGTTGTCATGAGACAATTGACGTCAATCGTCTATTCCATTCATAACATACGCTCAGATGTCACTTCGACGTAAAACACAACAAAGTTTCTCAAGGTCAAAAAGTCAAAAACCGATTCATTTTTATTATTCCTGGTACAAATAAGTGGTAATTAATAATCCTATTCATTATTTTTTTTTATTTTAGAGTTGGTTTTTATATTGTGGTTACAGTTAAATACTTCAAGAGTGTATTTCTATATAAACTAACGTAAATGAACTGTGTATTGTCAACACAGCGACGCCATATTAGATAAGCCACTTGCTTTGACCAATAGTGCGCGTTTTAGAACTTGAATAAATTTGAAAAAATACACTTTTTAATGAATAAATTTTGCCACTAAACCACACTATATTTAAAAAAATCTTTGCAAGACTGTTTTTATAGTAATAAAGTATACTTAAAAAAAGTTTTGTATTTGGCGTTATATGCATATTGCCTATTATAGCAAGTTTGTGTATAGTTAATTGGTGTTTTAGTAGTCGTTAATTTTTTAATACAGCTTGTCAGTGTAACCCTTAATTCAAAGGAGGTTTTTGTACCAAAAAATATTGGTATGAACACAGTAAAATCAAAATTTCACGTATTTTTCTCTACATTAGTTCAGATTTTTTTATTTAGATGTTCGTCACACTAGAAATTAGCAAACTGAGGGTTAAAGTTAAAAATTCGTATTTGATTTAACTAAACCTAGATAGTATTTTTCGATCAACGATATGGTAGATCCTACTTTGGCAGAGGTTCCGAACCAGTGGTCCATAGATAAAAAAGTAAAGTCCGCGAATTTATATTGAGCCACCAGTTTTGCAAAGACTATGCAATAACGTGGCCGATATGTGGGACTAGATCGAAAATATTTGTCTCGATATTGAAAAATTTATAGTATCCCTATTAAGCGGAAAAGCAATCAAAACCTTTTTTGATGACTTATTAACTAACAACAATAATATAAAAGTGGTTCCTGACAAAAAAGGTTGAGAACCTCTGGTCTAGAAAGAATCATGTTCTGTTGCGTAGTGTTTTCATTTAATATGAAGCACTTTAGATCAGCCGTTTCGCTCTTGCGCGGCGCGCTTCTCCCACGGTGCGAAAGAGACGCACGATCTGATTCAGTCCGGTTTAATACTGGCTACTGATGTAGAATGTGCTACATTGTTTTGTTTTTTTGCACCTTTTTTATTTTAAATCTGCTGTTTTTTGCATTTTTAACTGCATGGTTATTGAGAATATATTTAAAGGTTGAAAAATTTGTTTATTTCTGAAAATTACAAATTTCACTTATTTAAGGAGGTTGTTTATTCAAATATTTGTTATATAATGCCAAGTGTATACAAAACTATATTTTCTATAGGTAACATTACTCTAAAAGTTCAATAAAAATAAGATAATTGCGAATATTCCAATACGTGTTTTGTAATAAAAAACACACTATTCCGTTAAATATTTTTTTAATATATGGTTTTACTATGTTACAAAACATCGAATGTTCGTAATAGGGTAAATGGTCTTGTTGATTATTAAATTTAGCAACTCGAAAATATAACTTAACAAGCAATCGCCAACGACTCCGTCCGCTCGGAATTAAAAAAACCTAAAGCAAGTAGCCTATGTGTTCTACCTGACTATCCTCTTTATCAATGTCAAATTTTATCAAAATCCGTTAGTCGTTTAGGCTACAAACTCTAACAAACATCCATCCATCTTAACTTTCGCATTTATAATATTAGTATTAAGTATTAGAGCGTCGGTGGCTCAGAGGTTTAAGCACTTGACTCGTAATCTACAGGTCTTGGGTTCGAATCCCGCCGTACCAATATGATTTTCGATTTTTCGAAATTTAATATGTACATAGTTTAACCGACGTTCTTACGGTGAAGGAAAACATCGTGATACCTGCACTATCGGCGAAGAAATTCAAAGATATGTGTGAAGTCAACCCGCACTTGGCCAGCGTGGTTGACTAAGGCCTAGTCACCCCTTATTAGGGTAGGCTCCGAGCCCCTCGATGGGGACATCTAGTGAGCTGGTGAAAAAAAATTATTTATTTTTGACATTTTTATATAGTTTATTACTTTTTTACATGTAATATATGAATATCTTTATTTAGGTCAAATCTCTGGTTTGAATGTGCTGCGTGTTATCAACGAGCCGACAGCCGCCGCTCTGGCGTACGGCATGGACAAATCTGACGACAAGATGTAAGTGAATGCAAAAATACATGACCATAAACAGGGGGAAAACAAAGATTTTAAAAAAATAGAGTAGGCATTGTTGATCTATACTATTATAATAAAGCGTAAACAAACACTTCTTTGTTGCCTAAGATGTCAGCAATTACAGCATGTTTGCAAATAACTCTTTTTTTTAATAAAAAGCCCTACACTTACGTCACGATTTAGGCTTTATTTTCATGCCATTAAATTAGGGGTAAATATTTTGGATAAAAACCCTAATGTGGGAAAGAGACCATAAGTTGTTGCCAACATCAAGAAGGCAAAGTTGCCATTTGCAATTGATTATTTGACAAATGTGAACAATAAAATGATTTTTTTATAATGGGAACAGCTAGTCTTTTAATATTTTTTTTTTCATATAACCATTAACTAGCTATCTATTGATAGTCTCAAAACCACATGTCAATACAATTAATTGCCAATAAGTGTCTAAATAATGCTTAAATATTTTTATTTTGTAACACTATATAGTTTGTTTTATAACAAAAGATGGAGCTTATATTTTGTCAAATGTTTTGCAACATGTCAATACAGACACGAGGTAGCACTAAACTTGACAACTGATATAGTACTTTCCAGAGAAAGTACCGGTGAAAACATTTTGGTCACTGCCTTTTCTATTTCTTAAATGACTTTGAAAATAATAAATTAGTCATATCCTAAATTTAATAATTCTTAGTCAGTTACAAAATCTTAATAATAGTTTTATTTTCACTGTTACGGGTTTCACATTATCTGTTTTGTTTTTGTCATTTGTTAAAATGTTGGCACCGCCGATCAGCTGTCCTGTTCATACGTGATAGCTTTTGCAGCGGTGCGAGAGAGACGCGCGGAACCAGCTAGTCGCGGTCACTACCGCAGGCTTTCCTAGATACCGCGCTACATTATAAAACATAGTATAGTTTATACCAAAAAATGCTCTTTCACTCGCAACTCTGTCCGCGTCTCACTTTAAAAAAATTATGTAGCCTATGTGTTCTTCCAGACTATCCTCTACATCTATGACATTTCATCGAGGTCCATTCAGCGGTTTAGGCTACAAACTCTAACAAACATCCATCCATCTAAACTTTCGCATTTATATTTTTTGTAATATTGATTAAAAATTATCATACTAATATTATAAATGCGAAAGTTGAGATGGATGTTTGCTAGATTTTGTAGCCTAAACTGTTGAACGGATTTCGATGAAATTTGGTATAGATGTAGTGAAGAACACATAGGCTAGTCATCTTTTATTTTAATTCCACGCTGACGGAGTCGCGGGCCAAAGCTAGTGTCTACATAAGATCGTGCATTCAGCATTAAAATATTTTTCTGGCAATTTAAATTTGTCATTTGTATATTTCAGTATTGCTGTATACGATTTGGGAGGTGGTACATTCGATATCTCTGTCCTGGAGATACAGAAAGGCGTGTTTGAAGTGAAATCTACGAATGGCGACACTTTACTCGGTGGTGAAGACTTTGACAATGTTATCGTCAACTTTTTAGTCGACGAATTTAAACGTGACGTGAGTATTAAATATATCTTTAACAGTGGTATTTGTAAACATACTTTTCTTAGGCAATCGCAACATTTATAGAAAGAAAAAAATATACTGCTGATGCTTTGGTGCGATTTGCCCGCATATTTGAGTCAAACAGTGGTAGAGCCTTTAACATCTTCGCATTGTAGGGTTGGCTCGCCCCAGCAATACCACGACCACACAGACAGGCGTGAAGTGGAAGCAATTCCGCAAATGATGAGTGTGGTGCCGGAGGCCTAATTTTAGTCCCTTTCCCTTTCCAACCTTTTCTTAAGAGGAAAGGATGGGAAGGTAAAGTGGATTTGACGGTGGAGAAGATGCATAGGAAGTAGAAATGTCTTTATGTGCGTCTCCTCCTTCGTCGGATAAGGGTAGGCAATGCATCTGCAATGATGTTTATGGGCAGCGGTCACTTTCCATTTCAGTGGATTCCGGTGGCCGCTTCCTCGTTTGCCACCTTATATTATAAAAAAAACAATACCACGACCACACTGAAGACAGGTGTGAAGTAGGATCGATTCCGCGTGCACTCTGATGAGTGATGCCGATAGTGCCTAATTTTAATCCCTTGCCCTTCCCACCATTTTCGCATAAGGAAAGGATGGGAAGGAAAAGTGGATGACAGTGGAGGAGACCTATAGCAAGGGGAAATAAACTCTTTATCTTCGTCTCCTTCACCGTTTATTACGGGTAGGAAACGCATCTGCAATTGCGGATGTTTATGGTGAGTGGTCGCTTCGCTTTCTTGGCGAATTCAGGCGGCTCGCTCGTTGGCCATCTTATAATAAATATTTGAGAGTAATAAAGGCTATATTTTTACATTTTTTTTTATTTCACTAATAAAAATGTAAATTCCAGCAAGGTCTAGATATCCGTAAAGACGCGATGGCGATGCAGCGTCTGAAAGAAGCAGCGGAGAAGGCGAAGATAGAGTTGTCCGGCTCCCTGCAGACCGACATCAACCTGCCATACCTCACTATGGATGCTTCCGGACCTAAACATATGAACCTAAAGGTATAATCTACATCTATACTATTATAATAAAACGTAAACACACACTTTGTTGCCTAAGATGTCAGCAATTACAACATATTTTTGAATTATTCTTTCTTTAATAAAAAGCCCTACACTTACGACATGCTTTAGGCTATATATTTTCGCGCTATAAAACTTGGGGGTAAAAAAATTGGAAAAACACCCTAATGCGGGAAAGGGACCATAAGCTATAATCTGCTAACATTAAGGAAGCAAGGTTATTATGGTAATGGTAATTTAGAGGAAAGATTTCTATTTTTGTATGTAAGAAATAAATACAAATCACTGGTGCAATTTTCAAATATGGAAAAAATATATGTTACAGCACTTAAATATTATATTTAAGCAAAATGTTTGTTTAAATAATATTGTAGTGCAAAATTAAAACAACATCTAAAACCGCCAGCCTCTGCCGCAAGCTGGGGAGGGTCAAATGATCTTGTTACATAAATCTATACTGTTATAATAAAGCGTAAACACATACTTCTTTGTTGCCTAAGATTTCAGCAATTAGCATATTTTTGAAAAAAGAAAAATTAATAAATAGCCCTACACTTGCGACACGCTTTAAGCTATACATTTTAATGCCATTAAACTTAGGGGGTAAATATTTTGGATAAAAATCCTAATGTGGGAAAGAGACCATAAGTTGCTGCCAACATCAAGGAAGCAAGGTTGTCATCATGTCATGTCATTTTGACATTTGTAATTGATAATTTGACAAATGTAAATAATAAAATAAAATTTTCATAATTTCATGCGGATGAAGTCGCACGGGAACAGCTAGTTTTTACTAATATAAAGAGTAAATTTTGTTTGTTTGATTGTAATGAATAGGCTGAAAAACAACTGGACCGATTTTAAAAATTCATTCACCGTTATTAAGGTTATTTATCTGTATGACATTGGCTATTTTTTTTTTATTTTCTCTATTACAATTTAAATTTCATGCGGACGGAATCGCGGGCCAAAGATAGTTATTTAATAAAAAAGTATATAAGAGAATTTAAATCTATATCTATCTATACATGTAATAAAATTGTGATGTCCACAAGCGTTTGTTCCGGGTAATCTCCGAACGGTTGCGACGATTTCGACTACTGGAGAGTAGCAGACATAGATAGGCATATTATAATCTTCTTTACTTTTAACTAGCTTTCGCCCGCGACTCCGTCCGCGTGGAATAAAAAAAAAACAAAAGTAGACTATCCTCTACATCTATGCCAAATTTCATCAAAACCGTTCAGCCATTTAGGTTACAAACTCTAACAAACATCCATCTAAACTTTCGCATTTATAATATTAGTATGATTTCGTACTGTCAAAATGTAAAACGCTAACGAAATTTGCAGGCGACAGCTTTTAATATGTGAAAACTATATCTTGTCAAATTTGTTGTAGATGACGCGATCAAAGTTGGAGTCTCTAGTTGGTGATCTAATAAAACGTACGGTGGCGCCGTGCCAGCGCGCGCTGCAGGATGCTGAGGTCCAGCGCTCCGATATAGGGGAGGTGCTGCTCGTAGGAGGGATGACCAGGATGCCTAAGGTATAGTCACACCCTCCACCCTCCACACACACACACACACACGCATCACCAGCTCATAATACGTCCCCAGTTAGGAGTTAGGATGACTTCACACATATCTTTGAATTTCTTCGCCGATTGCATCATGTTTCCTTCATCGTAAGTATGTCGGGTACATTATGTACATATTAAAATTCGAAAAATCGAAATTCACATTGGTAAGGCGGGATTCGAACTCAAGACCTGTAGATTACAAAACACCATCACATGTTTTAAACATTGGATTGTTATTAGACAATTTACAATTTGGTGGGACAGGCCCTTAATCCGTTTGTTCGCGGATTATGTTCACATTTTATCCTAAAGTCTTGAATTTGCTCTATTTTCTCTCCATCCAACTTGTCTAATCATATTACCTTCTTATCAATAATACAAATTTGATTGTTTTGAATTATCCCCGAAACTAATGAACTAATTTCATAAAGATTAAGCGGTTTTGATACTTGTTTTACAATTGTAAGAATGTTAGCACTTAGCAAGTCAATGCCAGTTGTACATAACTGTCGTGGCTGTCATAAGACATGTGCTAGAACAATTTGGAGACATATTCCCCGGCTATACTCTGTGTGTTGGCGGGTTATATTCTCACAGACATTTTTTTCTCAAAATCGATTACAATAAAATAACATATAAGTGTAATGTACACATTATTCCTGGTACAAATAAGTGGTAATTAAATTCTATTGATTATTTTTTTTATTTTAAAGCTGGTTTTGATATCGTGTTTACAGTAAAATACTTCAAGAGTGTATTTCTATATAAACTAACGTAAATGAACTGTGTATTGTCAACACAGCGACAGATAAGCCACTTGCTTCGACCAATAGTGTGCGTTTTAGAACTTAGCGAGGGAATTTGAATAAAGACACTTTTTAATGATTAAATTTTGCCACTAAATCACATTATATTTAAAAGAATCTTTGCAGGACTGTTTTTATAGTAATAAAGTATACTTAAAAAAAGTTTGGTACAATTTGGCGTCATATCCATATTGCCTATTGCGAGAGGGCGCACACGGTCTGACCGCATGCACCTTTTTCACTCCATACAAGTTGTATTGTCTATTCATTTTTGACAAGTCTCCTCCTAATGGGTATGAACACAATGGACACGAACATCATTATCATCATCTCCCCTGCCTTATCTTACTCTCGTAGTGACGCACTAGGTTTTCGTCCTCCAAATAACTATCATCCGTCATCTCAGTCATCACTCCTTTCTTGATCATGTCACTTTTCACGCAATCCATCCATCCCTTTCTAGGGCTACCTCTACTGGTGTACCTCCACATTCATAACTACCGTCTCTCTTGTTACATGCGATTCATCCCTTCTCATAACATGCCCATACGACTCTAACCTTACTCCTTATTTTCTCAACCACTGGAGCTACTCTCAAACTTCCCCTAATGTACTCATTTCGTATCTTATCCAATCGTGTTACCCCACACATCTTAACATTCCCATTTCTGCCACAAGTATTCTCCTTACGAATATGTTTGTAAAATATACTTGTTACATTAGGTACAACAAACGGTGCAAGATATCTTCGGGCGCGCGCCCTCGCGTGCGGTGAACCCCGACGAGGCGGTGGCGGTGGGCGCGGCGGTGCAGGGCGGCGTGCTGGCCGGTGACGTCACGGACATACTGCTGCTCGACGTGACGCCGCTCTCCCTCGGCATTGAGACCCTCGGCGGAGTCTTCACCAAGCTCATCACGAGGAACACCACTATCCCCACCAAGAAGAGCCAAGTCTTCTCCACAGGTTGGTATCTATCTGTGTTTGTTCGTTATTTATATCATAACTAGTTGTTCCTGAAATTAGGAAAATGGTATTAATATATTGATAGCAAATGTTAATATGACATGACATGATCCTTGATGTTGGCAGCAACTTATGGCCTCTTTCCCACATTAAGCTTTTTCCAAAATATTTACTCCCTTAGTTTAATGGCGTGAAAATATATAGCCTAAAGCGTGATGTAAGTGTAGGGCTTTTTATTAAAAAAAAATTGTATATAAGAAGTGTTTGTTTACACTTTATTATAATAGTATAGAAGTATAGATGTGGCAGACGAGCAAGCGGCCTCAACCCACCAAACTGGTTAAGGGACATTCGCAATTGTAGATACGTTGCCTACCGATAATCGATGGAGGAGACGCGCATAAACAGCATATTTCCCCTTCCTATGCGTCTCCTCCACTTTCCCATCCTATCCTTTGAAGGGTGGAAAGGGATAGGGACTAAAATTGGGCATCCGGCACCCATACTATTCAGAATGTACTCGAAATTGCTTCCACTTGACGCTTGTCTTCTGTGTGGTCGTGGTATAGCGTATAGCAAGCCAATCCATTTGGCCAAGGACATTAAAGCGGGCTCTACCAGTGTTAAGCTCTAAATAAGTGAACCTGTTGGGGTCCACGATTGTTAGAATTAGTCTTTTGCATTAGGGTTTGATCACACATGCCAGTAAAATGGATTAGTAGCTGGCATACCAGACTGGCTAAAACTAACGCTGCCGCAATATGTATACAATCACTAAAATTGTCACAACGAAAGTGTCACTTACATATTTAGATATTTAAAGTAAAGGGAATTAAAAGATAAATAAATGTATACCTTATATATTTATAAGGAAACATATACTTCTTTTAGCGTCTCTTCTTTGAGAGCGTCGGTGTCTCAGTGGTTTCAACACTTGACTTGTAATCTACAGGTCTTAGGTTCGAATCCCGCCATGTACCAATGTGATTTTCGATTTTTCATATGTACATAATTTAACCGACGTTCTTACGGTGAAGGAAAACATCGTGATGCCTGCACATATCGGCAAAGAAATTCAAAGATATGTGTGAAGTCAACCAACCCGCACTGGGCCAGCGTGGTTGACTATGGCCTAGTCACCCCTTATTAGGGTAGGCTCCGAGCCCCTCGGTGGGGACATGTAGTGAGCTGGTGATGATGATGATATACTTCTTTGTTATGTAGGATGTCGGCAAAGCATATTTTAGAGTATTTTTTTTAATAAAAAGCCTTACGCTTACGGCACGCTTGGTAAAAATTTGCTCTGCGAGAAAAGGCTAGAAACTATTGGCAGCAAAGCAAGGTTGCCATGGTTACTTAGTTACTGGTATTACATAAAAAGTAAAACAAAGACATCTTTTATGTCTATTATAAGCACACATCTAAGCCATATGATTACTATATTCGTGTGGTAAAGCTGCGAGCGAGAGCAATGCGGTGTGGTGTGTCGCGAACTGCAGGGTTTTTTTGCGTCGCGGTACGATACGCTCATCCACATTATAATATCTAGTATCCTCTAGACAGCTTAGATCATCGGCTAACTACGGCCATGATTTAAAAGCAGAGATTCAAAAAATATATAGAAGTGGCTTAGTTGATACTTAATTTTAGACATTTTTCACATAGTCTTACTGACGGTATCTATTGATAGATACTAGAAATCAGATATCAATAAATTAATTGCTAATATGTGTTATTAAATAATATTTAAATATTTACATTGTTTTGTGGCACTGTGTAGTTTATTTATAACAAAAGATAGAGCTTCTTATAATTTTGTAAACATGTTTTATAACATGTCAATACAGACAAAAAGTGGCATACTATTCAGAGAATGTACTGATGAAAAACTGCCTCGTCTATATATTTTTAAATCTGTACAGATATCAATTATAAAGAGGAAAGATTTGTATTTGTATGTATTGAAATAACTCACAACCTACTGGACCGATTTCAAAAATCCTTTCACCTATTTTTAATTTTACATTGCCAAAGTCGCGACTAAAATTTTTTAAAAGGTCTTTATTTTAATGTAAACCATTCTATTTGCAGCTGCCGACGGCCAGACCCAAGTTGAGATCAAGGTGCACCAAGGCGAGCGTGAGATGGCCACCGACAACAAGCTGCTGGGCCAGTTCTCGCTGGTCGGCATCCCGCCCGCGCCGCGCGGCGTGCCGCAGATCGAAGTCACCTTCGATATCGACGCTAACGGCATCGTGCACGTCTCCGCACGCGACAAGGGCACCGGCAAGGAGCAGCAGAGTTAGTATAAATAATATTTTGCACATGTATCCATATGGATATATGTGCAAAATGCTATGGATATGTGCATCTCCATGGATATATATCCATAGAGATGCACATACCCATAGCATTTTACACATATATCCATAGTATTTTGTACATGTATCCATATATCCATAGAAATGCACATATCCATAGCACTTTGCTCATATATCCATAGTATTTTGTACATGTATCCATTGAACATTACACATGTATGCAGTTTGCATACGTATCCATAGTACTGTACATGTCCATTGCACTTTGAATTTTTATCCATTCCTTCCACATATCCATAGCATTTTGCACTTGTATCCATACCACTTTGCATATGTATCCATAGTACTGTACATGTCCATTGCACTTTGAATTTTTATCCACTCCTTCCACATATCCATAGCATTTTGCACTTGTATCCATACCACTTTGCATATGTATCCATAGCAATTTGCACATTTATCCATATTGGGTGAAATATTCGATGAAATTTGGTATAGATGTAGAGGATCTTCTGGAAAACACTTGGCCCCTGACTTTTGTTTTGTCTAAATTCTATGCAGACGGAGTCGCGGGCGAAGGCTAGTTATGTTTAAGTATGAAATTTTATTTAAATATTTTCCATACAGTCGTGATCCAATCGTCCGGCGGTCTATCGAAGGACGAGATCGAGAACATGGTGAAGGCGGCGGAGCAGTTCGCGGCGCAGGACCAGCAGCGCCGCGAGCGCGTGGAGGTGTGCAACCAGGCTGAGGGTGTGCTCCACGACACTGAGACCAAGATGGATGAGTACAAGGCTCAGCTGCCCCAGGAGGAGGTGAGTTAAAAGGTGGAACTTCGCATGTGTAAAGAGCGGCTCTAGAACTGCGTTTGGCTTTGGTCCCTAAGTAGTTTTAGTATCTGAGAAAGGTGCAGAATACAGTTAAGCGTATAACGTTTGCGTACCCCCATATAACGCGGGAATTATCCCCACTATAACACGATTTATGGCTCTTCTCTAATGAAAAATTTATTATAATGGGGATTTCTACAATGCGAATTAAAATAATCCCCTACTAATGTGACAGCCCAAGCCGAGGTCTCTAAGTTTAACAGCGTGAAAGGTTATAAGCCTAAAGCGTGTTGTAAGTGTAGGGATTTTAATTAAAAAAAGAATTATTCAAAAATATGGTGTAATTGCTGACATCTTAGGCAACAAAGAAATTGTGTTTACGCTTTATTATAATAGTATAGATAAATAATTTAGTTTAATGTTTTGTGATGCAGTGTGACAAGCTGCGCGAGGAGATCAGCAAGCTGCGGGAGCTGCTCGCCAACAAGGAGTCTGTGGAGCCCGAGGCCATCCGCAGCGCCACCGGACAGCTGCAGCAGGCCAGCCTCAAGCTCTTCGAGCAGGCGTACAAGAAGGTAATTAACTATGACTAAAAAAGCAGTAAAAGTAGCCTATGTTACTGGTGTAATTTTTGAAATCGGTTCAGTAGTTTTTGAATTATCCTCAACTAGCTTTCACCCGCGACACCGTTCGCATGGAATTAAAAAAACAAAAGTGAGTAGCCTATGTGTTCTTCCAGACTATCCTCTACGTTTATACCAAATTTCATCAAAATCCGTTCTGCCGTTTAGGCTACAAACTCCAACAAACATCCATCCATCTAAACTTTCGCATTTTTGATATTAGTAAGATTGCAACTGTCAAAAATACCGTTACCATAATTCTTCTTCAATCCTAAATGTTGGCAGCATTTGGTTTATAGTCCCTTTCCCACATGAAGATTTTTCAATTTATTTAACCCCTAAGTTTAATAGCGTGAAAATGTAGCCTAAAGCGTGTTATGAAGGGCTTTTTATTAAAGAAAGAATTATTCAAAAATATGCTGTGGTTTCTGACATCTTACGCCACAAACTGTGTACGCTTTATTATATTAGTATAGGCAAATGCACAATTTTGAGCCGGCCCACATTCTTGGTGAAGTCGGTCAAGCGATTGTGCTAAACTAAATGAAGTGCGTTATCAGCCGTTCTCATACAATATGACTACGGAAGATTTACGCTTCGTACATTTTTGTACAATGCTAACTGTTGCTCATGACTTTGTTCGCGTAGTTAATATATGTTACTCAGTAATAAGGTAGCTTATTAATAGTGAAAGAATTTCTGAAATCGGCTTAGTAATTTTTGACATATTTCGAAATATACAAAAATACTAATCTTTAGAATAGTGTAGGCTAGCTTTTGCCCGCGGTTTTGTCCTAACCTATTGTGTGTTTTTCCAGACTATGGTCTATATCTATGACAAATGAAATACAGATCAGTTTAGCTGATTTTGAAATACATACACAAAAATCCAACCATACATATGTTCTCGTTTATAATATTACTTTTTCTATTTAAGATATACATATAAGATAATATTACTTTTTCTTTTTAAGATGGCTGCTGAACGTGAAGGCCAGCAGCAGCAGACCGAGCCCCAAGAAGACAAGAAAGAAGAGAAGAAGAACTAGGCACAAAACCAGAGGAATACAGTTTGTAAATAGTTTATTTGTTAACTTGTATGGTTGCCATACAAAATATATTAACTTTGAAGCACTGCACTACACAAGCTTTAAAGTATGGAATAATTTAATTTGAATACGTTTTTTGCTTTCTGCTCTGCTCCTAAGAGACAAAGCGTGATGCGAAATAGTCTATAACCTTCAGAAATAGATATATTATCTGGTAAAAGTTTTGTTTTCTTGTGTTTATTAATTTTTGAGATTAGCGCGAACAAACAGACTATAAATACTACGATGTGGAGCGCTTTTTATATATATTGCAACCATAAAAGTTTACAAATTAGTTGATACCAAAATAACTAAGAGTTTTTGATGTATTGTGCGTTTATTTCTCATAGTATTTTGTTGATACAAATTACAGGCGGGAATGCGGCGCCAAATGTCAACTGTCAAATCTGACACAAGGGCAAAGACGCCGGCGTACAGCCACAACTGTCAGATGTCACTGACGTTTTTAATTTCTCTGTGACAACATTTGTATTATGATTAAAATTTTATGTTTTTTAGTAACCCTGTGATTTTTATTGCAGTAAGTTTTCCAGTGGTTTGATATGGCTTTTTTTATAATACAAGTCTTAGAAACTCGGATGATTTAAATATATACGATTATTTTAATTACCAGAAAAAATGTAATTACCTATTGCGGTTATATTTATGGTATTTAAAAAGTCGATACCAAAAAACTTAATTTATGGTCAACTGAAGTTGGTAACTGTTGTGTTTCTGGTAATTTTAAAATAATTCTATATAGAAATTGTATAAATTCCACACATTTGAGTATTGATATCCCGCAGGTTACGGTAGATTAGTTGGAAAGTATGTTAGATGTAATATATATTTTTAAATGAATGTATTTGTGACTCTGTGCGATAAAAAAAACTTAAACATTCTCATTCTGACTAAAAACTATATAATTGACTTAAAATATCTAATATTGACTATAACTGGTTCTTTTACTTTAATAAATATGAGAAATTATACTGTTTTCTGGCTTAAAACAGCAAAGATATTATAATGTATAGACGAGGCAGTGATTTTTTCACCGGTACCTTCTCTGAAAGGTACTATATCAGTTGTCAAGTAAAGTGACACCTTGTGTCTGTATTGACATGTTATAAAACATTTTACAACAATTATAAGCTCCATCTTTTGTTATTAAATAAAATAAACAGCTGTGAAATAGAATATAAATATTATTTAGTAACACTTATTGGCAATTTATTCCATTAATTGTTATCTCTATGAAAAACAGTCATTTTTGTATCACGTAGGGTTGTAACGGAACTCCGCTTCCGCATCCGCAAGTGCGGAAATTCCGCAAGAAATGAAAACTTCGCATCCGATTCTGCTTATTTCTTATGCGGAGTTATAACGGAGGTTAATTTACGTCTCGCGAGTGGGGCGATTAGGTGTCGTTTATGCCCACGCGGACTTGCTAGGTCAACTAACTATAATTGTTATACATTATATTTGCACAATAAACTGTATCTTGTCATTGTGTACCAATCTGTATTTTGGTTTAACGTAGTTTTAGTTATTCCTTTAATAAATCGCAATTAATATTTTATTGTTGACCTCCACTTAAGGTTCCGTTAACCTCCGCTACTGAAGAGTTGAAGCCCTTCGCCTCCGCATCCGCTTCCGTTGAAATTGTCACCGTTACAACCCTACTATAGACAATCATCAACCAGTTTCTTATTTCTATTGAATTCTAATAAAACCGAACTGTAAATTAAAAAAAATAAACAACGATTGGAAATAAATGTTTGCATTTAATGTTTTTCAAACTGGTTTTCTTATACACAGAGTCACAATATGTGTGATTAAATGAAGATTGTTTTTTTGTTACTTTGTAAAGGTTATTTTATGTTTGTGTTCATGTCGTTTTTGTTACAATACTTTGAAACAACTCGAAATGTAAAATGTTTTTTTTTCTTGATGTTTTAGACAAAATGTTAGAGACAAATTGCTTTATGGCTGTTATAAAAAATTTCGATAAAACATGTAATTGCTGAAATAGTAATAAAACCTTTTCAATGTCGCTTAAATGTGTATGTTTAATTTTTTGGTATATATTGAATTTTTTAAAATAAAAGTTGTATTAATGAAGTAATGTTTGTGAGAAAAATGACATGTATGAAGTTTGTATGGTAGTTTACGAACTCTAGATGTAGTTGTATGTGTGTTGGGGTGAGGCAGATGTGCGTTAGTGTAGTACAAATATATTTCGCAAAATTTATTTGTCTTTTATTTTCCATTAGCTTTCGTACGCGTGGAATTATAAAAAAAAACACAAAAGTGAGTACCCTATGTGTTCTTCCAGACTATTTTCTACGTCTATGCCAAATTTCATCGAGATCTGTCAGCCGTTTAGACTACAAGCTAACATCCATCTAAACTTTCGCATTTATGATAGTAACACGTAAGATTAGCTTATATCCGCACGGAATTAAAGTAGTTTGTGTTCTTCCAGACTGTTCTACGTCTACGCAATATTATATTGAGAACCGTAGAGCAGTTTAGGATACAAACTCTTAACGAACATTCGCATTTATTTCACATTTGTTTCGTATAATCTCGGCAAAGAGTACTATAATATATATAGAAAACAAAATCTCTGAAACAGCCGAGCTAATTTCAACCGGACTTTCACTGAAGGGTAGCCGACATAGACCGGCATATTATAGGCTACTTTTATATGTTAATATTGCGTGAACGAGGCCTCGGGCAACAGCTAATTGTAAATAAATATCCAAATCTAACGGCGCTCTTTATAAGAATAATATTGTCCAATAATTCCCTTTTATGGTTCCAAAATAAAACACATGTTTTGTAAAAACTTATATTTAGAACTTATTGTCGTATTTAGTACAAGTTTTTAATACTAACAGCGTTTATTATAAACCAGCTGTCTTATTGGAATTATAAATTCTAACAGGAAATAAGCTTAAATCGGACTAGTAGTTTTTCAGTTATTTGTGGCATATAAAAATATAAATTCTCTTGACATTAGTGAATTTTCATGAGGTTAGTCAGCACTCATTCACGTTTCCAATCGAAACCATAGACAAACTACAAATTACGCCAAAACCGGTAAACACCAAAATATGTCTGATAAAATACATTCTTACATAACTAAAAGAAAGGGTATCTTTATTTCAAATTATCGCTTCACTTTATCTCACAATTTTCAAAACATTTAAGACATTCCGTAGAGAGGAGTTTAGGCTTTCATTCGAAAAATACTCTACTCTCGTGCGAAACTAGCGACATAAGTCAACACTAATGTTTAAAAGATTTGTATTTTTGTATTAGAATAACTCAAAAACTACTTAGCCGATTGCAAAAATTCTTTCCCTATTAGAAAGCTAAATTATCACCGAGTAACATAAAACCATTTCCATAATTCTGTGTGGACGAAGTCGCGTGCAAAAGCCAGTATTCTTTAACCTCCTGCCTCCGCGCTGACCGACAGCTGCTTGCCTTGCGCGTCGTCATATCTGTCATTGGTGACGCAGTTCATAAGCGCTATCACACCGACTAGCAATATGCCGAAACACACCGAAGTCACAAACATACAGGCGATTATGGTCGAAGTAAAGTACGGCCCGCAGTTCACCTGCAAGAAAAATTCCTTAAAATTGACTGTTAGAGGCTATCAGCTGTGGAATTGTGCTAATTTGATTAGCAGCATTTTGGCGCTGGTAGCGGTGTTGGAAACTCGAACTAAATAGAGTGAGCTGACAGGACCTTGAACTGGCGCTTTTAAGTCGCCACGAAATATTAGCTGTTATTTCCAAGCAATGACTTGACTCGGGTCTTTTTCCAATTTTGTGTTTAGGTTCGATTTTGTCGTAAACTTGTGAAACATCTTCCTTACGAGTTACTAGCGATGAAGTCATTTATAAAGTACGGTGTGCATAATATTTTTAGAAAGGATATATGCATAATTAGGTATACTTACGCCGGGCCCGAACCCCTTACAGGTGTTATTAGTGCTAGCTCTCAGGTAATCCCATTCAGGGTAAATCATGTCGTCGTATGATCGATCGTGACGTCGGAATGCTTGGATCTACAAACAAATGTTAAAACAGCATGGACATCGCCAACGTGACGACAACCGTCAGCCAAAGTAGATTTTTCCTTCGTTCTCATCCAGTTTTAACGTCAAATGCTCACTTTATTAACGGTAAAAACATTTCAAATTTCGTTTCAAACGTTTTATTGTGTATTATAATAATATCGAATGCGTTAAGAAATCGGCGCAACACTAGATCGTTGGCATACACGCCCCGTCCATACGACATCTGTCAATGACAACCACAAGTATTGAGGTTAGTACGCCATTCTGGCGAGACCAGTAGGTTTGAATATTAACGTAGATTTACGTTGTTACAATTACATTATTGTCTAAAACTATAAAGGTAAAAAGGGAGCCAAGAAAGTATGTATTGAGCTTAGAGACCGATAGAGATGGAAGAGTAACCGACACAATGTAAAAGTTTATTTAAAAACCTGATAATGTGATATGGTGACAGCGCTGCCATCCCTCAAGTTTATTATTACAAGGGGCTCCCCGCATACGTAGGAATTCTCCCAAGGGGCACCAGCACCCATTCGTGTACGCCCCACTTCTTCTCCGCCTTCCAGTAGAGCCACGTCATCTGATAAAGAACACCATTAACAAAAGGTTGAAAGAAATGGATGGATTACAGTACAGGCATAAGGCTACCCACCCCCAGGGCACTGTTTAGAAAGTGGGGTTAAAGTTCAAACTTTTATTACAAAAATACTGTTTCCAAGTAATCAAATTATAGTTTTTTTTTATATATGAGCAGAGGGCAAACAAGCGGCGGGAACACAAAGGTGGTCAATGACACCCATGGACATTCTCACCAGAGGAACTACAGATGCATTGCCGGCCTTTGAGACGATTGTAGGCTTCTTGAAGGACCCTAAGTCATATTGGTTTGGAAATACCGCTGAGGAGAGACCGTTCCACAACGCGGCGGACAGAAAGTTCCGCGAAAACCGCACGGTTGTGGAATGCCAGCCATCAACATGGTGAGGATTGTACCTGGCGGTCTGTCCTGTCGAAAGTGGAATCGAATCCACAATGATTTCAAAACAATAATACAAACCAATAACCCATCCGTCCTTTTTGAATGAGAAGTTAAATTCCAATTCAAAATCGGTGTATGCTACTTTAGTCGACAGATGTCGCCTCGATAGTCTCTCGTCCGCCACTACAGGCGGATGACTGAACCTTGATTGACGCTTCGCGCTCGAAGAGTAAACACCTGACAATGAAAATTAAAAAAAAAACAGTTAACTCTAGCCATCGATTTCTTAGATATCACAACAATCTCTGTTGCATGCTTAGAGGTTTTAAAATAAGGTAGCAAACAAGGGGCGGAAACACCGAAGTGCTTATCGACTCTTGTAGACATTCGCAACTCGAGAAGAGCTACAAATGTGTTGTCAAAAATCCTCTCCATTTCAGGCAAATGCACTAAAGTCCAAAAGAAAATACAGACGAATTGAGTACCTCCTTTTTTTGGAAGTCGGTCAAAAAGTAACAACTTACCAACAAAGCGAAATAAAGCGTCCCTGCTCTCAACAGAAACGCCACCATCCATAGAGATTAATTTACGTTTTTTAGGTAGTACTTTATATTTTTTAAGAATTATAGGATTACTTTTGCCAGTATAAAAGCCGATCACTGGTCCCGTAGCGAAATTTCTCACAGCATTATAGATTTCTTTTACAATCAAATCGTGTCTCCTTAATGTATCTATTCTTGTTTCATTAAAATTATCCTCGAAATATATGTAATAGTGGCCATTACGAGCTTCATACATCTTCAACTTATCCATATCACCAACGTGGAATACGTTTTTATTGTGATTTGCGAAAATCTGCTTTAGTGCTTTATATGGGTTATAGACCGCGGGGAAGTATTTCACACGTTCGGACAATAATTCATCATGCATATTACGATATGGCGTACCCTTAATATCTTTAGAGCTTATATCCTCGTTACATAACAATTCTTCAATAAATATGACGACCACTTTGCTGCTCTTCTTCGAATCTTGTAGGAGATCTAAGAAAAATTCAGTAGATATTTTCACGAGCGGGTTAGGTTCTACCTTCACGTGAGTCAGAACTCTATCAAAATCTAACATAAATACAGGAAGTATGCCATCTCCTTTAGTTGTTCTTAGGAAGAATATTAATATTAAAATATGCAAATGCATTTTCCTTATTTATTCAGTTATTTTAAAAAAAACGGCCTTCTGACAACTGAATTTCCAAATATTTCAAATTTTATATGTGTCAAAGTTAAATAACATTTGCAAAGAGTTTCCTATGCTTTTAAATTATACTTTTGAAACCATTAAATAATGTAATTCTTTCATTGTTTACATAATTCTAGTTAAACAAATATTTAAGAGCTATAATTAAATTATTTGTTGGGCATTGTAGAAAACATTTTATTTTGTGGTAATTTTTTAGAAAAACATCACCTGGCAATTTTGTTTGAACCATAGACAAGCACGCGTCAAACTAATCATATGATCACTTTTCACATGACCGATGGTCAATCGTCATCCCTCAATTCTTGTCGTTTTATGACAAATTTTGGACTAAAACTATACTTTTAGTCCCCATACGTCCACTAGTAGTAGTTAAAAAATCCATTGATAATGGCGTACTGCCGATTAGTGTTCCCTTTATTAGTGCTAAGTGTGGTCCAGAGTTACGCCTCATCCGTGCCTGTATTTCTATGGGGCGATTTGTCTAAAACATCATTGAAATCTAACCCTCTCGCCGCTGTCTCCGAAAAGGAATTCGAGGATGTATTAAAAGAGGAGCTTTCAGGTGACCCTTTCACTGTTATATTTATAGAGGAGACGCTATCTGTTGAAGATTTTTCAAGTAAAACCTTAGATGGTGAAGTTCCGTTGAAATATTTGCGGTCTAACCTTGGAGATTCTTATTATTTACCTTCTGTATCGAATGCTCTTGAAGCTTTAAACAGTTTCGCGGACGTGGAAAAAGAGAATCATGTTAAATTGACCGAGAATGGTTTATCGGCGGAGATCGAGCCTGAAGGTGGTAAATTCCTATTCATCGAGCTTAAGGATGCCAACGAGAAGGATACGAGAGCGGAGTTGTTGCGTAGACACAATGATGTTATGGAGGATATGTTCGCCAAGTTACACAACCGTTATGAAAAAGTTGTGGCAATATACACCGCAAGGAACCCCTCATGGACTGTATCGGAGAGTCACCGCGTACGTCGTCAGGCAACGGAAGACAACAAGGTGTACAGGTTAGATGGACTCCTGTTATACGTGGAGGATCTGATGCTAACGGAATTAAATAAGACAATCCATTTGGACAACCTTGAGAGCAGCACCAGTACATTTAATGACACAAGCAACACTATGACCACCAGCATGAAGTTTGGTGCAGATGAAATCCAGCTTAACTTTGTACACAAGAATGGTTATTGGACATTTGGTAAGATAATGTTCACCTTTTTTTTTAAATTATCTTTTGACCTACTTTAACTTTTTTTATATTATTATTGTTCATAAACAATATCTCATATAAGTATTCCTTCCTTGTGATTATACATTTAGTTTTAATAAGTCATCATCTCCCCTGCCTTATCCTACTTCTGTAGGGTCGGCGTAATGGGTTTTCGTCCTCCAAATAACTCTATCATCAGTCATCAAGTCACTAAGTTATAATAAGTAATGCATATATTCTTCCAGACTTTTGTATGTTCTGTGTCTATGTTAAAATTTATTAAGATCTGTTAACACTTTGTGAAGTTGTTTAACAAACATCAATCCATCAAAACATTTGCAATTATAGTAAGTATTAAATGCATAATGAAAGTAGCGCCAGTGGTGGAGAAATTGAGAAGCAAAAGGTTAGCGTGGTATGGACATGTTATGCAACATGATGGGGACGTCAACCAGAAATTGATTGAATGTGGATGGCTACAAAGGTAGAGGAAGACTGACTAAAGTATGGATGGATTGTGTGAAAGAGGATACGCTTAAGAAAGGAGTGGATTCAGATATGACGGCTGACAGAGATGTATGGAAGAGCAGCACATACTGTGCCGACCCTCTGTAAGGGATAAGGGCAAGTGGATGATAAAATGCATATTGATTTTTGTAAAAATCTTATTAATAGTACAAATGCAAAAGTTTAAATGGATGTTTGTTTGAGTTTGCTGCTAAATCTGTTGAACAGATTTGAATAAAATTTGTCAATAAATGTAGAGAATAGTCTGGAAGAACACATTATGCTCCTTACTTTTGTTTTTAAATGATAGTCGCCGAAAGCTAGATATCTAATATGGCTTTATATTTTCCAGAGAATGTTGTGCTAACCAGACCATCAACAATCGAAGTTTTGTACCCGGAGCTAGAAGTCTACTCGTTATCTGAATGGTCATACAGATGCGCTGAAAATGTCACATTTGCCAGTGTCAATGGCACAATCAACTATGCAGTCACCTTCAGAGATATGCAGGTATGTGAATTATCAAGGAATTTAATTTGGAAACCATCTTGGATCATTTTTTTTTATTTATGTATTTACTCTAAACATATTAAGTACATTCTTATCTTTTACTTTAGGTTCTTAAAGCTTCTGGTATGTGAGAACCCTGCACATTCTCTGTGGGTTGTTTACATTTTTTTACTTGTGAAGGATACGCCTTTTACGTTGCTATACAAACTAGGGACTTGAGACATTAGAATATATAATTAATTGTGTTAATAGTTGTGTAAGTGCGGCTTCATCTGTACGTAATTATGAAAATTTTATTTTATGTTTACATTTGTCAAATTATCAATAGCAAATGTCTAAATGACATCACATGACAAACCTTGGCAATCTTGTTTTCTTGATGTTGGCAACAACTTATGGTCTTTTTACCAAATTAGGGTTTTTATCCGAAATATTAACCCCTATGTTTAATGGCGTAAAAATATATAGCCTAAAGCGTGACGTAAGTGTAGGGCTTTTTATTAAAAAGAAAATAATTCAAAAATATGTTGTAATTGCTGACATGTTAAGCAACAAAGAAGTGTGTGTTTACGCTTTATTATAATAGTATAGTATTACAGGACTAAGTGTCTCTGAGAAATGTACCGCGGCGCGTTCAAAGAGTAACTGCCAATTCAAAACTCGGCGTCACCACAGCGGTCGTGTGTTTTAAAATCATTCGGTTATTTTTAGACCAATAACAAGCATCCAGGGATTTTGTTGAGCTGATATAGACAAAGACCTACCGTTCTGCCACCCTTTCAGTGTTACCATCTAATAATAGATATAATATTGTTGAAAATGTTTTAGTTACCCTTGCATTGTTTCTGAAAAGATGAAAACAGAGATATGCTTGTAGGAATTTATCATAGGGTTAAAAAGTCTATAGAATAGTTTTTTGTGTGTAAATAAAATATTTCATAATTGTGTGTTTCTTAAAGTTTTTTTTTGTTGAATTTGATGTTATATTTATCTTGGTAATTTTTTTAATGTACAATTTATTGGTAGTTTAAAATTTTAGTAGCTGGATTATAAACTATTGCCTAATATAAGGGTTTTTAAACCGTAAAGTGTATGCATTTATATTTAGAGAGTTAATTAACTCTAACTAAGTTTAAAGTCTCATCGTTCACATTTAGTCAGTACAGTTGGACAGTAGACCTTAACCACTGGAATAGCATTCAATTATTATAATTTGAACAATAACAGTATAACAGTCCAACTATACTGGCAAAGTGTAAAGCCATAAGTGTGAAGTCATAAAGGTACAAAGTTTTCCCTTCACATATATTGTAAACTAGCTGTTCCCATGCGGCTTCATTCGCATAAAATTATGAAAACTTTATTTTATTGTTTACATTTGTCAAATTATCAATAGCAAATGTCAAAATGACATAACATTACAAAGCTTGGCAATCTTGCTTCCTTGATGTTGGCAGCAACTTATGGTCTCTATCCTACATTAAGGTTTTTATCCAAAATATTAACCCCTATGTTTAATGGCGTAAAAATATATAGCCTAAAGCGTGACGTAGTGTAGGGATTCTTATTAAAAAGAAGAATTATTCAAAACTGTGTTGTAATTGCTGACATCTTAGGCAACAAAAAAGTGTGTGTTTACGCTTTATTACAATAGTATAGATTTTTGTATTACAAGTATAATTTGAGAGCGGCGGCTGTGCGGCGACAGCCAGTCTGGCGCCGCGGCGGGTAACGCGATCGATCCTAACGTTCAACGTCCGAATGTAGGGTGACCATGCTATAACATTTATATTTAATGTTGCTCTCGTTTTCATCGGCATGAAATTATTAAATAATCAAAATTTAGCCTATATTGTTCCCAGATAAATTACCTTACTAATGGTGAACAAATTTTTAAAATTGGCCCAGTAGTTTTTTTTTATTTATTTCAATACCAATACATACAATAAATACAAATCTTCCCACTTTACAATTCTATTGCTCAGTACTTCGTCCGCGTGAAAGTAAAAAATAATAAAAAAACATAGTCTATGTTACTCATTGATAACATAGATTTTTTATGGTAAAAGAAATTTTGAAATCGTCCAAGTAGTTGAGTTATTTCAATACATACAAAAATACAATACTAAGCTCTGAGATACGACGAGCCGTACACTACATAGGACTGTCCCGATAAAGTATAGTTAACGTACATTTATATTTTTCTAGTAATACTTCCCACAGCGAGATTAAGTTGGCGTGAGTTCAGTTATTATTGAGGTTCTAACACGTCAAGTATTTAAAAAAAAACTTTAAAAGTACATTAACCTTTACAAATTACCTTATGTGTTTGTTGGCAATTTTATAAGATTTTAGATGTCAGAAAATGTCGCGTGTACATTACGAAATGTACTTTTTTATATGCTTAGATTTAGTTACTTTCTGACTATACTAAGGGCCTGTCTCACCAAGTTGTAAAATATCTGAACTTGTAAAATATGTCATGGAAATATCGGATTTTGTTACCTTATCTGACAGTAACGTAATTTTTAAGCTATCTGAGCCTCTATCAGCCAGCGGTGTCCCACCTGGCCTTAATAATTGTTAGAATATTCAGAAATATCGCAATTCATCCAGTATGTTTATGACTTTGATTTAAAAGTTTTTTTAGAATTACAGCACACAGTAATTTCTATATATGTATACTTCTATACTATTATAATAAATCGTAAATACACACTTCTTTGTTGCTTAAGATCTCAGCAATACACTTACGTCACGCTGTAGGCTATAGATTTTCACGCCATTAAACTTAAGGAGTAAATATTTTGGATAAAAACCCTAATGTGGGAAAGAGACCGTAAGTTGCTGCCAACATCAAGAAAGCAAGAATGCCAGGATTGAGAATTTGACAAATGCAAACAATAAATTTATAATTTCATGCGGGTGAAGCCGCACGCGAACAGCTAGTGCCTTATATGTTATATTAGTCCAGGTATTAGCGCTACCAACAATGGCGCCCTTTTTAACATAGGTCGAGAGGTAGTTAGGAGGGTTTCAAAAGACTGTAATTTATGTACCTCTGACACCCTTTATAGCCCAGAACTATCATCCAATCACATCCTATCGTCGGTATTAAAGAATTATAAGTGTCTTTTTTGTCATTTCAGGTGCAACCGTTCTTCAAGACAACGAACGCATCGGATCTGGTCTTCGGCGATACCTTCAACTGCATCGGTTTCTTCTCCGTGCCGATCTGGTCAGGTCTGTTCGTGGTGTTCATATTCCTCGCGATCACCTTCTACGGCATCATGATGATGTTGGATATCCGTACGATGGATCGCTTTGATGATCCCAAAGGGAAGACGATCACTATCAATGCCGCTGAGTAAATTTACCAAGCAGTGTGACCATAACAAAAAATACTACTAAAATATTACCATCCTGAAATATTACTAATTTGAAAAAAATTACCTACTTTAAAAAATTAGCAACTTTAAAAATATTACCAACTTGTTAGTAATTGTTTTTAAATGGTCACACTGACAGTTGCTGTCATTTTTGACAGAACCATAGAGCTCAAAAATCTATAGTTTATACGATGAAATGTAGATTTGAGATGTAGAGTATAGAATACGAGTAATGAAAGGAATTGTAATTTATTCTACAAAAGAAATCAAATACACCAATAATTATTGTAAGTATAAGTTATATTTGCTATGTTTTTCTTTATAAAGTTTCGTGCTATTTTACTAGTGGAATTAAAACACTATTTGTCGCCTAATTTAGAGCGCTTACCTCTAAAATATATAATCTATGTAAATCACCGACAAAGTGCCTATTTGTCAACATTTAGGCAAAGACTTGTATACACAAATCTTAAAAAAAACTTATTCACACAATAAAAACAGATATATGACCTGTAGATACTTAATCTACACAAAAAAGGCGAAAGAAAGACTAGCCATTGCCTTTTGTTTGGAAAAATTCTCTTAGTGTATACTAGGACATTAAGAAAATTCTCGATTAGATGTCTTTATTGTATGACTTTTTGTATAACGATCTATAAATTATATATCTAATAGATATTTGTGTATATAACCTTTGCATGTAGATATATGTTAGTAGTTTGGAATCTAAAATGGTCATTTTGAAATCATAAATCACGCTACACTTTCACCATTTTGTACAATTTTTGTCAAAAATAGCAATAAATGGTTATAAAGGTAAATAATTTTTAAACACATTTGATATATATTCTTTTATTTGATATTTTTTTTACATTATTTGTGATTAAACTACTTTTTTTTTCTAATTCATAGACAACCTATAAATGAGTGATTCATACAATTTTGACATCCAAAGTTTGATGTCTTTTGTATTGTTAATGAGGTAATTTACTCCAATAAAAGGCTTCTAGAGACCTAAATACCTAAATATTTGTATATACGTTTTTTACCTATTGTTTTAAATGAATTTTGACTGCAGTTATGATATAAAAACGCGCGAAAATCATAACAACTTGATGAAAAAAAATTAAAAGTCTTACCAACATGATAATCAAAATGTTGATATTGTAATAATGGTGAATTTTAGTCTAATTTGTGGATTTCAATTTGTACCATTATTTACAGACCAATTAGTACGCTTTTATAAGTAAAAATGCCTTAAAAGAAATAAAATATATTGAAAAAAAAATCATTATTTCACACAAGTCTGAGTACGAGACGATTTCAATAATTCCGAGCTTCGATTAAATTTATAAAGCGTTAAATTATAGTTGTTAATTATTGAGATATTGAGAAATATGTTTATACGAAAAACCGAAAGCCCTCCATTTTAGTGCCAACGAGAAATTCATTCCAATAACGAGAAATACTGTTCAAATAGTTATAAGTGATTTCACGTATGTTTTTGTCTCGTAAGCCGCCATTTTGTTTCAACCATAGAGTATCAATTGAGAATTACGTTGTATTTACACAGATTAACAAAGTTTTTAATTTAACTTTTACAGAATAAAAAATGTGTTGCAATCTTTTTATTAGAATAAGTTAAAAAAAATCAACTTTGTATTTATCAATTTTTTTCTTGTAAATATTGTTGATTTGTATTCTGTGCTTTATTTTGTTGATGAGTATTAAAATCGTGAGATCATATTTATTCTTTTATTATCTACAGAATGTTCCTAAATAATTGACATTGGAAATATCTATCTTGAAATTAAATGTTGAACTATTATATAGAATGTTTGAATAAAGCTTTTAATTTATTTATGGGTTTTTGTTTTGAAAAATATTCACATCGCGTACTTCACAATTTTTTTGCCCAAGATATACAGGATGATTAAGGGACGGAACATAAGCTTTCTAAAGGTAGATGGCCTCAACAGCAATCGTTTATACCCAAAGTATGTTCCGCGATTTCGTATAATTTTAAAGCTTATTTTTTCGTAGAAAATCAAAGATTTGATTATCAACTAAAATATTCCTCCAAAGTATGAGTTTGCAGTAATTTTTTTTCTAGGATATGCCTAAAAATACGAAAACTCAATTATTTCGTATTGTTACTTGTGACTTGCGTTTGATCACAAGATCTGATCTAATACATTGATGACGTTAGTAAGACGTCGCAAATTTTCGTGCTGTACCCCCTTATGTTAAACGCTGTAGTCAAAATGGTACTATGTGGTGAAATTAAGAAATATATAGGCTTTATAATATATATTATATATAATAATTTATATAATATATAGGCTATATTACAGATAAATTACCTTTCTAACAGTAAAAGAATTTTAAAATCGACCCAATAGTTTTTGAGTTATTTCAATACATACAAAATTACAAATCTTTCCCCTTTATAATTAGTATAACTAGCGGTTTCTCGCGACTTCGCCCTCATAAAATAAAAAAAAGTAATAATATAGCCTATGTTATTCAGTAATATTCAGCTTGTTAATCGTGCGAGATTTTTTTTAATCGGTCCAGTAGTTTGAGTTATTTCAATATATACAAAAATACAAATCTTTCCTCTTTAACAATCTACAGAGCAGAGCATCTACGCACATTATTTTTTCAAGATTATACACTGAACCAGCTCGATATAATTTACACGGAAAAATGCCTGTTTTTCGGATTTCCTGGGTACGCCTTACCTTAAATTAAATTAGAGGACGCCCATAGATGACAGATGACGTATGATAGAGTTATGTGGAGGACAAATGCCTAGGGAGTAGGATAAGGAGGAAGATGATGACGCCCTTTATGGCCGCGTAACGTTTTTAAATAAGAGAGAACGCATCTGTAGTTCCTCTGGTGTAGGATGTCCATGGGCGTCGTTGACCACCTTTGTGTTCACGCCGCTCGTTTGCCCCTTCTCATATAAAAAAAACACTACAAAGGTTTTCATTTTTAGTTTGTCTAATTAAGATAGATTAGTTTGATAAATGACGCATATGAAGTATCGAATTCAATTTGTATGAAGCCAAATGCCATACTTAATAGACAGGTATCATAGTGACGAAATAAATACGAATAGCTAACAATTTCGAACTATCGATATTCGGTTTTAATAATTATCGAACTCAACTAAATTTATTATTTTCTTATTAATTAATTTAGAGGACAATTCTAGTATTGATTATAGTGTAGAGAATTTAGCGATGACAATAATAATAGCGAAATCCAATTCGATTACGTACGGCTGTAGTAGTAATAAACATTCATTTACTCTCATTATTTGTTATGGTCATTATTAATTTGAGAAAACAGTGTTTATTTATTTCATAAGTTATAACTATAAATCTATCGATTCCAACTTCTATAAAAATAATAACGAAAATCGATAAGATTCATGACTGATTTTACACAACCCATCCCTACTAAATTTGAAGTGAATTGTCAAATTAATCTAAATTATTTAGACAGAGACACACTATAATACGAGTGATCTACAAGTTATCAGTGAAAAACAAACGAATGAAGAATTAGGTTATAAATACAAGTCATCCTTTGTGTTAGAAATAATACAAAGATATTGTTTATAAGTTACTTTTATTACAAAAATAATACATTGAACTATGAAAGGGTTCAACACGTGCATATTAGAGTGGCGTAGTCTTTTGTGGTAATCTGCAACCCTTTTAAATGACATTTTTATAAGGGCTTTGGTTAAAACTATATAACTTACAAAAACACTTAAAATACACAATTTTGTAAAATTATAAAAAATAAGGTGACCATAAATTTTAAATGCAAAAAATAATTACGCTTAAGACTAAAGTTTAAATGTAGTCCACTTGTATTTTATTTGGTGCGTAATTTATTTTACATAGCTGTAGTTCGCGACTTCGCCCGCGTGAAATTGAAAATGTAAAAATATAGCTATTACTCAGTGATAACGTAGCTTTTTAATGGTGCAAGAATTTTCAAAAACAGCCCAGTCGTTTTTGAGTTATTTCAATACATACAAATCTGTCCTCTTTATGAACTCAAGTAATATTTAGTTGAGTTCAAAGAAACTACGAGAAGCTGCATTATCTTTAGATAAGAGAGATTGACATTTTATCTTAGGATAAAATACGTGACTGATATCGAATGCAGATATAAATATACTCTAAATTTGACCTCAAATGACCTGAAACATGCTTATAAGTAGGGTTGTAACGGAAGCCATTTTATCGGAAGCGGATGCGGAAACAAAGGGCTTCAACTCTGCAGAAACGAAGTTTAACGGAAGCGGAAGCGAAGCTCGATAATTAGATATTACTCGATATTATAGAAATAAAAAACTAAAACTACGTTAATTCAAATTACATATTGGTACATAATTACAAGGTACAGTTTATTATGCAAATATAATGTATAACAATTATAATTTGTTGACTTATGCCCGCGCGGGCATAAACGATACCTAATCACCCCACTCGCGTTAAACACGTAAATTAACCTCCGTTATAACTCCACATCAGAAATATCAGAAAACGGAAGCGGATGCGTAAGCGGAGTTCCGTTACAACCCTTCTTATAAGAATAAATTATTACAATGGGTACATCTTACTAATATTATAAATGCGAAAGTTTAGATGGATGTTTGTTAGAGTTAACCTTAACTGCTGAGGGGATCTCGATGTTTGTCGTAGATGTAGAGGATAGTCTGGGAAAATACAAAGGGAAAATTTTTTTAAGTGTATGCCGACGGAATCTCGGACGAAAGCTAGTCATTACATAACTCCAAATGGCTGTTAGATTTGTCTGAGAGTTTGTTTATTTTAATCACATGACGACTAAACCGATTTGAATGCGGTTTTTTACCGACTTCCCAAAAGAAGGAGGTACTCAATTCGTCTGTATGTTTTTTTTTATTTTTTTTATGTGTGTTACGGCATAACTCAGCCGCTAGTGGACCGATTTTGATAATTCTTTTTTTATCCAAAAGGTAATGCTTGCAGGTGGGTCCCATTTTTTTGGTTGATTTTTGGAGTCAAAGACTACGACGTAGTTAAATAGTTTTCATTAATATATTGTATCATCTAACATCTAAATTTCGCATTTAAAATTAGTAAGATGCCGTATGAAGTTAACGGTATAATCTCAGGGCCAAACGATGTTCTCTATCCAGGACATGTAAGGAGACACTTTAGTGTATATCCCGGGGCGGGCGAGCGTGCCGCAGTCCTTGCCGAATGACGTCACACCTATCACTACGTACATGCAGTTGATGTGAGGGCTCGTCACTTGTAGAGGTCCGCCGCTGTCGCCCTGATATCAACACTTAACTACATATACATAAAGAGCCTTACAAATAAACGCTGTATAAAGTAATACAAATTTTGTACTAATATATGCTTATACTCAGTTTATTCCTAAATTGAACTTTATATCGCGTTTATTTGTAAAAATGTAATTAGACTGAGTATTAACACACGCCACTCACCAAAATGGCGCGCTATTGCAATACGTCTAATGACATTGACAACTGTCAGATAGGAACGGGACGTATATGCCAGTAATCTAGTGATGCGCCAATCCTCCAGCAGTACTGATTTTTTAAACTATACTAATATAATAAAGCGTATACACACACTAATTAGTTATGTAGGATGTCAGAAATCACAGCATATTTTTGATTTTTTTTTAATAAAGTGTCCTGAGTTACGACATGCTTTAGTCCATATTTTCAGGCTATCAAACTTAGGTAGTAAATAATTTGGAAAAAATGTCCCGCGGGAAAGGGACAAAAAATACCAGCTGACATCAAGGAAGGTTGCTATGGTAACGGTTTTGTTATGCAACATGTCATTTGTGCATTTGAAATTGAAAATTTGACAAATGTAAACAATACAATAGAGTTTTTTGAATTGAATGCGGATGAAGCCGCGCGGGAACATCTCGCATTTAATAAAATACTGAAAGCAGTGTAATACATTTATGGTGAAATATGTAACGTCCATATCAAGCAGCGGTCTGTATTAGAGTTTGTCTAAATAAGATAGATTAGTTTGATAAATGACGCATATGAAGTATCTAATTCAATTTGTATGAAGGCAAATGCCGTACATAATAGACAGGTATCGTAGTGACGAAACAAACACGCAGCGAACAATTATGAACTATCGATATTCGGTATAAATGTTTATCGAACTCTACTGAAATTTTTATTTTCTTATTCACTAATTTAGAGGACAATCCTACTATTGATTATAGTGTAGAGAATTTAGCGATGACAGAAATAATAGCGAAATCCAATTCGATTACGTAAGGCTGTAGTAGTAATAAAAATTTATTTACTCTCATTATTTGTAATGGTTCTGCAAGTCATTATTAATTTGAGAAAACAGTGTTTTTTTTTCAATTCATGAGTTATAACAACGAATCTATCGATTCCAACTTCTATAAAATAAAAATCGAAAATCGATTAGATTCATAACTGATTTTACACAACCCATCCCTACTAAATTTGAAATGAGTTCAAACTAATCTAAATCATTTAGACACACTATAAGTAGTGTTTAACTAGGGTGTCTAACTGGATTTTTTGGGATAATAAAGAAAATCTCACCTGACAAGTGTCTTTAGATTGTAACTTATCACCGTAGCAGAACTGCGTGTTGGCGTCAAATCCCCGCAGCATGTTCCTGTGCGGTTGGTGAGACGCTGAACACTCCGATTCCGTAAACTTGTTCAACGTTACCTTGGAATTAACATTTTACTTATGCAACAGCTTAAAAAACTGTAGTAAGTCATCAACTTGCCCTTATCCCTTACGGAGGGTCGTCACAGTATGTGCTGCTCCATACATCTCTATCAGCCGTCATATCTGAATCCACTCCTTTAAGCATATCCTCTTTCACACAAACTATCTATACTTTCTTCGTTCTTCCTCTACCTTTGTAGCCACATTCAAGCTTAACACTTTCTGGTTTATGTCCCCATTTCGTCGCATAACATGTCCATACCACGCTAACCTTTTACTTCTCAAAAAAACTGTAGTAAGTATGTGATAAGAGAAATTTCCTCGAGCTCAGTAGTTTAGGCTACAAACTAACAAACATCCATCCCAACTTATTTATAATAGTAAAATTGAGATGAAATAAATACGAAGTCTTCCAAAACATTAATAAAAGCCACATTTGAATAGGTGTAGTCGTTATTCAGATAAGCATACACAAACTGACAGACAAACGGACAACCCTTCGACGGAGATTTTTGTAACAAAAGTCATATTAAAAATAGTAAAATATAACCTATGTCACTCAGTGTTAAAGTAGCGTTTTAATGATGCAAGAATTTTTGAAATCAGACCAGTAGTTTTTAAGTTATTTCAATACTTACGAAAATCCAATGACACAATCCTTTCCTCTTTATAACATTAGCTTTTGCCAGCGACACCGTCCGCGTGGAATTAAAAAAACAAAAGTGAGTAGCCTATGTGTTCTTCCAGACTATCCTCTACATCTATACCAAATTTCATCGAAATCCGTTCAGCCGTTTCGGCTACAAACTCTAACAAACATCCATACTTCTAAACTTTCGTATTTAAAATATTAGTATGATGTACATATGAATTATTATTTTTTAATTAGTTCGTCACTGGACACTCGAATTAAGGATAAAGTTTTTGCTTCTTTCTTTGGTGTCGGTCGTTGAGTGAGTTTCGCCCGGAAGCTGGTGTTGCCACAGGCGTCCCACAATTCTACTTTGTCTATTGTTGGTATTTATAGATTATCATTTATTAAATTAATTAATTAATTAATAATTATATTTTACATTTTAAACACATACCTTCTCAAGTTGATCAGAGGCGTCTCCCTTGTGCTGTGTTGCGCCCCAGCCTGTAGCGATCGCTTTCTCTTCAGAAACAGTCTCCACAGGCAGACAAGCTGGTACTGCTTCTTGGCTTAGCGTCATTCTGAAAACATGGAATAGCTAGCACCCGCTATTGGATTCACAACCGTCACCCCGCTCTGTCCCCATGTGAGAATAAAACGTGTCACCCGTCTTACTTTTTAGTCCCACTATTTCCAGTGACAGATGGAACCGTTATGGAACAAAATAAGTTAAAACCTCCTCGTCGCAAAAGGTAAGACGGATGTAACTTTTTATTGTTTTTTTTATTATATAAGTTGGCAAACGAGCAAGCGGCCACCTGAATACACTGAAATGGAAAGCGACCGCTGCCCATAAACATCCCCAATTGCAGATGCGTTGCCTTCCCTTCATTGACGGAGGAGGACTCACATAACGAGGACATTTCCCCTTCCTATGCGTCTCCTCCACCGTCAAATCCACTTTTCCTTGCCATCCTTTCCTCTTAAGACAAGGGTGGAAAGGGATTTTTTTGTAGAAAAACAATGAATACAAGATAATCGAAAATCCATAGATTTTGTAATTTGATAGTCCGAAAGCCGTAGAACACGGCAATTGTCGTAGCATTGGCAACACTGGAGAGGACTACGAAAGATGAGGTGTCTGAAAAGGCGAGAATGGTGAAAAGTTTGAAGTAAAAGTTGGGAGTGATTAAATGCAAGGGGTAAAAGGACGGTAAATAGACAAGACAATAGGCAAGGTAATATATGAATGTGTTAGTAAAAAGTAAAGTGTACTAAAAAGTGGGAGGTGATAAACAACAAATTGTCGTGTCTGGATAAGTTTGCCGTACTTACTTTATGGCAGTTTTTAATAATGCGATGTCATTATATTTGGATGGCGATTTGTACTCAGGATGTTTGATGATATCCTGTATTTTATAAAGTTGGCTGCTATGTATATTATTCCTGTCTAGAACACCTAAACGTGCGTAGCTCACAGGTCTGTAAAGAATATATAACCAAAAGAATCTAGTTAATATCAAACACACAAGAATAGAAATGTTATGAAAAATATTGACTCGTTTCCTATTTTTACTTAGAAAAACTGAAATTACATATGTTAATAACACAGCAATAAACAATACAAACGCCTTTTTAACTGACCCTAACAATATTATTAGTTTCAGAATCGCAATATGACGGTTCTTTCTAATTTCGAATACTTTTAGACAAATAGTACAATTGTAAATTGACACTCTATCTGCCGATTCGCGCCAGAATCAAGCGCTTTCATTAATATTTCAAAATGACATTGACAGATGTCATAGTGACGGGACGTATACGTCAATGGTCTAGTGTTGCGCCGTTACTTAGGCGAGGTACCGATTTCTTAAGAGCGCCCACACTTTTGACTAAACTATGGCACAACTGTTTATTATTGCTGTTTATTATGTTATACGAGCTGTTGCCCGCGACTTCGTACGCGTGGTATTAGAAAACATACAAACTATATAAATGACAAAAAACTACATTTCTCTGGGATGAAGCTTATCCCATGTGTACTCTAGACTTTGTTTTATGTCTGTGCCAAATTTCAATAAGATATGTTGAACCGTTGCAGAATGATCGAGTAAACATTAAAAAACTAAATTAATGAATCCCACGGGAACCGTAACTATTTCAGGGATAAAAAGTAGCCTATGTGTTCTTCCAGACTATGCTCTAAACCTGTGCCAAATTTCATGGAGATCCGTTCAGCCGTTTAGACTACAAACGCTAACAAACATCCATCCATCTAAACTTTCGCATTTATAATATTACTAAGATGGAGGTGCGGACACTACTCGATTTTGAGTTGTGCAACTAAATTTGAATTGGTTGCGAAACAATCGACAATCGCATAACAGTTGTGCGATAGTTTAATCAAAGGTGTGCGCCCAGTCTTAAAATACTTACATGTCATTATGTGACGTACAATGACCAGCAGTGAGAATGTACCATTCGCTGATTAGAGTACCTCCACATGACCAATTTGCATCTGCCGGATTGCTGCCGAAGCCGAGAAGGACCTGCAAGGAACGGCTCTTTGCTCATTATGCGCGGTTTACACTTGGCCAGTACAGTTGGATAGTTGCGACGGCAAGCGACACTAAATAGCGCCTATCAGGGTTAGCACTCTGCCAGTTAATTGACAGTTCAATCAGAGCGACTGACCAACTGTCCGCGCCAAATGTGAACCGCACTTTAGTTTCCCTGTACTGATCATCTCCCCTGCCTTATCGTACTCCCGTAGGGTCGGCGCACCGGGTTTTCGTCCTCCAAAGCACTCTATCTTCCGTCATCCCAATCATCACTCTCTTCTTTATCATGTCACCTTTCACGCAATCCATCCATCTCTTTCTAGGTCTACCTCTACCGGTGTACCCCTCCCTATTCGTAACTAAGATGCGTCTTGTTACATGCGATTCATCCCTTCTCATAACATTAAAAGTGGTAGAGCCCGCTTTAACATCTTCGCACGAATGGGCCGGCTCGCCCGGTGAAATACCACGACCATACAGAAAACAGGCGTGAAGTGGGAGCAATTCCGCGTTTCGTCTGATGAGTGTGGTGCCGGAGGCCTAATTTTGATCCCTTTTCCTTCCCACCCATTTCCTTAGAGGGACGGATGGGAAGGAATAGTGGATTTGACGGTAGAGGAGACGCATAGGAAGAGGAAATATCCTCTTTATGTGCGTCTCCTTCCACCGTCGATTAAGGGCAGGCAATTGCGGATGTCTATGGGCAGCGGTCGCTACGTCATTTCGGCGGTTTTAAGTGGCCGCTTGCTCGTTCGCCACCATATGATATAAAAAAAAACATGTCCATACCACTCTAACCTTTTACTCCTTATTTTCTCAACTACTGGGGCTACTCTCAATTAATGAATCAATTAGTTTCACTGTACTGTACTGGCTGAATACTCGCCATTACATCGATCAGTTAAACGACTCAATGCGACAGTTTATGTCCGTCGTGCGAGGTAGACGCATCTACAGTTTGTCTAAATAAGATAGATTAGTTTGTCAATTCATTTGACTAGTTATGCTTTTCCACTGAAGACAAACGCTTAGTTACCATGTGAGGGAATTCTCTCTTTTTAGCATTGGAGCCGCCAACGATAAGTGGATCGCTGGGGTGATGGCAGCGACGGGCGCGCGTCATCTCGCTGGACATGCCTGATGCTCTGATACACGGGTATATCAACTGTTCCTGGTATTCTATACATTCTGAAAGAGGTAAATGTCAAGTTCACAGAATAGAAAGACAGAGAAGTTCAGTAGTTTGGGTAAAGCTGGACCGTCATTGGCTCAGTGGTTTACGCACTTGACTTGGAATCTACAGGTCTTGGGTTCGAATTCCGTTGTACCAATGCGATAAAAGAAAACATCGTGATGCAACCTGCACATAACGGCGAAGAAATTCAAAGATATGTTTGAAGTCAACCCTCAGTGCCGCGTGGTTGACTAACACCTAGTCACCCTAACTTAGGATAGGCTCCGAGCCATTCGGTGGGGACGTATAGTTAGCTGGTGATGATGAGGCGTGGCGAACCTTTATGCATCAAATAATTTTGACCGATTACATCAATTCCATGGTGCATATATTGAAAATTGAATGTTTTCTTCTTTTAAAATAAAAAAGACGTACTATCCCAAGCTTTTCGGCCAGTTTTCTGCTTTGTCAACTCTTTTGCCACAGGAGGACATCTATTTTGATTACTTTGAGTAGTTGTCCTGAAAATTAGACATACTTTTATTTAAAAATAGCTTATGTGTTCTTCCAGACTATCCTCTACGTCTAGGAGATATTTCATCTAGTTAGATCCATTCTGCAGTTTAGGCTACAAAGTAACATAGGCTATGTATCTAAACTTTCGCATTTGTAATATTAGTAAAATAGAAAATAATAAGGTTATCTGTTTTAAGTCAGCCGTATAGTTAAAACTGCTAGAATATTTATCCTCAAATATGAATAAAAACATAAGTACATTCCCTATGGATGACAAAGTATTTGTAAATGTCCATTGGCATTGGAAATTCATTTTCAACTTAATTTATACATACCGCTGTGTTGTGGTTCTAGGTTGGTACAAAGAGACGCAGCAAACAAATCTCTTACTAAGACGGTTCGAACAACCCTCCTAAAAAAGACGAAATTATTAAAAACTTGAAAATCTATACCTACATATATCTATACTAATATTGTAAAGATTATAAGAGGAAAAATGTATATTTTTGGATTTTTGTATATATTTGATCCACATAATAAAAACTACTGGGCCGGACGGAAATATAGTTAGGGGCTCATTTCGGCCCGCAGCCATACCAGATGAATTATGATTTTACTTGTAGCAGTAAACTTAATACGTTTACTGCTTAAAAAAATAAATAGACATACATACCGAAAAATAAGTAGAAGATTGACAATTTCTTAGAGTGGTGCAAACACCATTGTACCTGTCGTGGTAACATCGCTCACCTGTGAATTAAACAACTGATAAATAAAAGAAGAATTATCAAAATCGGTCCACTAGCGGCGGAGTTATACCGTAACACACATAAAAAACATACAGACGAATTGAGTACCTTCTTTTTGACCGACTTCCGAAAAGAAGGAGTTATTCAATTCGTCGGTATATTTTTTTTTTTTTATTTTTTTTTTATGTGTGTTACGGCATAACTCCGCCGCTAGTGGACCGATTTGGATAATTCTTTTTTTATCCGAAAGGTAATGCTTGCAGGTGGGTCCCATTTTTTTGTTAAATTTTTGGAGTCTAAGACTACGACGTAGTTAAATAGTTTTCTTTGTGACTGAATGTTTGACTTGAAGAAGCATTTACAGATTCACCGGGCTTGAGGTGGCCGAGCGCAGATGGCGCTTAGCCTAAACCTCGTTTATGAATAACTAACCTCGAGGGCTCCCTCAGGAGCCTTGGCACGAGCAGTTACTGTGTTATTATTACCGGATTGGGTACCTCCTTTTGGGAAGTCTGTCAAATATAGGCCTTGCCCAAAGAAATTCAATAAAGATAGAGGAGGCATAGTTGACAACACTCTAAATATTTTTTACATAATCAATCCTCAAAACCACATGTCAATATTGTTAGCTATTTAACTATTTTGATATATTAATATTGATATATTAATAATTAGTAATCTATGTCTTGGGTTCGAATCCCGCCGTACCAATGTGAATTTCGATTTTTCGAATTTTCATACGTACATAATTTACCCGACGTTCTTACGGTGAACATCGTGATGCAACCTGCACATCTCGGCGAAGAAATTCAAAGATATGTGTGAAGTCAACAAACCCGCATTAGGCCAGCGTGATTGACTATGGCCTAGTCACCCTAACTTAGGGTAGGCTCCGAGCCCCTCGGTGGGGACGTGTCACAACACACTATCATCCCCAGCTCACTATCTGGGGATGATAATGAGTGCGGGGGTAGTTTTATAAAATACTTGGCAAGGAGGGGCTCGAACGCTCAGTCGCAGTCTCGGCGCTCAGCCGCCAACAAGCTCAGTGTTTTACTAGTCGTCACAACGGAACGTTCGATATATTTGCGTTGTCGCATTGGAGTTCAGTTTGTGTGTTTTAAAATAATTTAGAATTCATTTGTGTCGAAATATCTAACAATATATAGTATGTCTAAATAATTTAGATCAGTTTGACAATTCATTTCAAATTTAGTAGGCATGGGTTGTGTAAAATCAGTTCGATAATTAAATAATTAGTTAATAATTATTAGCTAATAATTAGTTTAAATAAACCGAATATCGATAGTTCAAAATTGTTTGCTATGTGTGTTTGTTTCGTCACTACGGTACCTGTCTATTGAGTATGGCATTAGGCTATTGGCGCTTAAAGTTTTGCGATAGTTTAATCGAAAGTGTGCGTCTGTGTAGGCGGACTAGAAAGCTTTATAAAATTACGAGCTGTTGCCCGTAACTTCGTCCGCGTAGTATTAGAAAACATACGAATAACTATTCCCGGGATAAAACGTAGCCTATGTGTTCTTCCCGACTATGCTCTAAATCTGTGCCAAATTTCATGGAGATCCGTTCAGCCGTTTACGCTACAAACGCTAACAAACATCCATCCATCCATCTATCCATCCATCCATCTAAACTTTCGCATTTATAATATTTTTAAATAATATTAGTAAGAAGTAAGATTAGTAAGATTGAATTAACTCACCCTCAGGATAACGCCCTTCGACACGTACAATAAAATATATAAAATAGAGAATAATAAATCTACACAACATTATTCGATTTATAAAATATAATATTAAGAATAGCGAAATATAATAAAATATGTCGAGATATTTATAATCACTAACAACCGAGTGTCTTAGCCTTACGTGTCAATTTTAAAATAAAAGTCGAATACGTGGAAACATCAGAAACTTAATAAATGTTATGTTATCAATTAACAAATAAGATTAATATTCATATCGATTCGTTTTCAATAAATTTAATTACTAAAGTTATTAGAGTGTTCTCTTTACACCAAGTTTATTAATTCGTAGCAACGGAGCAATCGGAAAGCGACTCGAATTGTCAACGACCGAGCTCTTACCGATAGGCTAGATCCCTTGGCTTTGCTGGACGTCAGTTCCCTCTGCATTTTTTACCGCATTTACCACGGGGAGTGTTCCGAGGAATTGTTAGGAACGATTCCTGTCGCCGAGTTTCATCGGACGACACGACAGACCGTCAGGTACCATCCTCACCATCTCGATAGCTGGCATTCTGCAACCGTGCGGTTTTCGCGTAACTTTTTGCACGGCCGGGTTGTGAAACGGTCTGACCTGGAATTTCCAAACCAATACGACTTAGGGTCCTACAAGAAGCGAGCCTATCATTTCCACAAAGGCCAACGCATCTGTAGTTCCTCTGGTGTTGCGGATGTCAATGGGTGTCATTGACCACATGGGCGTTCTCGCGGCTCTTTCGCCTCCTTTTATTTTATAAAAAAGCAACAGCAAATTATGTAAATATTTTCAATTTTTTTATCCATATAGATCCAGCTTTGGCGCCTATGGGGTCCCATAGACGTGGTCAAGTCAGCTCAGGGGGGTCATGACCCCCTCCCCCTGGATCCGTCCTGGGCCCACTGCGGGTTAACCTCACACATATCATTACAGATTGAATTTCTTCGATCACTATGTTTTCTTTCACCGCTAGTACGTTGGGTAAATTATGTATGTACCTACATATGAAAATCAAAAATTAACCGGATTTTAAACTCAAGGTCTATAGATTACAAATCAAATGCTAAAACCCCTAAGCCATAACACTCTATTGTTTATTTTATGTTTACCAGTAAATATTTTTTAGGTTATTAGTAAAATTTATTGTTAGCATTAGAAACAGGATATGACGATGAAGTCAATAAAATGTAAATATTATTTAATTACTTATTGTTCTAGAATTTATTGTCTAACTAACTTTCGCCCGCGACTCCATCCGGGTGGCATTAAAAAAACAAACGAGATAAAAAATAAATAAAAGTAGGTAGTCTATTTATATCTCCAGATTATCATTTACCATACGTCACTGCCAAATTTCATCGAGATTCGTTTAGCCGGTTAGGTTACAAACTCTAACAAACATCCATCCATCTAAACTTTCGCATTTATAATATTAGTAAGAAGTAAGATATAATAATTTTATTTAACTTTTAAGGAACTTTGTTAACTAATTCCTAAAAGATCGAAGAAAATTCGAAGGTATCTTGATAAATCGCATAAAACTGCTGTCTCCTTTTTCTCAAAGAGTACGTAAGGGATAGAAAATCTATTGTTAATGTCTCCAGTCGAAAAGCCCCAATAGTAGAGAAAACAAAGAGTAAAAGGTTAGCATAGTATGGGCATTTTATGAGAATCGCATGTTACAAGGAGAATGTTAGTTATGAGTGTGGAGGTACACCGGTAGAGGTAGACCTAGAGAGGGATGGATTGCGGGAAAGATGACATGATCAAAAAGGGAGTGACAGTTGACGTATGATAGTTATGTGGAGGACCTGTTGTGCCACTACGGGAGTAGGAAAAGGAGAAAGATGACGAATGTCTCCAGTCGAAACTCACTTAACATAAATAAATTTTCTTTTTTTTTATAATAAGGCATCGTGTGCTGGCAGTTTCTGTTTAAACTTTTTTTTTCTCTTTTAACCAAAGAATAGAGGTCAGAAATAAAACAACAATTTGACGATTAATGAATAATTTTTATTTGAAAATAACTGAAAAACCAACATATGCTCTAAACATATATTCACGATAAACTTATAACAAATCTTAGAATTATACAAACTAAATTGAAAGAAATCACATTATTACAGCCTACTTTGTACCACTGACATTTAACAGTGTTGCAAGGAATAAATGCTGGTGAAAACTACTAAATCGGTAGATATTTTTGATTATATGATAGATAATTAATTTATATAGTGGAGAATTAAGAATTTATTGTTTTTGTGAGTGGATTTAAACGACCTTTTGGAGGTATTCATCGAAAAGATACAAGGCAAGAGAGAGGTCTTGTCCGTTGTTGGCCACAATGAACTTCTTGAGATCAGTGGTGTGTCCGGCGAGGTTCCTGATGGTGTCAGCTTGCTTCTCAACGAACTCCTCTTCTAAGTATTGAGCGATCTAGAGACAAAATTGTATTTTTACACCTATTACTTATTTTAACTGTCGCCCGCGGTTCTATCCGCGCAGTTATAAAAATATTAGTAGCCTATGTGTTCTTAGCCTAAACTGTTGAACGGATTTACGGATAGTTTGGCAGAACACGTAGGCTACTTTTGTCTTATTTTAATTCCACGCGGCGAAGTCGCGGCTGAAAGCCAGTTTATTATTAGTAAGAAGTAAGATTATGTACTGCGACGCGTCAATAATCAATACGGTTGACAGAAAAGGTTTGTAAAACCTAACAAAGCAAAAAATAAATGAGTGAAAGAGGAAAAAATCAAATTCTGTAACATCCTTAGTGAGTTTTCGGCAAACTTACGAACGGCTAGTAAAACATACCTCAGGATCGTGGGTATGAGGGCTGTTCCTAGTAGCTTCACGGTGAATATAGAAAGCTCTTTCAGCGAGTTCCTTCTGAGTATCCAGAGCTTTAGCGAGAGACTCCAGCTCGTGGAGTTCCACTGTGTAGTTCTTATCTGTCTTCTCTTCTTGTGTGCTGCGACGGGCAAAGTCCATTGTGTCACCTGAGAAATGTCTTATGTTGAATCGCCACTGTTATGCTATCCCTTTCAGTCTCTTTGGAAAAGACGGAGAAAGCAAAATTGTAGGTATAAGTGTGACGTCATAGGTCATATTAGACTGAGACGCTTCATATTTTTTTTATACTACAACCATAATAGTTTTGGCAGTGTTTAATTACAGTGGCGAAGTTTATTTTTATTTCATTTAAACTCATGGTAATATAAATCCTTCAGTATTGTATTATTTAAGGTATAAAATAACATCAATACAAGAAAAATATTCAAATAAATAATTATATGCTTAAAAAAAGACAACGATATCAACAGTGTAGGTATAAAAGTGTGACGTCATAGTTCATATTAGACTGAGTTACTCTATGATTTTCTTACACCATAACAGTTAAAGGTTTTGTCAATTTTAATTAAAGGGACCACGTATTATTTCGGTTTTGCAAATTCATGGTAAGATATATTTTTTAACCTTAAATATTAAATATTAGTTTAACTCTTACCTCTCTTGGTAATATGCTTGATAATTTCGATGCTCTTCTCCCAAGCTTCATCAGACAACTTCCTGAATAGTTTACTGAAGCCGGCACGGTTCGTCTGATAGTTATTATAATATGACGCTGATAGAAGATATTCATAAGATCTTTCTAGATGGAGATTAGCGTACGCCTGCATCTCAGTTGCGACGTTGCCGTGCCGGCCGTAGTTGCCGAACACCGCGTTACACCTCGGTAGAGCTGGTAGGAATTGGTAGGAAATTTAAAAGTCAGATTAATGAAGTTTATAATTTCTAAATACGACGTGTTTATTAATAAAAAATAATCAAATTGTAAGAACTCAATATATTGGATAGTAGAAATTAATAGGTCGTACATGGCAATACGAATAGCACTAAAGTGTCGGTTTTAATATTGCCATTTTTTTACTTAGTTATTTTAGTTGACAAATATAAAAACAAGATGTCTCAACTGTTTATTTTTTTTTATTTTAAAAAAATTTAAATTATAACAATCTTGAACTCTGAACTATTACTGTTCGCTGAATTATTTTGTTATACAAAAGTTAATAAAATAAAATAAAAGAGTAACCAATATATTTAACTTACCAAGGCTGTTAGAAGCCTGTCCACAATCCATGGAGACATCTTGATAGCAGGTGTCGGCTGCGAACGCGCCGGACGCGAGCATGCACACGAACAAGAATGCGAACATCTTCATTGTTCTAAAACAATTCAAAATTCACATAAATCAACCTAACCTGTAAAAGTTGCTGATAAACGATCTTTAAAGACTGGTTAACACTTGGCTAGTACAGTAGGACAGTTGTAATGGCCACCCATAGACTCAATGGCACCCTTTAGTGTTCACACTATGCCAGCTGATTGCCAGTCAAGTTATTGAGTATTGGCCAACTGTAAACCGAGCTAAACATGTACATATTTTATAATTAGCTGGATTGTAAACTTTCAAGTGACATGCTATGTAAAGAAAGGTGTGTTTACATGTTCACGTTACAACAGAAGTTACTGCCATTGTCTAATATCATGAATAAACTATTAAAGTAAAAAAAATATATTTATTTGATGAAATTCCTAAATAAAAATCAATTTACAGTCAGTTTTTTCATTGGCTACTACAAAAGGAACTTATATTGAAAACAATTTAAGAATAATAACTGAGATGTGACATTGAGATCATGTATATTTAATACAAAGTACCAACAATGTCAGATTTTATCTCTTTATCATATTACAATAGCCATGTGGTATTTATCTTTTTATTTGTTAAAAAAAAACTGATATATTTTCCAATTGGTACAATGATGACACCTTTTTTACTGGATGTAGGAAAGAAAACAATAATATAGATTATATAACCAGTTATCTTTTTAATTGATTTACAAAAGGATTACTGGCAATCAAAACAATTAAAAAATGATAAAAAAGTAATCCACGATAAGAAAAAACATAGAGCACTGCTAAGACAGAGTAATCAGTTTAATTTTTTTCGCGATTTTTTGTTAATTTACAAAGACATGTCAGTTTCAAATCTAGAACAATCAATCTTGGCATAATACCCACATCCAAAAATACCCGCAATTAACAAAGTCGCAATAATCAATGCGCAATTAAGTTTTTATGCAATTTGACAAAGCGAAAGCATTGATTTAAAAGAAAAAACCTAACTCACCAGAATTAATTTTCAAATGCAGAGTAAGACGGAAAAAATAGATCCGTCGAAAGTGCAGCCTTTACACACACTGGCGCAGAAGGCGACTTTCAACACAAAGAGTTCGATAAAACTGATAAATACCCCGAGACGGGACAAAATCAAATGTATTATTTATCACTTATTTTTCCGCGTAGTCGATGAGTGACAGTGTGCGCGATTACAAAGGTAAAGTATTATTGTCGTGTCGTCATCTGATGTTGGCGAATTGAAGTTAGTGTAGCCAGTATTCAATTACCATTTCCCAATTTGATCAAGAAATGATCAGAAACGCGCTATTTGAGTAAATAATTTGATTTGTACTTACTTATTCTCGAACAACTAAGTCGTATGTGTTATAATTTCAGTAAACACTTTATGTTAATACTTGAAACAAGAGTGAAGTGCTTCCTTTAAAGTGCGGTAAATCTTTATGACGGTATCTCTGAATCCCTGCCCCGCGCCGATTCCCTCTACCATCTACCTAATAATGACGTATACCTCTCCTTGTCATCAAAAATTCAAGGTTTTGTGTTCCAAATAATTACGACATATTTCATCAAATCCGCAGATATTAAGTATTTTTTACGACTAAAAAGTTCAGCACATTTAGTAAAACCTTATATCAGCAAATAAATTCTTACGTGAAGGTGGATATTTTGCAAATAAGCAATTTGAGAACAAAAATATTCCACGCATTCGGAACACAAAACCTTGGCCGGGCTTTGCTTCATCATCTGTCTCATTCTCACACCGTATGTCATTTACTCCGAAGCGCCTGTCAACACGACATGCTTTTGTTATCGCTGCGTAGTGAACATTTTTCTCGTATAATCTAAACCTTTTGGAGGAATAGCCCTTGTTTTTCATTTATTAGTGTTAAGAGAAGTCGCCTTCTGCACCAGTGAGTGTAAAGGCTAGACTTTCACAAGGTTTCGTACGTTGCGGTTCTCGCTGAAAATCTTTTTTTTTTCCTCGTCAAAGTATCTGTGATTTTTGTAGATTAAAATGAAGGCTGTTATTTTCGTCGTCGCTGCCCTACTGGCTGTTTGCATCCCCATTTCTGCGAAACAATGTAAGTATTCTATTTTTAAAATTAACTATTTCTTTTTTGTTTAATGCGTATGAAACGGTATTGAGGATTTAATCGGACGACTTTGATTTGCAAACTTAATTTTATTGTCTTTGTCATAAAGTCGACTTTGCCTTGTTTTCATTGATTCCGTTTTACCCTCAATTGTTTTGGTTGTGATATGTCGGAAGAAACCCTTTATTTCGTTACGTAATAACCAATGACAAAGCGAATTTATGAACTAAAGTTTTGAATCTTTAATGTTGTAATTTAAATATTTATTGCAATATCCGTATGTTTTATAATACTCTGTGCAAATCATTTTTTTCTGTAACCATCAATTTTTTTTTTAAATCGAGATATAACTCATAGATTATAGGACTTATCTTTTTTATTGGTACTACCTTTTTTTTAAGACAAGGGCAAAAATATCCCCTACAGATACAAGAGGAATACAAACAATTGAATAATGGTAATGAGTTTAGAAAACTCTAAGGCTTTATTAATCAAATAATAATTTATGTTAATGTAATTTGGTGCGTCAAACATCTGTTTAATTTGTATACAGATAAAAGATATCCAATAACAGCAAAACAAGGAAGTATTCAAATTGTAAATAGATATGTAATCTGTATATATAAGTATATTTGTAATTTGGTTGATTTTTATATAGATTTGTTACATTTTCTTAATTACCACCAAATTAACTACAGTAGAACCTTGATAACTCAAACCTTGGTAACTTAAAATAATATGTTCCCTTCCTATCAAAGCCCAAGACCTCTATAACATAGACTCTTGATAACTTAAAACCTATATAACTTAAAACCTATATAACTTAAAATATTCTGTGTTTCCCTTGGACTTTAACTTATTGAGGTTCTATTGTATTTTATAAATATACATCGAGATAGTAATATTGTTACCTATTTTCCAATGTTTATGTAAGTGATGTAAGTAATGATAAGTTTTAAAATATGTTACTCCAATGTGGGTAGTAGTTAAAAGTTTAACATATCTTACTAATGCTAGAAATGGGAAAGTTTAGATGGATGTTTGTTAGAAGGTATCTATCTCCAGATGGGTTCAATGAATTGTAATAAAAGTCATATGTTGAATATAGTCTGGAAGAACACATAGGCTGTTTTATAGGTTACTTTTTTTTTAATCCTGTGTGGATGGAGTTGCTGGCAGTTGTCAGTTATATTGGGTAAAATATAAATACAATTTGAACACATTAACAATATTATTTACTAGCTGTTTCCGTGTGAATTCATCCGCATGAAATTATAAAAACTTTATTTTGTTATATTTGGCAAATTATCAATAGCAAATGTCAAAATGACATGACAAACCTTAGCAATCTTTCTTTCTTGATGTTGGCAGCAACTTATGGTCTCTTTCCCACCTTAGGGTTTTTATCCAAAAAATACCCCTTAAGTTTAATGGCGTGAAAATATTTAGCTTAAAGCATGACGTAAGTGTAGGGCTTTTTATTAAAAAAGGAATTATTCAAAAATATGGTGTAATTGCTGACATCTTAAGCAACAAAGAAGTGTGTGTTTACGCTTTATTATAATAGTATAGATAATAGTATGGGAGATAAAAGCATCTTGTCTACATAAAATACAAAAATGTAAACATTTATATCTTGGGTAATTTACCCAAGATATAAATGTTTATGGAAAATTGAATTGCAATAATGTAGGTAAAGTCCCTCGACTGAATGTTAAGTAGTCTTGCTCTTGGGGAAGTACTATGAATGTAATAAATAAAAACTATCAAAACCAGTTGTTCCTTTCCTTTAAAATATTATTATATTACATTACAACAGTGGTAGTGCCCGCTTTAACATCTTAGCACTGCAGGGCCAGCACGCCCGGTGTAATACCACGACCACACAGAAGACAGGCGTGAAATGGAATCAATTCCGTGTTTCGTCTGATGAGTGTGGTGCCGGAGGCCTAATTTAAGTTCCTTTCCCTTTACCACCCTTTTCTTATAAGGAGAGGATGGGAAGGGGAAGTGGATTTGACAGTGGAGGAGATGCATAGGAAGGGGAAATATCCTCTTTATATGCGTCTCCTCCTCCGTCGTATAAGGGTAGGCAACGCATCTGCAATTGCGGATGTCTATGGGCAGCGGTCGCTTCGCCATTTTGGCGGATTCAGGTGGCCGCTTGCTCGTTTGCCACCTTATGTTATAAAAAAAAAAAAACATTGTTTGATATGTATACAATACTAGCTGTTCCCGTGCGGCTTCATCCGCATAAATATATGAAAAGTTTATGTTATTGTTTACATTTGTCAAATTATCAATTGCAAATGTCAAAATGACATGACATGATGACTAACAATGGCACAATCTTACTACCTTGATGTTGGCAGCTTGTAGCTTATGGTCCCTTTCCCACATTTAGGTTTTAATCCAATTTGTTTACCACCTAAGTTAATAAGCGAAAAAATATATAGTCTAAAGCGTGACGTAAGTGCTTTTTATTAAAAAAAGAATTATTCAAAAATATGCTGTAATTGCTGACATCTTAGGCAACAAAGTAGTGTGTGTTTACGCTTATATCATTATAGTATAGATTTTTCTATGATGTAGATGCCGCAAGGAAACAGCTAGTTACGAAATAAGGTACTAATTTTAACCTTAAAATGTCTAAATCATATCATTTTGATATTCAACAACATAGAAACAGTTAAAGAAAGAAGATAAAAAATACGTGTCATTTTATCGTCCACTTGAGACTTCAGGTTACAGATAAAAAAGATGTATATTGAGTAATATTTTTCTCTGGTAGACAAGACAAAGGATTGAAATCTATACAGCCATAAAGTACTTGTTTGGAACATGTAAAATATTGTAAATTATTATTGAGATTTTGTCAATAAAATAGGAAAATAGTAATATTAATCATCTCGCTTGCAAAACAAAGGAGGTAGGAATTATAGATTTGAGTAGCAACAATCTAGGTATATCTATCTCGCTTTTCGCACATATTTCTCTTTCTGACACGAACTAAAAGTGTCGATTTTAACAAGTATATGTAATTAGAACAATAGATTAAAAATTGAACAATGAATCGGCGCGATATTGCGTCGTTGTTGGCGGCCATTTTGTTTTGCACATTGACCCTTGGCAGTGCAAGTAAACATCATACATTTTAATCAATGCTATGTCGACGTTTTGGCATCAGTAAATAATTACATTTTAACGATTACTAAAATACAGTTTGTATTCGTAGAAATCTAAAAAACAAGCATTAAAATAAGACAGATTAAAAATATTCAGATTCCTTCGTCAATTTTTTTCTAAATTTCGACTGCCAGTTTCTTTTTAATTCCGAGAGTTTGAAACGAAAGAACTCTTTTACGTTTTAACATTCCATAGACAGGTTTTTGAAGATTGGAGAGTTTTTTTAAGGTTATTTTGTAGTGGTATAATTATTTTATGCCAGGAGTAATAAGAAATATACATTTACTGCCACACTCAGAATTGTAAGATCACTAAGTACTACCCTTAATGTTAAATCTAATAAAAAACTGTTTATACCATTAAACGAATATGTTGAGTTTAACGCAGGTTTTAAAGCCTTAAACCGTACAAACGAAAAAAATTTCAAATAGACTCTAAATAGGTTTTATATATCCTTTTTTATTTTTTTTTTATTTCGACAGGCAATGTGAACCCTGTGAACATTCCAAAGGGATGGATAACAATGCAGCAGAGCTGTCGAGGCAGCATGCGTCGTCAGATACAGACTGAAGTTGGCGCGTCGCTGCAATATCTGGCTATGGGTGCTCACTTCTCTAGGGATGGGGTGAGTAACGTTATTTTGACAGTGGTAGAGCCCGCTTTAACATCTTCGCACGGGCCGGCTCGCCCCCACTTATACTACGACCACACAGAAAACAGGCGTGAAGTGGAAGCACTTTCGCGTACAGTCTGATGAGTGTGGTGCCGGACTAATTTTAGTCCCTTACCCTTTCCACCTATTTCTTAACAGGAAAGGATGGGAAGGTAAAGTGGATTTGACGGTGGAGGAGACTCAGTCGTCGTACGTCGTGTATATTATGCATTTAAAAATCGAAAATCACATTGGTACGAAATTCGAACACAAGATCTGTAGATTACAAGTCAAATGTTTAAACTCCTGAGGCACTGACGCTCTGGCTGATTGGTGATAACATTTTTTAAAATCAATAGTTTCGTTATAAATGGAAGTAATCAAATCTTTCCCCTTTATTGCTTACGACTTTGTCCACTTCCAATAAATTGTAAAAAACATAGCATATGTTACGAAGTGATAACGTAGCTATTTATTGGTGAAAGAAATTTTTAAATTAGCGTAGTAGTTTTTGATTACTACAATAGCAAAATACAAATCTTTTTATTTATAACTAGCTGTTCCCGTGCGCCTTTATCAGTATTAAATTATGAAAATTTTATTTTATAGTTTACATTTGTCGAATTATCAATTGCAATTGTCAAAATGACATGACATGATGTCAAACCATGGCAACCTTCCTTCCTTGATGTTGGCAGTAACTTATGGTCTCTTTCCCACATTAGGGTTTTATCCAAAATATTAGCCCCCTAAGTTAATGGCGTTAAAATATATACCCTATAGCATGACGCAAGTGTAGGGCTCTTTATTAAAAAAAAAAATTCAAAAATATGGTGTAATTGCTGACATCTTAGGCAACAAAGAAGTGTGTGTTTACGCTTTATTATAATAGTATAGGTATGACGTTATTGTTTTTACAGGTAAATAGGCCAGGTTTTGCAAAGCTGTTCTTTGACGCTGCATCCGAGGAGAGGGAGCATGCGATGAAATTGATTGATTATTTGCTAATGAGGGGTGAACTGGATACTGACGTCACCTCGCTTATACAAATCAGGGTGAGTATTTTTAAATACATTTACTATTGGACTAAGATTTCTGACAATGTTTTATTTCAATACTGTTAAGAACAAAATTAGTACCGTGCAGAATTGGAGCAACTCTAGATAATCGGCATAAGTCACGTCCCTAGCTGACAGCTGTCAATGTCACTAGAAGGATGGATTTTGGCGCGCAACCTGAGTCCTGACGAGAAGTGTTGCTCTGAGTTTAAAGCGACAGTATTAATTAAATCAGTTGTCTAATAATAAGAGCGGGCGCACTTTTGAATTAACTATCGCACATCGATTGTTTCGCAATTCAACTGTTTAGTTGCACAACTAAATATCGAGTTGTGTGCGTCCCATATGACCTAATAGTGATAGCGAGACAAAACAGTTGTGCGATTTTTGTTTTATGAATATTTGTAACAGTGGTAGTGCCCGCTTTAACATCTTAGCACTGCAGGGCTCGCCCCCAGTAATACCACGACCACACAAGACAGCCGTCAAATGGAAGCAATTCCGTGTACAGTCTGATGAGTGTGGTGCCGGAAGCCTAATTTAAATCCCTTTCTCTTTACCACTCTTTTCTTATAAGGAGAGGATGGGAAGGGGAAGTGGATTTGAAGGAGGAGGAGATGCATAGGAAGCTGAAATATCCTCTTTATGTGCTTCTCCTCCTCTGTCGAATAACGGTATGCAACGCATCTGCAATTGCGGATGTCTATGGGCAGCGGTCGCTTCGCCATTTTGGCGGATTCAGGTGGCCGCTTGCTCGTTTGCCACCTTATGTTATAAAAAAAAATGTATTTCCCTTAGGCTCCTGAACGTAAATCCTGGGAGAGTGGTGTGGATGCTCTGGAGCACGCTCTGAAGATGGAGACGGAGGTCACCAAGAGCATTCGTTCCGTCATCATCGCCTGCGAATCTGATCCCAAGTTCAACGACTATCATGTAAGTGACGACCATAGACAATATTGGTTTTTAAACCATAGATTTTTTTATAGTAAGTAGGTAAACAAAACCGTATGGTTGAAGTTTATCTTGTCAATGTGAGTTCGAATCCCGCGATGTGGTTATTGTCTTGAATTTAAAATTTTAAGAAGTAAAGTTAATTAATAAAAAGATATATTAGCTGTCTCCCAACTCTGTCCGTGTCTATTTAACAAAAAAAGCACTATATCTTCTTCCAGACTATTCTGTAATTGACAAATTTAATCGATGTCCGCTTTTCTGGAGATATTTAGTAATAAATATCCATCCATATACACTTTCGCATTTACAATATTAGTAACATAAGATTAATGGCCGGTTTCCCAAATACTTAACTATTCGATAACATCATGAAATGTGTTTCCTAATTACAAAATTTGGTTGAACCTTCGTCAACTAAATACTAATGAATCTCTAGGTTATGATAAAATTAACGGAAATTTCAGAAACCCAGCATAAGCTTTAATATTAAAATACGCACGAATGGGCCGGCTCGCCCGGTGTAATACCACGACCACACAGAAGACAGCCGTGAAGTGGAAGCAATTCCGGGTACAGTCTGATGAGTGGGTTGCCGGAGTCTTAATTTTAGTCCCTTTCCTTTTCCACCCTTTTCTTAAGAGGAAAGGATGAGAAGCAAAAGTGTATCTGTCGGTTGAGGAGACGCATAGAAAGGGGAAATGTCCTCTTTATGTGCGTCTCCTCCGTCAATGAAGGGTAGGCAACGCTGTAATTACGGATGTTTATGAGCAGCGGTCGCTTTCCATTTCGGTGGATTCAGGGGGCCGGTTGCGAGTTTGCCATCTTATATTATAATAAAAAAACATTATTTTCTCACACAGCTTGTGGATTATCTGACTGGTGAATTCTTGGAGGAACAATACAAGGGCCAGAGAGACCTCGCGGGCAAAGCGTCCACCCTCAAGAAGATGCTGGACCGTCACTCCTCACTCGGAGAGTTCCTTTTCGATAAGAAACTCCTTGGAATGGACATTTAAAAACATACAAATTAAATTCATTAAAATTGTCTGATTTTTATTCTAGCAACACCAATTTGTTATTAAAACTCAATATCTCTAGTACCTTTGTCTTAATATTAAAAAAAAACATAGATTTCCAAATTCAATTAATAGATTTTAAACGCATTTAGACATTGTACAAAAAAAAAAACAATTAGATAATAAGTAGTATTTTCTCCACTATTATGTGATAAAATAATAATTATAAAAGGTAGCCATTTTTTTCAACTTGTCAATTTTGGCGCGTCTTTTTGTCAAAGACGCTTGATATTTATTGTTATAAATTACCCAAACTTTTGTAGTCGGATTGAGTTTTTGTTTATTTTTTTCTTATAATAAATTTTAATCATCTAAAATGTGGTTTTATTTTCAACATAATAAAAAAAACTAACCTATTTTACTTGTGCCAATATCTTCGTAAACAGAGATTTTATTGAAAATTTGTCGATTTGTACGTTAGCCCTATTTGAGTCTATACTAACATTATAAAGAGAAAAGATTTATGTTTGTTTATGTATTGAAATAACTCAAAAACTATTGGACCGATTTTAAAAATTCTTGCTCCAAAAAGCAATGCTAAGGCTGAGTAATACAGAATTTTTTTTCAATTCTACGGGAACGAACTCGCGAGATTCAGCTAGTTTTTATAAAAAAAGCAAGCAAACGAGCAGCGGATCGCTGATATTCGACGCCCATGATCGTCTGCAACGCCAAGGAAACTGTAGATGCTGGCGGCCTTTAACGGAGGAGAACGCTCTTTTCTTAAAAAAAGAACAAGTATTTAAGATATAACCATTTATTGTATCCAAATTATGTTACAGAAAACCTTAATCTTCAAATAAATCTTTAATGGCTTTTCTGTCAAATTTTACACCAGCAACTTTGGGTAGGTGATCAACAAATCTTATACCTCCTTCCAAACTGATGGATGTTAACTGGAAAAAAAGGAAAACAGTATATTTATTCAAATAGAATTGTATAATGCTTATAATATAATATATAAAATACTAGATGTTCCCATGCGACTTCATCCGCATAAAATTATATAAATTATATCTTATTTTTCACATTTGTCAAATTATTAATTGCAAATGTCAAAATGACATGACATGATGTCAAACCATGGCAACCTTGCTTAATGTTGGCAACAACTTATGGTCTCTTTCCCACATTAGGGTTTTTATCCAAAATATTTACCTCCTAAGTTTAATGGCGTGAAAATATATAGCCTAAAGCGTGATGTAAGTGTTGGGCTTTTAATTAAAAAAAATATTCAAAAATATGGCGCAATTTCCAACATCTTAGGCAACAAAGAGGTGTGTGTATAATAGTATAGAAGTATATATAATGAAGCGTAAACACACACTACTTTGTGGCGTATGTCAGTAATCACAACATAATTTTGAATTCTTTAATAAAAAGCCCTACACTTACGATACGCTTTAGGCTATATATTGTTACGCCATTAAACTTAGGGGGTAAATATTTTGGATAAAAACCCTAATGTGGGAAAGGGATCATAAACTACAAACTGCCAACATTAAAGAAACAAGGTTATTATAGTAACGGTAACTTTGACAAATGTAAACAACAAAACAATGTTTTTATAATTTCACGCGAATGAACCCGGGAACAGCTAGTACTATTATAAACAGTGCGGTCGTTAGGGAGCTGGACAGAAAGAGGCGCAATTTTTAAGACTCAGGGCCTGTCCCACCAAATAGTAACTTATCTGACAGTGACGTCATTTTTAAGCTATCTAGCCCCTATCAGCCGGTGGTGGGACAGGCCCTTGACCTTCACCTAAAGCTTGTAAAAAGGGGGGACGCCAATATCGCCTAGAGCATTAGTAGCGCCAAAACTCTACATGGAAAACATACTTGTTCAGCCACAAACGTCATAAGATCTTCTTCAGTGACGTCATCCGCTACCACAGCCGCGGCGGGAACTTCCCCGTGTGTATGGTCGATTGCTACTACACAAGCTTCTTTAACTCCTGGATACTGCAGGAGTACTGCTTCTATCTCACTTGGAGACACCTGGATGGTATATAATGACAGGTGTAGAATAAGGGCCTGTCCCACCAAATTATATATTGTCTAACAATCCAACGTGTTAAATATGTGATTGAAATATCGGATTTTGTTCCCTTATCTGACAGTGACGTTATTTTTAAGCTATCTGAGGCTCTATCAGCTGGTGGTGGGGCTCTTAGTATTAAGAGTAAATACTTTTGACATTGTTTAGTCTGTGTTATTACCGTGGCTCCTTTGTATTTGATGATGTCTTTTATTCTATGCGTAACGTAGATGTAACGATCTTCATCGTAGTAGCCGATATCGCCGGATTTAAAGAAACCTTCTTCGTCTAAATAATCAAGAGACATGTCCCCTAAATAACCTGTTTAAAATATTATACCGTTAATTCTAATAATTGAAATGTTCGTATAAAAATTGTTCATTCAGTCAAAGACAATAAAATGGTTTTTATTTTACCCGACTGAAGGCATAGTCAAAACGATTGTATCGATTTTGACGAGTGAAGTGAAATGACGAACTACATAGAAATTCTAAAAAAAATATAGTGATAAACCGGATTCAAATATCACTCGCAACTTTTTTTTTAAATCCCTTTTGAGTTTATCTGTTTAAAAAATAAAAATCTATCCATTTCGTAGTATTCGGATAAATTAAAATTTTAACGGTCTTATTTGAAAACTAAAGTTACTAATGTACAATATTCACCTGGCATCAGAGATGGTGTTTTGAAGCATATTTCACCTCGCTCGTTTGGTCCTAGAGCTTCTCTGGTATTAAGATCTACTATCTGGAAAGATTAAAACATTTTCGACATTCTCCACGTCCTGCTCATAATCTTTGAAAAGACTGAGATAAGAATATAATGTTGTACAGATATTAAGCAGTGACCGATGGAATTTTCGGTTTTAGTTTCGGAACAGTTCCGCGTTAGTTTCGGTTTCGGCAAAACTGAAGTATTATTATAGTCTTGTCACGGGTCTATTATAATCGAAAATCCATTTTTTTTACATTGTTTACGAAAAACATAATAAAATAATAGTGGAACATAAATAATCTTTTGATCGTAATATTAATTGTGTTTACGGAAGTTCGGTTCAGGTTCTGGTTTCGGTTTTGGCTGATAAACCAGTTTCGGTCGGACAATAGTCATAAGTAGAACATATAACTACGAAACCTTACCTTGAAAACAACACCCGGGTTTACACAACCAACACTCCCCGGTTTTGAACCATCTGGAGATCTTAAATCATCGCACAAACAACCAGCTTCTGTCATACCGTACATTTGAGAGACTTGTTTGAGGTTAGGAAACCTATGAAAAAAAAAATTGTATTAGAGACCCGGCTTTGTACGAGTCCAATCTCTCTCTCTCTCTTCTGTTCCTGTGTTCCCAAAGTTGGGCAGAGGGCGTCCACAGTACGCCGCCAGCTCGCTCTATGCTGGGCTCAGCGTTTGGTCTCGGACCATAACAGCCCGATTGCCTTCAAGTCGGCCGCCACTGAACTCCGTCAGGTTTTGTTTGTTTGTTTTACGAGTCCAATGCTGATACGAAAATATTTCTATTCACATCACATTAGAAACCTTAAAACTTACTTCAATTTTGCAGTTTTTACTAAATCAGCGTCGATTGGAGTGCTCGTTGACATCATACAAAGTAATGAAGATACGTCATAATTTTGTAGGTTAGAATTGACGAGATCTCTTATTGTGGTAGGCACTACTTGTATAATGCTAACCTGAAATAGCGTAATTATTTACGTTAATTACAGAAAAGATGGCATTCAAAGTCATCCTGCTATATTGTTAAGATAAAAATCGATATCGATAATACATAGCGGCACAAAACTAGATCGTAGAAGGTTGACATACACGTCTCTATGACAGCTATAGGGTAAAAGCGCGCCATTCCTTTAGAGCGCTATACCTTTGACTAAACTATCGCACAACTTTTGAGTCTCGCTTTGATTCCTATGAGCTTGTATGGAGGTACACTACTCGATTGTTAGTTGTGCAACTAAACAGTTGAAGGCTGCGAAACAATCGACAATCGCACAACATTTCTGCGATAGTTTAGACAAAGGTGGCATTGTTAAAATAATATTTTTGTCTAAAAATTCTGACCTTGTAATCCTGGATTGCTTGTAAATAATCAATGATTTGGTCCCTCGTGAATACCACAGTAGCACCGACGAGTAACGTCCCGATTGTATGATTCAGACCGTAAGTATAATACCATTCTCGAGTACTCAGCATTTTGGTATTTGTAAATTGACTGTGGAACAGCACTAGTTATTAAAAAACGCATCTGATTGTACCCTTATTATCTATGGTACGCGTAGCAATGAAAAATTTAAAAACAATTAAAATATGAATAAAAATCAAATGCAACTTTATAGTTTACAATAAATTGTAGTTGATGAATGCTGTTTTCCTATTATTTAAGGCATTTTTGGTATAACTACCATCCACTTGCTCTTATCCCTTATAGAGGGTAGGCACAGTATGTGCTGCTCTTCCATACATCTATCCATACTTTCTTCGGTCTTCCTCTTCCTTTGTAGCCATCCACATTCATTCTTAACACTTTCTGGTTTATGTCCCCATCTCGTCGCATAACATGTCCATACCACGCTAACCATTTGCTTCTCAATTTCTCCACCACTGGCGCTACTTTCAAACTTCCTCTAATGTACACATTCTTAACTTTATCCATTCTTGTCACACCACACATCCATCTTAACATACGCATCTCAGCCACATCCTTTCATCCGCAACTTTGGTGGCCCAACATTCAGATCCATACAATACGACATGTCTTATGATGGACTTGTAGATCTGTCCCTTAATTTTTGGTGTAGTAGTTGGAGAAGGTTATTCTAAAAATACTTTTTCTTTATGGGCAATACAGGGTTATGAGAAATTTCTACTTAATAGAGCCCCCTCGGTGGTGAAGTATGTCTTGGAGGTTCCCGGGATCTCCAATAGATCTCATTAACACCATCTTGTGTGTAACTCAAGGCACCGTAAAGAATCATTAGTTCCAAAGGAACGTGTACAAAAACATTCTTATCTCTGTTATTAACAGATATAACAGATGACTATGTTTTTGTACTGTTTTTGCAATGAAAATCATATTAACCATACTAATATTATAAATGCGAAAGATTAGATGGATGGATGGATGTTTAAGAGTTTGTAGCCTAAACTGCTGAACGGATTACGATGAAATTTGGTATCGATCTACAAGATAACATAAGCTATATTTTTGATTTTTTTAATTCGACGCGGACGGAGTCGCGGGGGAAACCTAGTACTATATAACGGTACTAATCACCTGTTACGAAGTCCATGTTGATGGCACAGAAGGTAATTAAGATGTGTAAGAGGTACAGCCTTCGGTTGTCCTGTAGTTCCGGATGAATATAACACTAATGCGACATCACGCCAACCGTTAACTGGTGTAGGAGAGAAATCTAAAAAAAAAAGCACTACTAAAGATGTGACGTTTGCTGACCTTAGATCGTTATTTGAAATAGATTATCTCTTTTTGGTTCTTAATAAAATCGTATCTGTTTTCTCTTTCATGTAACATTATGCGTCCTTGAAAATTGACATATCACGTTCAATAAAGTTTAGAAATACCTTCAATAGGAGCATGCTCCGATAAAAAGTTCTTGAAGAGTATAACTCCATCCGCAGATATGTCTCCATAGACAATAATTTTCTCCAGTGTTGCCACAGACTTTAAAGTTTCCTTGTGTATTTTATAAGTAGCAGTCGAACAAAACATTATTCTAGGTCTTGTCATATTTATACGATAGAGTATTGTAGCTGGAAGAATTATTTTATAGTGCAGCGTATTTTTTTTATTAGAAAATGTAAAGATTTATTTCTCTTACCGTTCCTACAACTAATATCGGCTGTCGTGAACGTTGCACCAACGCACAAAACTCCTATCATTGTAGGTATAAACTCCATTCGTTTTTCAGAACAAATGCATATCACATCTCCTTTTCTCACTCCTATGCGAGAGAGAGACAGCGCTATGTCAACCGACAACTGCGCCAACTCACCGTAAGACATTTTAGCGCCAGTAAATGCATCTAACTACAGTAAAAAATAAAAATCTAAATATAAATTGAATACTAACAATATTACGTGACACTCAGACGATGGACGCGAATCGAATGACACCTCATTTATCGAAATTGGTCCAGTAGTTAAGGCTTTAGGCCGTCATAATAGAATTTACATACAAACATAATTCCACTAACTGCTCCACTGAGCCCATACAGTCCATGCTAGGCCTACTGTGCAACTGTACTGATCAAATGAAAACCAGACAAACTGTAATCGAGAAAAACTTACCAAGGCAATCGCATCTCTATACAATTTACACTTCTCCAACATTAAGGTACCGAAATGAAGATGAGAGGGCACCAACACTGAATCCGAACCGTACACATATTTTTTATTTCGTAGCATTATAATTCCGAGAATTTTATATATTTGTAACAAGAACTGCCAACTTTTATAATCTATTACCTAATAATTCCACAGACAAAATGAACTGTCAAACGTAAAAATGGCGCTGTTTTATGCGTACTTAAATATTAACTGAACCGTCTTGTATGTATTTTAATATCGTAAAATAAATCAACAAAACAATAACTCTTTCACTTAACAGCTGTTTACATATTATTAATAGGCTGTTCTAGAAAATATGCTTTGTTATACAGGTGTTAAAACTACAAAAAAACGTAAATTCTAATGTCTATTTTGAATGGAAAAAATACATAACCTATAAATACCTAATCAAGCTCAAAAATGAGGCAAAAAAACTCCAGAAGGCTTATGTTGGGGCTGTTCAGTGTCATTTACAACACAAAACATTTGTTAAACGGACTATAAGAGCGGGCGCACACCTTTGTTTAAATAAATCGCACAACAGTTATGCGATTGTCGATTGTTTCACACCCAATTGACTTTTTAGTTGTACAAGTAAACGCTAGGTGCGATAGTTTAGTCAAAGTAGTGTCTAGTCCTTAGACGTCACACTGGTACGACACACTCTATACATTATATATCTACTAGCTGTTCCAATGCGACTTCATCCGCATGAAATTATGAAATTTTTGTTTTATTGTTTACATCTATCAAATTAGCAATTATAAATGTCAAAATGACATGACACGATGACAACTTTGCTTCCTTGATGTTGGCAGCAACTTATGGTCTCTTTCCTACATTAGGGTTTTTATCCAAAATATTTACCCCATTAGTTCAATGGCGTTAAAATATATAGCTTAAAGCGTGACATAAGTGTAGGGCTTTTTACTAAAGAAAGAATTATTCAAAAATATCCTGTTAATGCTGACATCTTAGGCAACAAAGTAGTGTGTGTTTACGCTTTATTATAATATAATAGTATAGATAATTGAAGGCATGAATTTCACCTCACGCTGTATAATTCTCTTATTTATATTTAAACAGTTGTTTTGAAATATTGTTATTTGTAATTGGTTTAGTAAATAAACGATGTCATTGCCCTTGGTTTAAAAAAGCAAATTAAATCCTATTTCCACTGTGCATAGCTTTGAAAAACATTTTTTAAATCGTACTAAAAGCCCTTAAAGGTATTTTTATTGTTTAAGATATAAAAATAATATTTGAATAACATAACTTTTATTTAATATTTAAAATACAATATATTTAAATAAAAATAATTTTATAATATTTGCATTATTATTAACAATACAATACTATTTGTACAATTTTTTTCATTAGTGTAACATTCCAATACTGAAACACGTGTACAAATGACATCCCTTTCTTTATCTATGACGAAAAGAGGATCAACGAAATGCAGACAAGGAATAAATTTCCCTACCCACACCCACATGAAAAGACTGTCACCTTAATTATCTGACAAGTTACCTGACAATGGACAAAAATTCAACTACATTTTGATAGTTCTTTTTCTTATACGAAAGGGAGAGTAGAGAGAGAGTAGCCCCCGTAGTAGAGAAGGTAAGGAGTAAAAGGTTAGCATGGTATGGGCATGTTATGAGGAGGGATGAATCGCATGTTACAAGGAGAACGTTAGTTATGAGTGTGGAGGTACATCGGTAGAGGTAGACCTAGAAAGAGATGGATGGATTGAAAAGGTGACATGATCAAAAAGGGAGTGATGGCTGAGATGACGTATGATGACGAGTTATGTGGAGGACAAAAAGCCGACCCTACGGGAGTAGAATAAGGAGATGATGATGATGATGATGAAGGGAACGTAGATTTTACGGCGCATAGGAAGGGATATCCTCTTTATGTGTGTATCCTTTGTCGATTGTAGGCAACGTATCCGTTATTACGAATTATTATGGTCAGTTTCTTCGCCATTTTGGCGGATTCAGGTGACCGATTGCTCGTTTGTCACCTTATTATTTAAAAAGGCACACTAGCGCCCTCCTATTATGACACTTTCTAACCTCAAAATTTTTAAGGATAGCGCGGTATGAGCATATGCGGCGAGAGGATAATGTAAACAGGAAAATGTTAAGATCGATGGCTACAAAGGAAGACCGAAGAAAGTATGGATTGCGTAAAAGAGGATATGCTTAAGGGAAGTTCAGATATGACGGTTGATAGAGATGTATGGAACAGCACATACTGTGCCGACCCTCCGTATACAAGGGCAAGTTGAAGATGATGAGTGAGGTGTCATAATTTGGTATGATTTACGACTACCAGGTCAAATAAGTTAATCCGTCTACAACTTTATTGTGTTAGATAACGTCATCTTGGGTAAGGTAGTAAGTAGGTTGGTGGGTAGGGAATAAATTTTCCTCGACTGTAACTTTTTTTCTTTATAAAAAATTACAATTGTCTATAAATAAAGTTTATATTTCTTTAGAAAAAACATACTTTTGAGACTAAAATTTCAATTTTAAATAGACTAAGGGCCTGTCCCACCAAACTGTAAATGTCTGATAACAATCCAACATGTAAAATATATGGAAATATCGGATTTTGTTCCCTTATCTGACAGTGACGTCATTTAAGCTATCTGAGACTCTATCAGCCAGTGGTGGGACAGGCCTTTAGAAAATAAATATTAGACCGTATCTGACATATGACAAATAAATTTACTTAATTACAATTAGTAAAATAAAATAAGCATAATTTCAAATATACAAAGTAAATATGGCCTTATCTAAAAATAAAAATAATTTATGATATTTGCACACAAATCCCGTAAAAAAAAATACTCGACATAATATTACAATCGATATTCGAAATCACATAAATAGACGTCAACAACATTTGGATTAAAGTGAACATATCAAAGAGATTCAGATATATAGAGGAGGCATAGTTGAAACTTTTAAGTAAAGGGTGGAGAAGACAAAGGGACTTAAAATAGGCCTCCGGCACCACTCATCTGACGAAACACGAAATTGCTACCATTTGACGCCTGTTTTCTGTGTGGTCATGGTATTACTGGGGGCGAGCCCTGCAGTGCTAACATTTTAAAGCGGGCACTACCACTGTAAAGTACCGGTGAGAAATATTTACTGCCTCATCTATCATTTAAACATCTTTGGAACACATATTATTTTTAAAATAAGCTGGAAGAATTTTATATCTTTTGTGCATCATCCAATTTCATTCAAAATCATTAAACAGTTAGTAAATTATATAAATTATAACACGGCTAAACTCACGTGATAACATTCGGTGTAGGCACCGACAGTTTCGACAGTTGGGGGTCCTTCTTCAGGGTGAGTGATTAATCGGGTATACTCGCTATCACGTCGCGACGGTCACTGTGTGCCCTCGGCCTTCGCCCGCATCACGCGTTTCGACAGTGCGGGGGGCGCGGGGGGTGCGGTGGGCGCAGGGGGTGCGGGGGGCGCAGGGGGTGCGGGGGGCGCAGGGGGTACCCTATTCACTATGTCCGTCGGCGAAGACGAGCTCGAAACTGACGTGGTGATTAAGTTATTAAGAGTTTAGCCGTGTTATAATTTATTATAGTATAATGTCTCACGAAAGTTTTAATAAGTTAGTAAATTATTTATTTATGTATTCAAATTAGTTGGAGCTTCTATTCTACATATAACAACAGCACGATTTGTACATAACGAGTCATCCATTCTTACATCCCCATCTACTTTCCTATCATGTACTTTCAAATGCCCCTTTAATGTACATTTCTGTGTAAAAGCCCGTCCACATACAGGACAGATAAATCTTTTATCATTATTATGTATTCTCATATGTTCTCTCAATGTTTTCAACCTCTGATATGATTTTTGACATATATGACACACATGAATCCGTTCACCATCGTGTTTTATCATATGCATTTTTAACGCATTCTTTGTGTAAAAAGCCAAATCACATTTGTCGCATTTGTGATTCCTTTCGTTCAAATGGTCCCTTCTTACATGACTCGATAAGTGTCCAGGTGTTATATAACTTTGAGTACATGCTTTACACTTATATCTTTTTAATTCCTCATTATGTACTTCAGCTAAATGTTTCTGTCTCGTATAAAATGATGACAAAGATATATTACAACGTTTGCATGCATATCTTAAACCCGATTTATGTTCTTTTGATACGTGATTTTCTCTTTTTGTTACTCTATCGAAAACTGCATCGCAGTATCTACAAGGGAAATCACCGTATTCATGTGTCCTCATATGACCGCGTAATCTAGCTTGGGATGCAAAACTTTTTCCACAATTCTCGCAAATATGATTCGGGTAATGAACATTCATATGTGTGTTTAAGTTGACGAAATTTAGAAATCTCTTTTTACATATCGGACAGTCAAGTTGATCTTTTTCCAACTTGAAAGGTAAGTTACTCCATTTGTTTATTTTTAATTTTGTACATAAATCTATATGCTGTCTTAACTCGTTATAATTTGATATATCAATTTTGCATAGCTTACATCGTAACTTATTATCATATTTATAAAATGTTTGCAACTTCGATGAGCGTATTTTCTCAAAAGCTATATGCAAATTGGATATCGAATGTTCCGACATATGTTCTTTTATGTCGTCTAAAATTGTCGATTTCTTAGGACATATAACGCAAGAGAACGTCCTATCTTTGTATATTTTGAATGGGAACAGTCCCGATTTCAGCATACCCTCAGTTTCTGTCGTGTCAGAGTTTTTTTTTAATGTATATGAAAGTTTTTTTTTATTTGCCAACGTTTTTCTTCTACGTTTAGGTACATAATCATCGGAATCTTCACCTTTTATTAACATATCAACATCTGAAATGTAATTAAGAGTTTATGTTACAATTATTTATATGCTTTCAAATGTCTCCGTCTGTGTGGAAAAAAAAGATTAAGGGCCTATCCTAACTAATTGTCAATATTACCATATTGTCAAAAATAACTAATCACTTCTTAAACGAAAAACTGATAATAAAGTCAATAGGGAATATGCATGTATTTATTTTCTTTTTTTAAACGATTTAACTTATAAAATAACCAGAAAAATAATTTGACGCGAAAATATTCAACCATTGAGCTAAAAATAACAAAATAAAATTACGATCATTTTCGAGCGACTACAACGCGACCGGAGTTGTCATGAGACAATTGACGTCAATTGTCTTATTCCATTCATAACATACGCTCGGATGTCACTTCGACGCAAAACACAACAAAGTATCTCAAGGTCAAAAAGTCAAAAATGGATTTATTTTTATTATTCCTGGTACAAATAAGTGGTAATTAATAATTCTATTCATTAATTATTTATTTTAAAGTTGGTTTTGATATCGTGTTTACAGTAAAATACTTCAAGAGTGTATTTCTATATAAACTAACGTAAATGAACTGTATTGTCAACACATAGTGTGCGTTTTAGAACTTAGCGAGGGAATTTGAAAAAAGACACTTTAATGATTAAATTTTGGCACTAAATCACATTATATTGTAAAAAAATCTTTGCAGGAATGTTTTTATAGTAATAAAGTATACTTAAAAAAAGTTTGGTACAATTTGGCGTCATATGCATATTGCCTATTAAAACAATGGCTAGGAATTTACATTCTTGGTTAGTCTATATTTATTATATTTACCTGTTTCATCATGCATCAGGTCTTGTAGTTCCTGCTTAACATCAAATACATCATCTAAAGAATCTGGAAGAAACAAAAAAGTCATTTGAAAGAAATACCAAATTTATCAGATATTTTTTTTAAATTCCTCCAGTCGCAGTTTCAATATGCCAAGATCAATTCAATGTTCATATTTTCAATGCAGGACTAATTTCATTACAATATCTTTTCCCAACATATTCTTAATGAAATTATGAGTTGGGAATAGTCTTGGGTAGTACACATACTATGTACTAAAAAGTAACGTTACCGAAACGGCTTCTGTTAATCGGAAATTTAGTACTTTTAGTACACTACACGATATCAGTGTTAACCTCGTGTTTGATTTCATTGTATATTTGCCAGATTAAAACATCCACCTTCGGTAATGAGAATCAAAAGTGGATAAAAACATTTAACATATGTTTGACCCTGCTTAAAATTTGACGTGAAGTAATCTATAACCCTCGTTATATTCTATTCATGGTATTGTTTTCTTACAAATCTGAAGTACTAAAGGTACTAAAAGTGTGTACTAGTATGTTTTCCCAATAGTACTAGTATGGTGCGCACTTGCAGATGTCCGATTAAGCCCAAAACTAGTTAGGAATTGACACAGGGGACACAAAAATATCCCGATATTGTCTATGGGTAGTAATCACTTTGCTAATTCAAATTCGAGCTGCTTGCTCTTTGCCGCCTTAAAAATTGTTGACTATGGCAATCAATTTAAAAAAAATATTGACACTCACCCACTTGATTATCAGAATCATTATCACAAGCTTCTTTAATAAGCTCTTCAAATGCTAGTTCCTCTTTTACACCCGGCAGTTTTTGCTCTGGAAATAAATTAAACAATTTCAATCTATACTATATACTATAACAAAGTGTAAACACATACTTCTTTGTTGCCTAAGAAGTCAGCAATTACAACATTTTTTAATAATTCTTTTTTTAATAAAAAGCGATACTTCTTATATTTTTTCACGCCATTAAACTTAGGGGGTAAATATTTTGGATAAAAACACTAATGTGGGAAAGAGACCATAAGTTGCTGCCAACGTCAAGGAAGCAATGTTGCGATGGTTTGTCATGTCATGTAAATTTTCTTATTCACTAATGTAGAGGACAATTCTAGTATTGATTGTAGTGTAAAGAATTTAGCGATGACAGAAATAATAGCGAAATACAATTCGACTATGTACGGCTGTAGTAGTAATAAACATTTATTTACTCTCATTATTTGTTATGGTCATTATTAATTTGAGAAAACAGTGTTTATTTTTTTTTATTTCATAAGTTATAACTATAAATCTATCGATTTTTATAAGAATAAAAATCGAAAATCGATAAGATTCATGACTGATTCTCCACAACCCATCCATACTAAATTTGAAATGAATTGTCAAACTAATCTAATTTATTTAGACACACTATAACACTAAGCTTAGATTTGAATGGATGTCAGAAATATAGTCATCTCTTTTGTTTGCATGGGAACATAGTCTAACAGCGCCCTGCAAGGGTTTAAGGTAATAATAACTACTGGTTACTGCTGGAGCTTCAATACAGAAAAATACTTCCTGCTACAAACTGAACATGTTAAACAAGAAAGCTTTAGTCAATCAGGCATTATTTTATCAAGATTAATTTACTTAATTAAAAAATGACTTCTTTTTTCGAACAATAGTGTTTATTTATTTATTTATAAAATACACAAATTGCATGTTCGAAATTCTCAACCAAATTAACTATATTAGAGACAAGGCAAAACAAAAAAGCAGAACACACAGATGACAGGTACACAGCACTTGCAAGAGATCTTTTTATAACAAATGTTGACTCAGATAACTACCACACACATATTACACACACACATACATTAACCAAAAGTTCTAACAGTGGTAGTGCTCGCTTTAACATGTTAGCACTGCAGGGCCGGCACGCCCCCAGTAATACCACGACCACACAGAAGACAGACGTGAAATGGAACCAAAGCCGTGTTTCGTCTGATGAGTGTGGTGCCCGAGGCCTAATTTAAGTCCCTTTCCTTTTACCACCCTTTTCCTGAGAGGATGGGAAGGGGAAGTGGATTTGACGATGTAGCAGATGCATAGGAAGAGGAAATATCCTCTTTATGTGTGTCTCCTCCTCCGTCGGATAAGGGTAGGCGACGCATCTGCAATTGCAGATGTCTATGGGCAGCGGTCGCATCGCCATTTTGGCGGATTCAGGTGGCCGCTTGCTCGTTTGCCATCTTATGTTATAAAAAAAAAACTGAAGACAAAACAAAAAAAGAAAATTTAAAGGGGTTTACTTACTTTGCAATGTTACATTTTCCAAAGACTTCAAGGAGTTCTCCACCTTTTCTCTAAACTTAACGAAATGCAGCAACTCATCAATACAGGAGAAGCAGATAAGTCTTTTTGTATCCTCCAGATCTACTGATAGTACCTGAAAATGAAACTCACCGTTACCAATAAAACTATGTGGGTAATTCACAGTAGAGTTACTTAGATCTTAGCCAGCTAATAACTTCATATTAACAACAAAGTTGGCAGCTTTTGACTCAATGTGATATGCTAATTGGATGCAAATCAAAACTATGCAGTTACAAATTGATCTTACTAATCTGCTTCTCATGTTATCGGTAAGCTCGTCTACATGTGAACAATCTAATTCGAAGTACTCGTAGCTATAGCTTACAAATTAATAAATCTACGCATATATGTCGATTTCGTGTAATAGTACTCTGGAGTATTCAAAGTGGATACGATAATTTAAACATACTTACATCGATACAGAAACTTTTTAACAGCATTTCGACGTATGTTTCTGATACGCCGTCATGTTCGTACTTTATTAGCATACTTTGTACAACTCCGTCGTGCAAACACAGGTTACAAATGCCCAGTAATGGTAGAGGCTCTACCATGATATCCGTACTATCATCCATATTGTTGTTTAGTTAATTAGAATAACACAATACTATATATCATAGTAAACTTGATGGAAATAAGAAAATTTTGCTTAAAAATAATAAAAACATCGACTTCTGAAATCTTATCTGTCAATGTCAAAATTATCATTTACAATAGGGATGCGCAACACATGTTATCGGTATCGATTTTGTTAAAATCGATTTTATAATAACTTAAAAATGAGTAATTTTTATTTGAACGTAGAATATGAAATGAGATTTGTATATTCTAAAATTACCTATAGTTTAGAAACCCATCTATGATCGACTTTATGCTGAGTCTTCAGTCTTCAGTCAAGTATTCAACCTAAATCTTCCTAAAATTGAAAAAATTATGAAAGTTAGATGGATGGACGTTTGTTAAAACGTATCTCGGATTATCGAATCTCGATTAAATTTGCCATAGATGTAGATACGTGTTAAGAACACATACGCAAAATCCCCTGCATATGTAAATAATAATATGGGTAAAATAAAACAAAAAACATTTAAATAATCTCAATTCTTTATATAATTAAACTTAATAAATTAAATCTTATAAATACGTACTTACAATAAGTTTTGCAGAGTATATAAAAATTAATACATTATGGTTTTAAAAGTATATTGTACTTCTAGATTACAATAAAACCGATCTATATAATATTGATAATACCAATCAAATCATTTTAAAAACATGAGTCTTTTTCGTATGAAAACAGAAACTTATAAACCGATTTTAAAAATTACTTTACTATTTAAAAGCTCTTCTATTATGGAGTAATGTAGCATGTTTTATTTTTATACATAAAGGAAGAGACTAGTTTTTAATAGAAATAAATTTAAATCTTGTATTTTTAGCCTCTTTATAAAGATAATAATTTTTAACAAGTCACCAATACTAATCTATACATATCGTATTTGCATTGTATGGAAATTCACATAACTCTAAAGGTAATATTGTACATCAAATATTTTAACATTTACTGTCACTTGACTATATTTACAAAATAATTGTGATGTTAAGTAGTATGAAATTTAATGTTAATGGCAGTTAGCACAACACTATTTTATCTGTTGGCAACACCAATAAACTATATACGTCAGGTGTCTTAGATCTGCTCAATTATTAAAGCTAAATTCAGGGTATTTTTAAACCGCCCCTTAACTATATTATTAATACAAGAGGAATGGCGCCCCCATATGTCCGACACTCTAGGCTGTTGCTATACCTCGTCCTATCCTAACTCCGATACTGTCTAAATTAACTGCCAACAATACATTTTTGTTTTATCTGGCAACATAGTGCCTACAATAGTCCACTCAGATCAATAAGCGCTCATTACTAGAGGAACACGCTGTGTATATTGGGTGCCTGCACCCATTTCCGTTCACAGAGGGCCCAAGACATGCTCGCATCAACCGGGAGCCGCCATAAAGTTGGAATCTAACAATACTTTATGCTAAAAATAGCAGCCTTCAATATCACACTCCGGATGATGACTTTTTATATGAGATTTCAGACTCGCATTCTGTATGAACGCTTGGCCACATATATGACATCTATATCTTCTGTCATTAGTATGTGTTCGTATATGATACTGCAAGGACTTTAATCTTGGATAACTCTTCTCACAGTATTCACAGCGGAAGTTCCTTTCACCGGTGTGTGTTGCCATATGCTCTTTCAATCTTGACGGCAAGTAGAACCTTTGATCACAATATTCACACTGATGTTTGAGCACTTTCTGATGATTTCTACGCTGATGTTCAGTTAAAGTCTTCTGTCTATTATATACTTTATCACACAAATTGCATGGATAAGTTCTTTTTTGCCCATGAGCCTCTGTTAAATGTTTATTCTTTAACGCATATGACATAAAACATTCATCACACCTCGGACACCGTATTATTGCCTTCTTTTTATGCACAATATCGACATGCATATCTTTATAATGGTTCGACTTGAACATTTTCCCGCACACTTCACATGTATGTCTTTCATCGTCTTTGTGACGTTTCAAATGTGCGTCTAAACGAGGTTTCTCTAGAAAACATACACCACAAATATCACAAGTATAATTACTGAAATGTTCAACCATATGAGTATTCAAAGAGTTAAAATCTTCAAATATATCACTACACATCACACAAACTAGATCGTTCCAAGTTAATTTGTATAATAACATTTTATCCGGCGCTTCGAAGTAGATTTTTTTCCCATGCACTTGGTCTATATGTTGTTTGAACATCCCTAAATCATCGATTTTCGCTGTACATAGTTTACAATCGATTCTTGTAATATCGATTTTCGGCATTTTTTTATACCCCATTAATAACTGGAATGGCTTCGTATCATGTGATACTGTGTGTTCACGTAAATCTTCTGGTTTCGGATAATAATCTTTGCAATAAAAGCAATAATAATTATTCCGTCTATTTTTGAACGGACAAACATAAGAGTACTGTATTATTGTTAGTAAATTCTCCTCCGACATACAATCTAGATCTCTATCGTAAGTATTTTTCTTTTCCACTGGTGGTTTCTTGTTTTTTGTTGATGGTTTCGAACTTGTACCTGAAAATAAAATATAAAATTTTAGGTTACCTAAAAAAATGTCATATAGATATCGTTTTTTTTATGTTTGTACAATCGGGGAATCTATTAGTGTCTCACTTACAAGCTACAGTCGTTTGAATATTTTGTACGCATTGAAACGCGGAATTTTCCCTTTCCCTTTCCACCAGGCAACAGTGGTAGTGCCCGCTTTAACATCTTAGCACTGCAGGGCCGACACGCCCCCAGTAATACCACGACCACACAGAAGACAGGCGTGAAGTGGAAGCATTTCCGTGTTTCTTCTGATGAGTGTGGCGCCGGAGGCCCAATTTAAAGCTCTTTCTCTTTACCACCCTTTTCTTAGGAGAGGATGGGAAGGAAAAGCGGATTTGACGTCGGAGGAGACCCATAGGAAGAGGAAAAGTCCTCTTTATGAGCGTCTCCTTCTCCGTCAAATAAAGGTAGGCAACGCATCTGCAATTGCGGATGTCTATGGGCAGCGGTCGCTTTCCATTTCGGTAGATTCAGGTTTATATAATATAAGGTGGCTCGTTTGCCACCTTATATTATATAAAAAAAAAATCCTTAACACTATTTTTGTCTGTATGAAAAAGGTCAGTGGTACATGGGTAATTACTTTTTATTATTATCACTTTGTGCAAGTCACGATTGTACATCAGTTTTTTATATTATAAGGTGGCAACCAAGCAAGCGTCCACCTGAATCCGACCAACTGGCGAAGCAACTACCCGTAGACATCTGCAATTGCAGACTCGTTGCTTACCCTTAATCAACGGTAGAGGAGACCCACATAAACAGGATATTTTCCCCTTCCTATGCCTCACCTCCACCGTCAAATACACTATTCCTTCCCACCTTACTCTAAAGAAAAGAGTAGAGGAAAAGGGAATAGAATTAGGTTTAAGTTTGTGACCTATATTAACGTAAATTGAACCAATAAAACAAGTAGTTTGTTCAAAGATTCATATTCTAAAAAATATATTTTCATATCTCACCAGCTTTCTGTTTCTTGATTCCTTTCTGTTTCTTCTTCTGTACTCCATTGGTTTTGACCTTCTTCTTTCTAGTGCCATTCTTCTTTCTTATGATGGGTTTATCAGAATCTGATGATGAGACGGAGTAATCGCTGTCATCATCCATTGCATCGTCTTCTGATGCTATGGACGCATTCTCATCTTCTTTTTTTGGTTTGAAATCTGTAATTAAAACCAGTAATAGTAAGCAGGTAATTGATTTAATGAAATTACTAGCTTTTGCTTCGATATATCTTTGTGATATAACATTAATTATCTAGACTTTCACATTTATTACATACTAGCTGTTCGCGTGCGAATTCATCTACGTAAAATTGTAAAAACGCTAACGCTATTGTTTACAATTGTCAAATTATCAATAGCAAATGTCAAAATGACATGACATGACAAACCTTAGCAATCTTTCTTGATGTTGGCAGCAACTTATGGTCTCTTTCCCACATTAGGGTTTTTATCCAAAATGTTTAATGACGTTAAAATATATAGCCTATAGCATGACGTAAATGTAGGGCTTTTTATTAAAAAAAGAATTATTAAGAAATATGCTGTATTTGCTGACATATTAGGCAACAAAGAAGTGTGTGTTTACGCTTTATTATAATAGTATAGACTAGGTTTCGCCCGTAACTCAATAGAAAATAGCATATTTGTTCTTCTAGATTATTCTCTACATCTATGACAGCAAGATCCATTTAACAGTTTAGGGTAGAAACTCTGACAAACATCCATCCAAACTTTCACATGAATAATATGTATTAAGAAATTATGATTAAGATGTAAGAAAGATATAAAATAGGTTTTTTGCTATCATCGACTTATCTGTAATTATAAAGAGGAAAGATTAACTCAAAAACTACTGGACAGCTTTTAGGTTCTTGCACCAATAATTGGCTATGTTATTACTTATGTTTTTTTTACTATTTTTAATTTCACGGGGGCGAAGTCACAAGCCACAGCTAGGTTACTTATAAAGGCTCTTGTCACTTGCCTTCGTTACACTTACCTTCCACATCATCAGCGGAGTAATCATCAAGCATACTATCATCCCGTTGCTCCGGACATATTGAGTTATGTTCACTAACATCATCCTTCGGCTCCGCTTTCAATTCCACATCTATTTCAACATTCTTCTTCATCTCTGTAATGTTTATTAGTTTTTATAGTATAAGGTTAAAAGCTTAAGGCTTGGGTAGCCTTATTTTCTAGAGCCCACATCCACAGATGTATGGTGAAATGCTTGATGAGGGGATAAAACCTCTCAAAGGGCAGGAGGGAAATAAAAAACCTTCCGCGGTCCATAAGGCCGGAGATGTAGACTTAACATTTTTTTAATTATACTTGTTCATACTGTGAACTTCATCACAGTGACATGATCAAGAAGGGAGTGATGACTGAGATGACGGATGATAGAGATTGGAGGGTGAAAACCCGGTGCACCGTACCTACAGGAGTAGAATAAGTCAGGGGAGATGATGATGACTGTACACTATACTGTTCACACTGAATACTATTTAATGGTTAAAGAATTATTTGTCTTTATTTAAATAAATCATACCATCTTTATCTTCTAGCTTAGCATTGAGGAATAGTTCCTCAGACTGTAGTACTTGCTGTCTGAATGCAGAAGCATCTCTTAGTCTTACAACACAGGTAGCGCACACACCAGCATCCTTCATGTCTTCATCTATATGAGATAACTGAAATAATAAGCAAAAATATATAAATCTATGTTTATTATAGAGACTCAACACCAAACTATTTAATTCAGATGATCATAGCAACTTTATATATTTTTTTTAATTTTAATGATACTTTAAAATATACTTGTAATTAAAGTAATAAATCAATTGTTAGATTCACATTTATTGAATTTTTTACAAATATTTAAATATACATAAATGAAATACTAACAACAATTCCAAAGCAATCCATCAACATTTCCGCGTAAACTTCTTTCTTTTCCATCCAAGTGTATTCGGCGGTCAACAATCTACATTTTTTTATAGCTCGACAGAATCGACATAGAGCTGGATCTATTATGGGTCCGTTATTTTTTGCAGTAGTCATTGTGATAATAATGTGTCGGACAATATTTAATTCACAATTTATTAATGAAATAACAAAGTGAACACATAATTCAAGTTTGTTGGTAAAATAATTTAAAGACGAAGACAAGTCTATAAGTCAAAATCAACACAACACAACCACAGATCACAATCACATATTCTTCGCGGCGGCATTGTATCCTTTTACTTTTTGTAAACGAAGTAGTTAGACGAATAAATCGAACTAAAACATATTTTTTTCTTAAATATATCGATAAACGTATATTCGAGCTCTATTAAATTATTCATTTATTAATGTTTTAAGATTTAGGAGCAAAATAAATAATATGAAGCCGTGAAAACGTATTAACTCTGTGCATAAGAACACATTAGAATGTCAAAATTCAAATATGGCGCCTTGTTTTCATTGTCATGTGTTCGTTTTCTTAACGGTGTATTAATTTTTTAACATATAAAAATAAATAGAAAATAAGACCTGTTTTTATAAATTATTAATTATGGAGCCAAATACTGAAACTTTCATTTACATAGCAAGATGTAAGTGCTGTCTTAACGAAGATGAATTACAAAACTTGTGGGAGCCGTACGTATTTGAAGGTGAAACTGAGATTTACGGAGAAATGTTGACCGAATGTTTTTCGCTACCAGTAAGTAAAAATACTTATAATAATAACTAACACCCATATAAAGTAGTATATTGATGGTTGTTTAATTAAATCAAGTAATAGTTTATATTTTGTAACGTAACCTTACAGTCGCAAACTGAAGAAGAGTTACAGAGCATTGAAATGATATGCAGCTCTTGCATCAAGAGGTTGAGAGATTCTCTCGGCTTCAGAAGAGAAGTAATGGCGAGCGCACAAGTGCTACAAGAAAATCTAGATAAAAGTAAGATTTCATCTTATTTAAATTTAACGACACACTGGTGACTTGTCCAAGCCTCGCATGGTTTGGTGTATTATAGTGATAGGACTCGAGTTGCTTTTTACTCAAGTGACTCAAGTCATTTTTATCCATTATACCAAGCGGAGTAAGAAATTCTTACAGCAATTTCGCCTAAATTTGTTATCTTTTTAAAAATAAACTATTTCTGTTCTTTTGTTGAGTTTCTTAATCTTCATTTAAGTTAATTTTAAATCATGTTTATTATCTAAATTGTGTAAGAACATAAAAAACTGTACATATTTGGATCTCATGAAAATTACTTGTTAGAATTAATTAAAATGGATTAGAACTTATTAGTAGTACATTATAAAATTTCAACTAATAGTTGATATAAGAGGTTTCTTGATTATGTAGACAGGTTTAGTTTATAGGAAAATACACATTTTGTACAGATTTTTTGAGTAACTTTTACATTATTGCGAAAATAATTTCTTTATGTCAAATTAACATTGTTTTATTGGTTTTAAAATTTTGGTTACTCTATTTTTATATTCCTAGTGACTCGCATCTATAAACATCACTCGAGTCTTATCTTCACACAAGTGGCATTTGAGTGAAAAAGTTACCAGTACCGAGTGACTCCAGTGAAAAAAAATCACTCAAGTCCCAACACTAGTGTATTACCTTAATTATTGTATTATTTTATTTCAGTGTTCCTACATACAACAGTAAATGTTCAATTAGAAAATGAATCGGTTTATCAAAATGTTGAATATTTGGACATTGCTGAAGGTAAAGAGCAACCAAATGAGGACAACTCAGAAAATGGTATGTTTTAGTAACCAAATGAACTATTAACATTTTATGTAAATAAAACTTCTGCCCACTATAGCTAGGATCTTTTGCAATAAGCACAAGGTGGCAATAAACTTGACAACTGATATAGTACCTTTCAGAGGAAATATCGTTGAAAAAATGTTTTTCACTATGCCTTGTCTATATATAATTTGAATATCTTTGGTTGTAGTAAAGTTGCCTCCATGTCGCACTTGTAGTTAGAAATAAAAAAAAATAATCTATACCTTTCAGATGAAACTATGGTTAAACAAGTGACCAATGTTACAAAATGGCCGAAAAGGTTACCAAAAGAGAATCGTAATAAAACATACAAGCAGTATAGTGTAGCTGCATTAAGAATGGCCATTGATGCGGTGTTGAATGATGGAATGACTATCGCTGAGGCGTCTTTAACATACGGAGTACCGCGGAAGACCGTCACTGCAAAGATACATGCGGCAAGAAATAAAAAAGATGGTATGTCAAATGTTAAAATGCTAGCCTGTTACTACATTCGCGCGGTTTTCAAAATCAACTTAATCTGTGTGTTCTTCTAGACTTTTTTATAATATAAGATGGCAAACGAGCAAGCGACCACCTAAATCCGCTAAAATGGCGAGGCGACCGCTGCCCATAGACACCGCAATTGCAGATGCGTTGCCTACCCTTAATTGACGAAGAAGGAGACGCACATAAAGAGGATATTTCCCCTTCCTATGCGTCTCCTCCGCCATCAAATCCACTTTCCCTTCCCATTATTTCTCATAAGAAAAAGGTGGGAAGGAAAAGGGACCCTAGTTGGGCCTACAGCACCATACTCATCAGACGAAACGCGGAATTTCTCCCACTTGACGCCTCTCTTCTGTGTGGTTGTGGTATTACACCGGCTGAGCCGGCCCATTTGTGCGAAGATGTTAAAGCCGGCTCTACCACTATGTTCTGACATTAAGTTATAGATAGTAACACATCTCTCATTGTAATTAGGTATCAAATAACTACTGAAATTAAAAAAGTGTATTGAAATTGATATTCACATATACAATCCAGTTTTATTATCATACTAAATGTTTTAGTTTAGATGAATGGATGTTTACTATGTAAATGTGTTTAATCTTAAAGCTTGTAAAATTTGGCATAAATGTAAAACATAGTCTGGGAGAACATAAATGATTTATTAAAAGTCAGGTGAACTTAGTTAAAATATTTATTAATATTGAAATAATTTTAATAACAAAACATCCTTTATATTATTTCTTTCAGATATGAACGATGAGACAAACAAATTAGACGAACAAGAGAAACACAATAACTTTGTTGATGAAATAAAAATGATATTAACGTACACAAATGCAATACCTTACAGAACGAAAGCATCAAGATATTACTGTGTATATTGTAACGGTCCGGGATACGAAGATGCTCAAGATTTAAGAATTCACATAAGAACTGAACATATAGCTGAAAGAACGGCGAAAATAGACCAAATTATGAGACCTCAATGGTTGAACGAAGTGATTAAATTAGATATCCATTGTCTTCATTGCACGGTTTGTTTAACTGTGATACCAAATTGGAATGATATGTTCAAACATTTAAATAATATTCACCAGATTGTGTTAGATGAAGCATATAATCGTGTTATACCATATATTCTTAATAGGGAACTAAGTTGTGCGTTGTGCAGTGAATCTTTCTCTAGTTATCATTATTTAGATAGCCATATGAACACACATTATAGTAATTATATATGTTATGAGTGTGGGGATATATTCTTAGCTGCCAGTCGTCTAAACAAACATATTGAAATTCATCAGTTTGGTGTATACCCGTGCCCTGCTTGTGGTAAAGTTTTCAAATCAAAGAAATACATGAAGAAACATTATGATTATATACATAATACTGATAAGAAGATCAAATGCCATTATTGTCCGGAAACATTCTCCGGAACTTATGAAAGACATCAACATAACCTGAAAATGCATAAAGAACGGGTGAAAACTATGACCTGTGAGGTCTGCGGGAAGGTATTCGATTGGCTACCGTATTATACGACTCATATGAGGAGAATACATGGCACTGAAAAGAATTATAAATGTAAAGATTGCGGGAAAAAGTTTTTAATGAAATATGAATTGAATAATCATAAAGTAAAGCACAAAACAGAAAAGGACTTTGTCTGTGACATCTGCTCAAAGCAATTTAAAAGCAAGCCTGGATTATTGAGGCATTATCAGGTGTCTCATGGTTGAATTATGCGCTTTTATGTGCCAACGAATTTGTATTACATAGTAATGTAAAAATACTATTTTAAATATAAAATATTAACCATTTTTTAATAATTTTGTCTTTTATTATGTCATTCACAAACGTTAGCTATTGCATGTAAGCCACTGATCTCCATAAATAGAGGTAATTTCTTGAAAATTACAGCTTTCGATTTAATTTTATACCGTAGAATTAGTTAAGAAATCGATTGTGTTTGGAAAAACTATTTTTAACCATACTTACTCTGTAATTTATAATCTGCGCCTAAATTGAAATTTGACATTGACAGTTTAATTTCATTTGTTTACGTTTATACAAAGTCAAAGTTTTTAAAATTCAAATTTCATTCAAGTTCTAACGAAATAAAACTAAACCGCTAAAAAAAGAAATGATAGTAACGTAAATTAGATCATATAGGTGGTTTTCTTATTATAAAGGGACATAAATATTGTTTATTGAGTGATTTACAAAGATGTCAATGGTTCCGAAGAGTCCGCGACATAATTGTTATTTCGGTTGCAAGGTAAAAGGTAAGTCTTAAATAGGAATGATATAAGACACTTATAAATTTACCCGCACAAAGAGACTACTAATAACCTATTGGTTTGTTAATCGTAAAAATACCAATCGCAGCTAAACACTTTACATAGACATGGGTAACTCAACGTAAGTTGACCTGCAGGTCAGATCAGTAATCCGGCTCACGGATCACTACATAGTTTGTAACAAAAGTAATATGAATATGTGTTTGTTATTCACTAATATGGATAGATTGTGTGCAAGAGGATATGCTTAAGAAAGGAGTGGATTCAGATATGACCACTGATAGAGATGTATGGAAGAGCAGCACATACTGTGCCAACCCTCTGTAAGGGGTAAGGATGATATTACATTGCACTGATGTAAAGCTATGCTTGCTAGTGTCATCCTCATCACCGGCTCAATATATGTCTCCACTGAAGGACTCGGAGCCTACCCTAATGAGGGGTGACTAGGGCATAGTCAACCGTACTGGCCCACTGCATGTTAGTTGACTTCACACATTTCTTTGAATTACTTTATGTTCATATGAAATTCGAAAATCACATTGGTACATTGGGATTTGATCTAAGACCTGTAGATTGCTAGAATACTATTATAAAAATTATTCATTTTCAGGTCCATTGCATCATTTTCCTAAACTTAATGACATAGAAAGGTTTAATGTATGGAAAAAGGTTTTGCATAATGATATAATAGCAAAGGGAGATATATTTATATTTAACCAATTAAGGTTATGTAATAAGCATTTTGAATCGTGTTATATATCTCCGAGCAATAGGTTAACCAAAAACTCTTATCCAACACTATATTTAAATGGTGAGTGTTGATAAATATGATAATCCATTATCTATATTAAAAATTGGAGAATTGTATTTTAGTATTCAATTCACGTAAAACTGTTGGGCCGATTTTAAATTTTCTTTTACCATAAGGAAGGTAATTTATCTGTAACAAAGGCTGTTTTTTTTAATGCCATGTAGTCGAAGTCCTACTCAACAGCTAGCAAGCTAACAAATTGGACAATACCTTCCTTTGGGAATGGACCAAAAATACAAGTCAATAGTAAAGGAGCAGTTGCCATGGCAATGGCAAACTTTTGCATTTATAACATACGAGCTGTTGCCGGCGACTTCGTCCGCGTGGTATTAGAAAACATACGAACTATATAAATAACAAAAAGCTACGTATCCCCCGGGAACCGGACTCATGTATACTCCAGACTTTGTTTTACATCTGTGCCAAATTTCAATAAGATATGTTGAACCGTTGCAGAATGATCGAGTAAACATTAAAAAACTAAATTAATGAATCCCACGGGAACCGTAACTTATCCCGGGATAAAATGTAGCCTATGTGTTCTTCCAGACTATGCTCTAAACCTGTGCCTAATTTCATGGAGGATCTCCAGTACAGCCATTTAGGCTACAAACGCTAACAAACATCCATCCATCCATCTAAACTTTCGCATTTATAATAATAATAAGAAGTAATACTTTTCTATTTTTGTTATCACAGGTAATTCTGACAGTGCACCGACCACTGAAATATGTATGGAATTGCCTACGATTGTAACAGACCAGAATAGTCTCTTAAATGAAGGTGGGTAATCTGCAATTGTGATTTTCTATGGCCATCAGTCGTTTCGGGTTTCGCGAATTTAGACATCTTCCTGTGCCACCTTATTAAAAAAAATGATGACTAAACTTTATTAAAATTCTTTTCAATTAATCTTCATTTGGCTATAAAGTAGCAATTAAAATTGGGTTTTTATTATAATAAAAAAGTCCAGAAATAAAGAAAATATATAACTTTACTCAATAATGATGAAATATAAATTTAAAAAAATTCCTACAAATGCAAGGCCTCAAAGTTTTATGTCGATTCTATTGTTTTTTATTTTATAAATAAGATCAGCCTTTTATTGTTTAAATAAGCAAAGAAAGCAAAAAGATCCAAAATTTTGGTCGCACCATTTTGAGCTAAACTATTTAACTACGTCGTAGTCTGACTCCAAAAATCAAACAAAAAAATGGGACCCACATGCAAGCATAACCTATCGGATAAAAAAAGAATTATCAAAATCGGTCCACTAGCGGCGGAAATACCGTAACACACATAAAAAAAAATACGAATTGAGTACCTCCTTTTGGGAAGTCGGTTAAAAATAACCCCGTATAGAAGAGCAATACAAAACAGAAATACTACTTGTTATTACAGATGATGAGATGCCTATCAGTCCACCAACATCCCCAGATGTATGTATGGAGGTTGCAGATCAAGATACTGACTTAAATGAAGCGTTTTTGGAAGGTTAGTACCTGATTTTTGGATTACAGCATATTTTTGACCTTCAAAAAATCTATACTAATATTATAAAGAGGAAAATTTTTATTTTTCAGTTTTTTTTATGTATTGAAATAACTCTAAAACTACTGGGACAAATTAAAAAAATCTTTCATCATTAAAAAGCTATGTTATGACAGTACTGGACGAAGTCGATAGCTAGTAATTAATAAAAATGCATTATATATCAAACTAGCTGTTGGTCGCGACTTCGTCTACGTAGAATTAAAAAAATTGTACTGTACCCACTGTTTAAGCGATAACGTAGCCTTTTAATGGGGAAAGAATTATAAAATCGACCCAGTAGTTTTTGAGTTATTTCAATACATACAAAAATACAAATATTTATAATATTAGTGTAGATTGGGGTATTCTGTATTGTAGGTTTATTTTATTCTTATAGGTAAATGTATTTGCTGTCTTAAAGAAGGTGATTTACAAAACTTATGGGAACCTTACGTATATGAAGGTGTGACTGAAATATATGGAGAAATGTTGTCAGAATGTTATACTCTAACAGTAAGTAAAAAATAATAATAAAAATTGAATACCAAAAAAAAATCCAGACTTTTTGGTTCACTTTTTAAGAAAAACTCAATAATTATTGGATAGGTGTTATTTTTGATGAATCGAACCAAATACTTTCATATTCACATCAATAGATTTGACTATTTCCTTGATAGTTCAATTTTTTTTTATTCTAAATTCCATAAACATTGTAATTATTCTTGCAAAGACGTTTAAGAAATAAATAGACGATATATAGTGAAAAAAAGTACAATAGTAAATTGATGTTTTATTTAACAATATTTAAGATATATGCTATGAAAAAACCTCAATTTTATTACAGCCACAATCTGAAGATAATTTACAGAGCATAGAAATGATATGCCATTGCTGTATTAAGAGGTTGAGAGATGCTCTCAGTTTTAGAAGAGAAGTAATGTCAAGTGCACAGATGCTACAAAACTATCGGAAAAAATGTAAGATTTTTTCTGTTTTTTTTTTACATTGACATCCAGGACTTATACTTAACAAATGTTTTGTGTCCGTCCTTTTTTTAGGTAGATCAACAGGTTTATAATTATATAATTCAATAGTTTAAAATATTTAGACCGCTTGTACACCCACGAATGTCTCCATAAGCAGAGTTTTGTTGCCAGTTTCACCCAAATTAGAATAAAACCACAAACACTTGACACTGGCCTAATCCGCTGTGGGAGAGCCATAAACCAATAGAATAGAATACTTAACAATTAATCTTTTTAATATTATAAATGTATTTTTTTAGTAAGGATAGATGTTTGCACACTATTATCTCTATGTTTTCTTTTTAAAAATGTGTCTTTGTTTTGTTTCCTGTATATGTATGTAATTAGTACGGCCGGTTAAAAAAAAAAGGGTTACTAATTTTTAAATTTTTTTTCATTTCAGTGTTACTACACACAAAAGAAGAAGAAGATCCGTTGAAGTTAAAAATGGAATCACAATGTGAAAATATTGAAAATATAAATATCACGAAAGTTAAAGATCAATCGACTGAAAACTCAAGAAGCGTAGGACTTTTTCAAATTAAATGTTTCCATCGTCCGAAGAAATTCATCGGGACGAATAAACTGCAACTTAACCAAAAAACGAATAAAGAAAGAGAGAAAATAAAAATATGTGAGTACTGCGGGAAGAAATTCGATTGGTTCCAGGATTACGTCACACATATGAAAATAACCCACGGCATCAAAAAGAGTTTTAAATACAAAGATTGTGCTCAAAAAATTCTAAATAAACAAATAAACATAAAACAGAATATGCATTATAGCATAAAAATATAAAAGTGCGCACGCGACTGAACTATCGCACAATTGTTTAGTTTCGCTATGATCCTATTAGCTTATCTGGAGATGCGCACACTCGATTGTTAGTTGTTCAACTAAACAGTTAAATTGGCTGCAAAACAATCGACATTCGACAATCGCACAAGTTTTATGCCATTGTCGAATTGTTAATACTAAAATCATGCATTTTCATAAATTGCAAATAATTACGTTTTGTTTTAAATTTAAGACATTTGTTATAAATAAAAAACTTTAATTTTTGTATAACTTGGGTACTTTTTTTCTTATATAAATCAATTATGAACCAGTTCATATAGCTTCGAACTGAGCTTCGGCTCAACAAATACAATTGCAGCTCACGGCCTAACGCGACGTACTATGGGAGTTGAGTTGAACTGCCCGGTGACACGCGATTCACATAAGTCATACCCATCACTACTACAAAATAAAAGGAGGAATTTAACATAAAACTAGATACTATAGTAATTTTATAAATGCGAAAGCTTAGATAGATGGATGTTTTTGTTTGTTGTTTTTTTTTATCAAATTGCTGAATGAATCTGGGAGAATACACGGGCTTTTAATTTTTTTCGTTTTCGCGTTTACGGAGTTGCGGGGAAAGCTACAAGGTTTTACATGTTTTTTTTATTTACAAAAAATAACGAATCCGTTTTTTTCTCAACAAATCAAAGAATCGATTTCAACATTCGCTCTATAATTTAATTGCATCTGTGCATTAACTGTCAGTTCAGTTTGACAGTATAATTTTGGTATAATTTGTTTATTTACTAGAAAAACGTAAAAAATTAAACAACCCGTATATAACAAATGTTATAAAAATGGAAAAAAGATACGGCAAATGTCGATTTTGTGTAGAAAAAGGGGAGCATCAAGATCTTTTTACGGAATATTTGTCTAACGGCAATAAAGAAATCTATATGGACATCATTATGGATTGTTACAATATATACGTAAGTAAATAAATAAATATTAAATTCAGTTCCACAGTAATCTGTATAAAATAGACTTTTTTTGAGGAATGTTAAATCACTCGTATAACGTAACCTATTTTTATATTCCAGTTATCAACCAATACAACGCAGAGTTCCCTGATCTGTTCATCATGTGTAGAACACCTCAGGAATGCGAACAAATTCCGTATGATGATATTAGACTCGGAACAACAACTTTTAAATGCAATTACAGATAAAGAAACAGTTTTTATAAATGGTAACATAATTAAATACTTAAATTTTTATATTCAGAACGCACACCTTTGTCAAAAGTATCGCACAGTTGTTATTATCGCTTTGATTCCTATGACCTTATACAAACACACTACTCGATATTTAGTTGTGCAACTAAACAGTTGAATTCACTGCGAAACAATTGACAATCCCACAACAGTCTTGCAATAGTTTAGTCAAAGGAGTACTCCCACTCCTTCCCAACTGAAAAAAGTGTAATTTTAATCACCCGTAAGTTATTTCTATGTCTGTGGGTTTGTAAATTCCATTCTCACAGCCTAAAGCTTAAACCAATTTTGAGGAGTCAGGTTTTATTGTATTTGTCTTCTCCGCAGTTATAGGATATATTAAATTGGCACATAATATTTGTAGTTGAAGTTATTTTACAGTATTCTCTACATTTGTGCCAAAGTTTATCAAGATCCACCGTGAAGTTTACGCTACAAACTCTCACAAACATCCATTTAAACTTTGGCATTTATGATAATAGCAAGATTCCTAACTTTTATAGTTTTGGTAGATTTAGTCAGTTTTTTTTTTAATTAAGGATAGATTATTCTTGCCGCAACTAAGTGCTGGAATGACCTTCCACCTCCAATTAGAAATTTGAAATCTGTTAATTCTTTTAAATTTATATTAAAAACATTTTTACTTTCGACACAAAAATCGAGCACATAAAATCATACCCTGTACCCTGTGTGTATTTAATTCGTGATTTCTGCCAATGCACGCTAAAATATTATTTTGTTGTTTAAATGTGTCAGGTTATCAATTGCATATGTCAAAATTTTATTGTGACAATATACATTTTATTTTGAAATGGAGAATGAGTTTGTTATGTGTAAAACATATGTGCCATCTATTTTAAAAGCCACAGAAGATCACATATGCTGAGTGGTTATCACCAATAAATAAATAAAATAAAAATATAAATTCTGGAGTTAATAACAGTTTTAATGGTTTTTAATTATTTTTTTTTGTATAGTTCCAGCAAGTTCTCATCCTTTAGAAGAGTTTGAAAGCATAAAGACAGAGGATATTATCGATGTGAAAATTGAGAATGAGGACCAGGAGTCTATGGATTTTGATTCAGAATATTTTGCGGATAATATTGAAGATATTTGTGGTGAGATGTACAATTTAATAACCAGAGAAATTAATCTTGAATAGAACATGATCTTACATAGTATCTAGCTTTAGCCTGCGACTTTGTGTGGAAATAAGAAAACAAAAGTAGATTATGTATTCTTTAAGACTATTCTCTTAACAGTTTTTATATTTTAATCAATTTAAATTCTTTTGACAGAGATGGTAAATTCCTAGCTTTTTTAAGTTCATTTTTTAAATTATAATCATTATAAATTTTTTTTGGTCAATAAATAGTGTTTTATTTATTTTATAACGAGCTGTTGCCCGCGACTTCGTCCGCGTGGTATTAGAAAACATACGAACTATATAAATAAAAAGCTACGTATACCTCGGGAACCGGACATCTCGGGGGTGAAGCTTATCCCATGTATACTCCAGACTTTGTTTTATATCTGTGCCAAATTTCAATAAGATATGTTGAACTGTTGCAGAATGATCCGAGTAAACATTAAAAAACTAAATTAATGAATCCCACGGGAACCTTAACTTATCCCAGGATAAAAAGTAGCCTATGTGTTCTTCCACACTATGCTCTAAACCTGTGCCAAATTTCATGGAGATCCGTTCAGCTGTTTAGGCTACAAACGCTAACAAACATCCATCCATCTAAACTTTCGCATTTATAATATTAGTAAGATTGTAACAAATAGCATATTATTTAATTTTCAGATATTTCAACAAAAGATATAGAATCAGAGGTACTTTTAACTCCAGAAGCAGCGCTTATAGCCAGGTTCCCGAGGAATGAACTAAAACTACCAACACGACAATCTTTAAAAACAACATGCCCTGAATTCTTCAAACATCTCGAAATGTTAAAAGGTTTGTTACATTATCTTTTTGTTAATTGTAAACTTTGTCTAATGTTATAGAGGAAAGATTTTTATTTTTGTGTATTGAAAACTCAAAAACTACTGGGCCAATTTTAAAAATTCTTTCACCATCAGAAAGGTAATTTATCTGTGAGTAACATAGGCTATATATTTTATTATATTTTAATTTCATGTAAATAAAGCGGAAAAATTTGCATTTTTTATGTATTGAAATAACTCAAAAACTACTGGGTCGATTTTAGAAAAATCACTATTAGAAAGATAATTTTTCTGTGAATAACATAGACTATATTTTGTATATAATTTCACACGGGCGAAGTCGCGAGCAATAGCTAGTATATAAATAAAATCCTGTACAGGCTTAGATTTAATTGTACAGTTCAACTTTTAGTTTTAATTTTGCCTAATCATACTAAACTTGTAAAACCTCAGAACTGTTAAAACTGTGGTAGTGCCCGCTTTAACATCTTAGCACTGCAGGGCCGGCACACCCCCAGTAATACCACGACCACACAGAAAACAGGCGTGAAATGGAAGCAATTCCGTGTTTCGTCTGATGAGTGTGGTGCCAGAGGCCTAATTTTAGTCCCTTTCTCTTTCCACCCTTTTCTTAAGAGGAAAGGTTGGGAAGGTAAAGAGGAGGAAATGCATATGAAGGGGAAATGTAGGTAACGCTTCTGCAATTGCGAATGTTTATGGGCAGCGGTCGCTTACTATTTCAGTGGATTCAGGTGGCTGCTTGCTCGTTTGCCACCTAATATTATAAAAAAAAGAACTAAAGGTTGGGTGTATATCTAGTTCAAAATGAATTTTCTTTAGGATTTTGACACATGTATAAAACTTTGTACTAATATTATAAAGAGGAATAATTTATATTTCTGTATGTAACAAATAAACTCAAAAACTACTGAAGTTGTTTTAAAAATTCTTACATCAGTAAAAAGCTATATTATCACTGAGTGAAATAGGATTTATTTATTAGTATTTATTTTCAATTGTAGTTCAATATTGATTATTTTTTAGTTTATTAATTGTAAAGAAATACCCATTTGTTTTTAAACTTCAGCTGTTGTCTAAATTGATTTTATATTTTTCAGATAAAATAGTCTTACCTAGAATGATAGCAAAACTTCTAGAAACAGATCCATCTCCGGTTAAAAAAAGGAAACTCTATATATCCGAGAAAATGGGTTATTTATTGAACGCAGCGTTATTACTAGAGAATAGTAACGCTACACCGTTCAAAAACAGAAATTGTTCCGGATTCCCGTGTTATTATTGTAGAAAATTATATGAAAATTTGGATAAATTACGTGAACACATAAAACAACATAAGAAAAAAGAAATAAAAAAGATACTATCAACTTTTGGTGCGGAATATTTCGTAGTTTACGTCGACGTTACTGATTTAAAATGTACAATATGTGATGAAAAAGTGTTAAATTTGAACGATTTAAAAACGCATCTAATAAAAAAACATAATAAAAAATATAATAATGAATACACAGATAGGGTTATACCTTTCAAGTTATCAGAAGATAATATATTCGAGTGTCAAGTTTGTGGTTTTAATTTCGAGACTTTCGGTTCTATAGAACGTCATATGAATGTGCATTTCAGGAATTATGTGTGCGAGGAATGTGGTTCCGGCTTCATAACTAAATATAGACTTCGAGTTCATACAAAATCATTACATGAATCTGGTAATTATCCTTGTGAGATATGTAAAAAGGTATATACAACTGCACAGAAGTTGAAAAACCATATATCAGCTGTGCATATGAGTTTAAAAAGGTTTAAATGTCCGCAGTGTCCGGAAAGATTCTCTGAATATTTTAAAAGACATAAACATTTAGTTGACGTCCATGGTATGACTCCGTTGAAATACAAATGTAATGTTTGTGATAAATCATTTGATAGAAGATATTCTTTGTCTCGACATTTAAAAAGAGATCATTTAGAAGAGAGGGATTTTCATTGTGACTTATGTACTTATTCATGTTTTACAAATAATGAATTGCGAGTACATATGATAAAACATAATGGTGAAAGAATTTATGAATGTACTGTGTGTAAAAAGTCATATGCGAGGAAAAAAACATTAAAAGAACATATGAGAATACATAATAATGATAGAAGGTTCGCTTGTGCTGTTTGCGGACAGGCTTTTGTACAAAAATGTAGTTTAAAAGGTCATATAAAGACGCACCATTTAGAATATAGTATGCAGTGAGTTCTAGAACATTCTCATAACTCAAATAATATTAAGGTTATACAGAAATTAGTATTGTGTTAACAATCTTGAAATGTTTGTAGAGATAGTATAGAAATAAAATAGTTTTAGTTATTTATTATGTATTTTTTAGTATTTTGTAAGTTTTTCCTTTTTTAAATAAACTGGTGATTGAAATATGCGTTTTATTTTTTTTATTTAGCTATAAATAATATTTTTGTCAGTACATTCTGTACAAACGAATTCAATAGAAACGAAAAATTATTCAAATATCTTATTTAATATTATCCTGATATAATTATTTCTTACTTTCTCAATCCTATGAATTTTTAAAATAATGCCATCAAAACCTATAGGTTTATAGCGCCATCTAGCGCTTGTTATTTGCCACCAAATACTCATTATTATTCCGATAGATGTCGCTTCATACATCTTGAAAATTCAACACCACGATGTTGAAAACCTTTCATCGGGAATGACCCTCGCGGGCCGCGGTTTGGAATTCATACTTACCTGGCGTAGGGGTTACCGTGATCACGAAGGCGGTTCCCCCAGGGCGAGGCCCCTCCATTGCACTGCGGTTGGGTTGACCCCTGCGATTATCCCTAATGCGGATAACTCGGACGCGTAATTTTTGGTAGTGGGGACTGCGTACGCGCCGTCCCCCATATTAAACAAATTGAATGGCGAAGTGAAGAGAAAACATTGCTTTACTTAAGCGCTTGCTTTTATTTTCACTAAGCAGAAAGTTTAAGGAGACTTCTTATCGAGGTTACTATATTTGTAATACGAATTACGAAGCAATAATCGTATATGCTTTTATGTGTATATTAAAAAAATCTTTGATTTCCCTTATGGCTGGTGTCTGGTGTCAAAACTTGGGTGGTATTATACGATAGATCACCAGGCCCTTATAACACAGATAGGAAACAAATACCAAACATTACTCATTTTACAAGTGGACATTTAATTTTAAGTAAAAATTTTGTAAGTGTGTGTATTTAGAATCTCCTTATTGAATTTGGTTATAAAAACATACAGACAAATTGAGTACCTCCTTCTTTAGGGAAGTCGGTTCAAAAATAGCCATGTAATGAAGAAACAGCTTTAATTTGGTAAAGGAATAATTCAACAAACAAAATACTGTCTTATACTTTTACAATTTTTCCAATAAATCCATATATGCACCTTTTATTAAATCTTCATTTTTAACACCTAGTTTGTTCTGCAAGTCTTTAGCGATAGCCTCACCTTCTTCCACACTCTGATCTGGTTTTAAAACCACTTCTAATTCCATAAAATTGCCCAAACCTTTGACATTATCTATATGAATTCTTGTCTGTCCAACTAAATACAGTTTTCTGTAAAAGAAATTTAATTTTAAACAGTTTCAAAACAGCAGAGTGCTAAGTAACTTCACAGATCCTGTGAATTGACTCAATACTTCCTTTTATACTGATAGTAACATGTTTTTAATGTATTTTTTAAAATTGCAATTAAATAACTTGATTTTTACATCAGCAAATGTTAAAAAACAAAACAAGTTTTTAAATTGAAGGGAATATTTATTATTTAAAATTCACTTACCGTTCTTTTATAACACGGCCGCGTATCCCGAGGCATTTCTGTAATATATTATCCAATTGTTCAGCCTTTTTACTCTCAACGGGTGAAAATTCCAATAGATCATAGTTGCTGAGTTTTGGACCTTCTTCATCGTCTCTACTATATCTAACCAGAACTGCTGCAGAGTTAGGAAATTTCCTCATTTTAAGACGGCCGTCGTTTACTTTGTAAAATACATCGTCCTGTTTTATAATAATACAAGAACTGCCGCTTAACTCCGCGGCTTTCTTACAAATCTCTTCGACATTATGTACTTTCGCTTTAATTTCAATATTACGCATTGTAAATGCTAAA